TCCCCCCCCCCCCCCCCCACTACCTTTTCCCCCTCCGGTGTTTGCCATCGGGGTTGGGTTTTCGTCGCTTGGCAGCGATGTTGTAAAACAAGCCAATTCACTTCGTGAGCTCGGCAACCAGGTTACCGCTTTTTTTGCCTTTGTTTTTTTTTTGCGGTAACCATGAATGGTGGTCGAGTAGATTATGTTGTGCGGGGTCGAGAAACCTCATTCCGCGCAAAGGGGATGATCGCACGTTGTGTTATATTGGTCAAGCACCCTCGAGGCAGTTACACAGTGCTTACAACTGTCTCTGGAAGTGAAAGCACCAGAAAATAAATTAAGTCATACGCAGCTGTCATCTGTACGCAAGGAACACACTTAGCAGAATGAAGCGCACCCTTCATGCGACTCGCCGAATACCTCACGGCGCTTCGCGCTTGGTGATGTGAGAGCCTGGTCCGGTGAGAACCCGGCGCGCTCCGTCCCGGCTTTGTAGGGATGCGAAGTCAATGGTCTAACGACTACGGCATGCACGACTATGAGTACACCCCCCCCCACCCCCACCCCATTACCTTTTCGGCCTGGAAGCATGGTTTCGTTGATTTAGCCCCGGGGTAGATCGTTTTCGACCAAAAACAAAATTCCCCCCGGATATTTCAATATCCCCCCGGGGTACCAGTTTCCCACGAGTTCCCCCCGGGGGGGATGTATTTCCCTTATTTTCTGAGTCGATTTTGTTGCATCGCCGAGCACAAAAAGCATGATGTGGGACGGAAAATTCACTTGCAGATCTGCGCTTCGAGCGAGATTTAGGTGTACCGTTTGTCACTTGGCCCTCCTCGCAGATGTTTTGTGGGTGAAATGCTCTCGTTTTCCTGTCTATTTCTTGCATTTATCATCCCTGGAGTCAGCTGAAACGTACGTACCACAGCAGTATGCTGACGAAACCTTGCGCACAAAGGAAACAAATAATCGTATTCATTTTTGGATGTCACAACTCAAGGTCGAACCGAACCATAAAAATAGCTTATTCCTGCGGACAAACTGCGAATTCTTTTGCATGAGCGATGGCAATGGTACCTCTCTTCTTGCGACCCGACAAAAACCTTATCCGTCTCAGTTTCGCCACTCTCTGTGTGTTGTGTGGTGTGTGGAGCATCATTATTTTGCACAACCCCCCGGGGGGGGCTTCCCCCTGGGGTAGCGTTGGAAAAAATAAACTAATCCCCCCCGGTACGTCAATTCCCCCCCAGGGGGTTTGGTTTCAGAAAAAAAAACGATCCCCTCCCCGGGGGGGAAACTCCGTAGTTTACGGTACCTCGCGGGGAAAGCCGGGATACTTAAGAGAGATGCTCGTTCACACCCCCAGAGCACAGAAATACCCGCGTTCCATGGAAAGCTTTCTCTATACCCACGATAGAAGACTCATCGGGTACTTAAGAGTACGCTTCCCGAGAGAAGATTTCCACGGTCGGAGGTTACATAGGGCATCATAATGCGAAATCTTCCCCCTTCGAAAGCGAGTGCAATGCTTGGGGCTAACTCAACTAAAGGGAGGGTTGTATTGAGGGCTCTATCGCCACCGACCAGGTCAACGTTGACACTAATTTCGCCGTTTATTGGTTGGGAGGGGAGACAACGCAAAGGAAATTGTGGTCTCAAACTATTTATCAAAGAAAAACGGAATTTTCTGCATTTGCTATCGTTTTCACCATGTTGGACGAAGTCTTCTCTAGCTCCGCGCTCAAGATAGTTGCGTCCTCCACCAAGATGGCGATGTTCCGAAAGCTTGGACTAAGCTCCTTCAGGAGCCTTTCTTTCTCGAGCGGACGGCATACTGTGATAACGCCGAACCCGCCAGCCCGCAACATTGCCGGGTTCAAGTGGTGGATCTGGCACAATCGAGCACAAGGAGGGGTGTAAGTAATCACCCGAGGTGTGTACTCATTCAAAACTCGACCAACGCCCCTCCAACCAGCTCTTTCTCGAGAACGTACTGAATCTTTCCAAAGCCGCAGCTTGCTGGATTCAAGCGCTGCATGCCTGGCACACAACTACAGAGATATCTGGATGGTTCTATACCACGATAGTGAGGAAACAGAACAATGCACCCACGCTCGCAGCACCCTCTTATTCAAACAAGAAATGATGATGCGGGAATCATCGAGACTATGTGCAGCCGTAGGTGCGAGTGGGCGGAAAACCCATCACCTGGGAAGCCTGGCACATGTATAGTATTGTAATGTCGCCAGCATGCCCAGGAAAAGTCTCGTGGCAGACCTCTTTGGCGTGCTCGAGAACGCTCATGTAGTCCATGATTCTCTTGCGTGTCACCTCCCACGAGTCGACAGCCAACCAACTGTTAAGGACACAACGTAGTTTCGAAAGGGCATCGTTCTTGAGTCGATGTAGTAAGAGTGACTAAGTTTCAAAGGGTAATTTCTACGTATAGTGTACCGGTTTCATACAGGCGAAAAAGAGTGAAAATATTATTCATAGGCTCCTCGCCATACCGAGGAAATGACACATGGTAGGACTACGCTATTGAAACTAATGCGGAGAGTGCGAAGGGTTTTGTGATGATATGGTCATTTGCACTTTCGGCATGTAGACCCACCTTCCCTTTCCTACTGCCGCACGTGCCATGGAGAGCCGATGCTTTGGTGGGATTATCTCGGCCGCTCTTACGCGATGACGTTGACGGACTAGTGTCGGGTGCGACGGACTAACAATCCCACCCACGACGCGCATCTGTAACGACGGCATATGATAACACGATGGCAAACATCGTTCGATTTGCTCCATCGAGAGAAGCAGCGTGAATCACGCAGTCCTCTAGGTGTATGCTGTGTTTCTTCTCTAATCGGAATATCCTGTGTCACCTAGACTAACCTATACTACGCCCATTGGTACAATTGAGAGACATACCGATACCCGCGCCCAAAGGCAATCCGCTGAACTGAAGCAACCACAATTGAATAATTTTTTCGACCCCATTGGCCCGCCCTTCAAGGCATAACGAGAGACCACATGGGGACTCGTAGAGTACGCGTGGGGTTCTTTGTGCTCAAAGCATTGCGAGAATACAGCAGTTCAGGAACGCACACGCACACACACACTTGCCCCTTTCTGCATCTCCAAATAGTTCCTTGCCAGGTAAAATCTGCGGATGTGAATCTTGTGCACAGGGTTGAACGTTCCGGACCCGACGATCAGCACCTTGGAGCGTGTTTCATCCTCTCCATTTTTGAACCCTTGCTTCACCCGCGCAACTACTGCGTTAGAGGTGAACGGGTTGTTCGGTGACACAAGCGATCTGCAACGACCGGCGCGTACGGTACGCAGTTTCTTCCCTGAAGGCACACTTTTCACAACCAACCTTCGTGAGTCTCGGTTTTCAAAGTTGTCTGGTAAGATATCTCGATTCCTCGGCAGATCTTTTGAGAGAGCACCGAACGATTTGCTCGAAGTACCCTCCGCCGCTTCGAACATAACGCAAGGCGTCATGCCGACATCTCCATTCGAATCGACGTCGCGATTGTCCCCGCACTCCGGCCCGCTCGGAACGCTAGCTTGAAGGGGAGAAAAAACTCGACTTCGGTGTGATCTGGACGAACGCTCAGGAGACAATACGGTCCGTTCTGCATGCTGGAGGAATCCGCGCGATGGTTGACCCATTAGTTCTTCCTTCCAAGAAAGCGAAGAGTCCATACTGGGTTTACGAACGACGCCGCTACCAGTAGTCTCGACCATGCTGCTTTCTTGGGGACCTTTCAAGGAACGATTGCTTTGTTCTTCTTGTCGCGTTCCAGGCAATTGAGGAAGGTTCCCACGCCCCAAAACAGCGGCTGGTTGTTCCCACGAAGGCGTCGATTGTTCTTCAGACGGCAGCAGAGCTGGGACGCTTCTGCTCACCCCGAACTCTCTTCTTGGAGGAGTCGAACCTTGAACGCTTGGCGAGCGCCCTACGCTTGGTAGTCGTCGCTTGCGGTGGTGATTGGCAGATTCGAACCCGTCAGTTGGCAACTTGGGGTTCACAACTCCGTGCACGTCTTGGCTAAATTTTTTCCGGTCGCCCTCAAAGGCCAAGTTGGAATAGCCTAGACTGGATTCAAGGGTTCTCACCCTCTTCCATCGCCTCGCATCATCGTTTCCACGGTCTACTTCCATTTGCCTACCGGATGCTGGGGGGTTGCTCATCATACAACGTGGGTAGTTCTCCTAATCTCTCGAGCCCAAGCGGTAGGGAATGCACTGAGACACATGTTAGGCAATCCAGCTACGTCAGTAAGAGACGACAGCCGTTTGACCTGCTACCTGCTACCTGCTCCACATCCAGCCGCGCCGAACCGACACAAGCGGCGGGATTAATTTGACAGTCCCACGTGTTCGTCCTTTTCCGTCTTCCCCCTCCTCCTTTCTCTCTGCTGTTTCTCCTCGTTGTCCGGGGTTAGGCGTGTGGCGTGTGTGTGTCGATGGGATCTGCGGTGGGCGTACCAACTCCTGAAGAAATGACCGTGTATTATGAAGTTAAGAAGGTGGGGAATCGACGCAGAAAGAAATATACCCCTGTTGTCCAACCGGCGGCGTCAACTCCCACACTCCCACATTCCTTCGCTGATGCTGTGCAAACGCGTCAAACCACACAATATATTCTTCCACGAGCAAACGTTCGTGTCGATGCAATAGGCTTAATGAATAGTAGTCCAGCTGCCGCATGGTTAATTGTGAGAGGTTTTGGGGATGATGCGATGCGCCGCATTGTCATATTTTCATCCGCAGCAGCGAGCGGGAAACAGCCAAGAGGAATTTGTTGGAACCCGTGATTGATCGCATGATGTTGCTAACACCTCCCCCCCCCCCGCGCGCGCTCTGTCCGGAAGAGACTACTTGCGACTTCTTGTTGCTTTTGGTGGGTCACCGAAACTGACATCTGTAGCTGTTGTAGCCTGTGTCAAGCGGTCGTCACTTTTGGAAGCACCATGCCTGCCGTACGATTCGTTCTATTTGCGGTAGGCGTACGAAGGCCTGTCCGAACTTCAAAAACAAGACGAATCGGAGCTAACAGCTCTGGCAGACATGTATCGGAAGGTAACGCAAATCAGGGTTGGGCGTTTTATTCCTTGTTAGGGGATGGCAGAACAGGGGATTTGACACTGGCTCTTTTCTCGTACTCAAAACCAGAAAATGACCTTCCCGCCGGAACCTGGTGATTAGTACTAATATCAGTAGAGGACACCATCAAGAGGCGTTGTGCGTGCTGGCACGTTCAGGTTTGCTACTGGAGCCGAAATATCGAAGGTGGAAGCAGTCTCTGAAAACAGTCCGAAATCTGCGTCGGAACCAAGCGGCATCCAACATTTGGCACAGCCGTGCTCACCGCCACGGACCATAAACCCCTGAACCGAGGTTGTCAGCAGTAGGTACTGTATTTGGAGATTGGGGTCTGTGGCGGCAAGCACAAGCAGTACAAGACACTGGGTGTCGGTCCAATTTGCGGAGATTGTAGGCCACTACAACGACGCTCGATATCACCACCACAAACGCAGATTTAAGCGCGCCAACATGCACCCCCCGCTGCTATAGGATGTCCTCTAGTGATAATAGTACTGTGCACCAGGTTCCTGGCAACACAGACCTTATTTGAGCTCCTGCCGTTTTGGCTCTTTTGACTTGAAGTTAGAATGAATGGTGTTGATTTTTATCTTGTTTTTAAAGGAGGCGTATGGAGGTGGACGCGTCAAATGTATGTTCTGAGCAGCCTCTACTGCCACCCTGTGCGAGAATCAACAGTTTATGTTTTTCGCGATGTCTTCCGACTTACTTGTCTTGTGTGTCTATTGTGCGTTTTCTGGTGCTCTTGCGGTCTTGTGTGTCTATTGTGCGTTTTCTGGTGCTCTTGCGTTGTTGTCAAAATTAGTCAACATCAAACTTCGTGTTCTGCCATCCCTTAAGTCGTGTACTGGTGTTATTCGAGGAGCGCCGAAAGGCGCTCACAGGAAAATCAACACTCTCTTGAGTACGCACGATACCAGGTACCTGTGGATGATCATACGATACCTGTAAGATGGTCATCAATAACTTATACTGTCAAGAAGCCTCACAACACGTTTGGTCCCACTTCGTGCGCGTGTGCGTTGAACAGGGTTCAGAAAGGTGCGCAAGAAAGACAGACGATGATCAAGTACACCAACTTTTGGCACTGAGCGTCGACGAGAAACTAGAGCTAGGCAAGGCCGTTCTCCAAGCAGTGCTGCAAAAAGAGAATGGGTTGCGTGTCAAGATGGAATCCGCGGGGGACTACGACAAGTCTTTCGGCGGAACAAAGCAAGACACACAGGCGAGTGACTTGCAAGCGCAACGATGCAAGGGCACGATGCAGCAACTATTTCGCAGTTTACTCCTGCCCTCGATTGGCGTTGTTGGTCGAGGCCCGCAAGGTATGTGATTGAGGGATTGTGAAGGCAACCTAAAACATATTTCCCACCCTTCAAGCTCCTCAGTGTTGTTTGATCGCTCTTTTATCGATGAGAACCGATTACTTCTTGGTACACAGTCTAGCTTTCGAGTACCGGCGTACGTCAGCTGCTACGCTTCCTTGGCATGTCAAGTCTCGTTTCGTGGTTGGATACGGTTTGAGCAGTGGTGACGAGTATCCAGTTAAGTTCATGAAAGTCTTTCTAACACGTGCGTGCATACGCTCCACTGCTGTACAGGTGGAAAACGAATACGCTAGCCTGGTTAGGGGAGACCATGGTGCGGAACCTACAGAACACACTTTCCCAATTCTGCGGATAGTCGAGTGCAACAACCAAGAGGTGAAGAAAGGCACAGCTTCTGAACTGTAGACAACCCGTTCCTTGCCTAGTGCGTATCATCTTCGTGTAGGAAGACCTATCGCCAAGCACTTCCGTCACGTGTTTTGCAACGGCTCGATAAGGCAAGTTCACACGCTTCATTCAGTTGTCGTCCTTGGAGCGGCCGAAGCGAGTGAAGCGAAAAATAACAAAGCCAAGAAGAGGTCTCGTTGTCTCACACAGCCTTGGTCACGCCAAAGTCCATACGAGCACTTTGAAATCGAAACTACACATGATTTTTTCACCGCGTATCGTGTTCCGGGTCCTCGTGTGTGGTGTCGCACGGATGTTCATGCAGGACTTGGTGAAGCTACGATCTGCTGGCAACTGGTTGCGGTATCTGGGAGCGAAAGGCTGCTACTTGTGGATCCACTCTCTTACGAGAGAGGTCACAGCGCTTCGCCCTCACGACTACGTTGACGAAAACTCCCTTGCAGAGGCCAAAGAGGAAGAGGACGTCACCGGTGAGGGTGGATTGGATAGAAGGGTCCAAAGAGCTGGGCAGCCCTTGCCGATCCATGATGCCAGGGGGGTGCAGCAGTCTTGATGGGTCACAATCTCGACCAACCGTTCGTGCTGTCGACCAACCGTTACTGTCACTCAACAGTAACAGCTACACATGACTCATCAAAGGCGATTGTCATGGTGACTACAATCACGGAGTTGACAGGTGTGTGTGGGCATGCGCGCTAACAAGTTGGTTCCTTATGTAACCCACCAAGCGCAATTCTTTGTCCTACGGGTCTATCTGGAAATTGTCATCTGGAAACTCACCTATTCCATCGGCCCCCGATAAATTTGTCCGCCACAAGCTACACGCCGTGTGTACGTAAGAAAGTGCCTGCGAACACCCGCTTGGCCTAGAAAGGAGTGTATACCCCGCGAGTGTTTCGTCAATTATGTCCCTGAATCAATGACCGCTTCTAGTTTCGGCGTTCAATGGCACTGTCCGTCGTGTTCGTACTTCACGACAACAGGGGGCTATCCAACCTGCCCGCTATCGGGGCTGCCGGAGCTGATCGAGAAGATCGTCGATCAAGACAAGAGAACGCCCCTCCTCATCGACAACTCTGAAGAAGGCAAAGTAACGGCCTACCTCTCCTACAAGGTAACATACCTGCGTGCATGATGCGGTATACGAGAACCAGATTCTGGTGTCCATAGAATACGTTGTTCGTGTTGACATATGTTACCGAAAGGGACCTCCGGCACACCCCCGCCTTGGAATAACGCTCATTGTTGTTCTCCCGCGCCCGTCTCGTACTGCCAGGCAGTCCTCGTGGATGTCTCTGTCCTTGCGATAGGCTACCAAAAGTCAGGGACAAAGGTACGGCCTACATCGTCGGGAATCCTAGGCCGCAATTGGGTAGGTAGCGTCTATCACACCGTCGACATTGTGGCACCTGCCGAGAGGGTGAAGCCGATCAACATGCACTATGCAGTAGTTAACTCTTCGTTGCTGAACGTCCATGAAGCAGGGCAAAACGTACCATTGTGAGATATTAGAGAATGCAACGTGCTCGTTCGTGTGTTGCGCCGGTTGTATCACCGTTTTGGGGGCAGCATTCCCCCAAGTAGTCGAGCTGAGACCATTGACTGTAACACTGGAGTGACACCATGTGACCCGTGCTTCAACAACAAGCCAACATATTGACCGTACAAGGGCCGGCCTTGACTGGTGAGAGTTAGGAGCGATTTAGATGCATACATGGTTATGGTTTCGTGTTTTGGGGGGTTGAAAAACAAAATAAGTTGGAAACACGAGTATGTGAAGGCTAAGAAATGCGAACGAGTCATGCAACATGCGAAAGCAGTTAGCGCATACAGAACTCATTGCGCGCTGGGAGATCTGGACCATACGTTTGATGAGCGGAGAGAAGCATATCCACACTGAAGGAAGAAGTTCGAAAGCTTCGAGTGAGGTGAAAAGCACACCTTGGGTGGGCCTACTTGTTTTTGCCGGTTGTCGGACAGCAGGTGTCCGATGTGATGGAAACGGTCAGAAAGAGAGCAGTGGCGGCGATGAAATCAGGGACACTGCTGGCATTGCGACTAGGTGCGCAATCCATGTTCGCAATACAAGTACGTTGTGCTGCACACCGGCGTGATTGATATCTGATGGGCGTGTGCTAGACAACAGAAGGTGCGAGATTTCGAATACTGTAATCTAGATCAACATCTTACCCTCCTAGGATTCCATCTTGTGCCATATTTGTAACAGGACATCTGACTTCGGAGCACGCCAACTTCAAGAGAAAGCTGTGTGCTCGAGATGTTTTCCCTGCCGACATGTTCCAGGTGAGAAAAGCAACCTCCACCCGACGCCACCCAAACGCCCCCCCTTGTTAGACAAGTTCTCACCTAGTACAGTAGACCTTGCTGAAATTCAACACTTGCTTCCGATTGAAGTAATGTAATGTTGTGTCTAACTTAACGGATGGCAGCAAATGCGTTATTTCTTTTTGCAATATTTGAATCTAGGAAGGAGGCAAGAAACTGTTCACGCCGCCTCGGAAACCTCGCTGCAATCTTTTGTTTCGAGGAGGAGACATGGAGCAAAATCAGTGCATCGTGAAGCCAGATGGGTTTCGGTTCTGTGTGGTTACTACTCTCCCGCCGACGGAGATTGTCGAAAAGCTGGGAGATACCCTGCCGCTCGGGTACATGGAGCCTGTATTAGTAACCTCATGTTAGTCTCCGATAGATTTTCAGTCATGGTACACCCCCTCTAGACCGACAGTCACAGCTCTTTGCTCCACGACCAAAAGATTGCCAATGCCGAGAAGGATGGTTTTGGAACGATGCCATAGTGAGCTCAGTTCATTTGTACGTAACGCTCGATTTTTTGCACCCCCTAGGTTGTGGAGCAATCGATCTTTGAAAGTCGTTATAGGGTGTGTGTGATGAGTGGTACTCTTACGGTAGTCTCCTCAGGTCCCGCCGGGCTCACCCACCGGGCCAGTGTGGTACAGCGAAAGGTGTTTTTTTAAGTCCACGTCAACACAAAAGGGTCCACTCCATACAAGATCGATCGATTTCCGATCCACAAGCAAGCGGAGTCACAGCATCAACATGTACACTGGGTCGAAGAACGCAAGGTATGATTGCCTTAGGCTTTACTGTGTTTTGGGTGTTGTGGTTCCGCGGGGGAGGCTGGGTTTTGATATGGTACCCACCGCCGGTTGCGCTGTGATAATAATGAAACTTTCGATGTCGACCTCTCTCGGTGGGAACAGACTTTCGCTTTTACTGTTTATCCTCAGTGGGAACTTCGCAGAGCACAGCGGCAGCAGCACCAAAAAACACCGTCCCGCGTACGTAGTGTGCCGTAGTAAAACGTGTGCATAGGCTTGTCCGACACAAATGGGTTAAATATTCTTGGGGCTGTCGCATCCTGCTGATTTCCGTATAATCATATATCTTGTTTCTTGCTAGGAATACAACAGCACAGCTCATTTTGATCTCTGAGGACAGATAACGTGTTCAAGCCCTCAAGGGTGGCGGCCGAAAGTTCTATCAACCTCGTTCCGCAGACAGCATGTTGTCCGCGACGTGTGGCAGTACTACAAAAGCGAGTAGCGCAGCCCGCGGCGGCTCTGGGGCGCGGGGGGGCGCCGCGAAAACAATCACTCTCCCCCCTAGGACAAACAATGTACCACAGGTAGGGGGTGAGAGCAACAGAAGGAGAAGTGGGGCGTTTCTCATTCGACACGCTACCCCAGCTACCCCTGTTCTTGTTCTCATGTCTTGGGGGTACAGAATGCACGATCCTATTTCTTATTGGAACGTGTCTTACGTTGTGGCCGAGATTGAGCTGTGTTTTGTAGCCCTACATGTACTCTCTTATGTTTCGTGAACTTTGAGCTTCTTTTCTTCACGGAATTTTTGGTTGATTGCGGACCCGTGACTGTAATGCGATCTGCATCTCTCCTCTAGAATCACCCTTGGGCTGTGTGGAACTAGTCCGACCATGGATGATGCAGGTCGCTGCTGCTTTCCTTTGTCCTCCTTGATTATGCCTCCCTATCGCCTAGCTGTACGTCATGCAGCCAGTATCCACCGCGAGTGTCAGGGCGGCTTGTATGTGGATGCAGTTACATACTTCGATGATTACCGCGGCTGAATCCTACTACGTGACAAAAGAGAGAGGGGCACAACTTGGCTGCGTCCTAGTGTGTTATTCGTTCTCCGTCTCGCCGGGATTCCATGCAACAGCGGTCAAAAGTGCTCGTTTTTTTGTCTTCGTTCTCTGTTCGCGACGCGTCGTGTGGCCGGGGACGAAGCGGCTTCGGGTACGAGGATACGTGACCAGTCAGTGATGGCCATCTAGTCGTAGGACACTTCGTAACGAGCTCCGTTGTCCAGATACATACGTGTTCATGACGTCCCCGGTTATCATCACAGCTCGTGTAGCCAAACGGCGTTGGTTATCAGGTTTCTAAATAGTTCGACCCGAAACGGAGTGTAAATGTCTGATACCTGTAGAACAAAATTCGTACCGTCGGTGCCCTGTTGGCCCCCCTGCAGAAAACCCCAAACTCCTCCATCTTCGACCTGGGGATACCTGGCCAAGGTATCCACCAAAAGGACAGCATTATTATGATCGGAGAGATTCGATCTCCAGGTCGAAGATGGAGGAGTTTGGGTTTCCTCAGGACCAACTATGCACCGACGGTATTGTTCTACCGGTATCAGACATTTACAATGCGTTTCGGGTCGAACTATAATGTAGTAACTGATACCGTCGCTTGGCTACACGAGCTGTGATGATACCCGGCAATATAATCAAAACTCATGTATCTGGTCATTGGAGCTCCTGCGGAGTACCCTACGACCAGGTGGTCATCACGGACTGGTCGCGCATCCTAGTAGCCAAAGCCGCTTCGTCCCCGGCCGACCACACCACGCATCGTGAACAGACCGCGAAGACAAAAGCGAGAATTTAGGACTTGTGACAGCTAAGACACAAGCCGGACCCAACACTGAAGAGAACGGCACATGACTCGGGAGTACTCCTGAATCTTGCCATCCATGATGTCATAACACAACGTCTGATAACGCCAACAAAATGGTGACGTAACGCACAGGCTCAAATACCAAAATGGCAACGCCATCATGGTGCACTAGCTCACTCTGAGTGGTCGTAGATAGATGCAGACACAGAAACCTCGGGAAAGCTGTAGTCAATCAAGGTTTGGGAAGGATCGAAGATGCGGGGGCTCAAAACCCTAACTCACACCACCTTTACAATGTTATCTGAATCAAGAGCGGAACAGAGTAGCCAGGGGGACGGCGACTTCGGTGAAAAAATCAGGAAAAAGGCACACGGCGTGCGAAAAATAACCAAAACATCCGAACCGAATCATCAGACGGGCAGGCGGTGACACAGAGACAGGGCTTGAGGAAGCTGAGTTGTTGCTTCTTCCTCGCGGCTCATCGGGAGCCGATATGCTACATACATCGGGGGGTGACCCACAAAGCGTGGGCAAACAAAAAGGAGGTCGCAAGAATCAAGCAGTGTGACCGACGACGCTAGTGTAACGTGATATGTACCTCTTCTTTACCATAACCATAACCTTGGGGCTACTCTTTGTGGAACTATCCGACCACACGTAGGTGCAGGTTGTTCATGCCGCCCTCTTTGTCGTTCCCATTAATTGATAAGACGATTATTTTCTATCCCTATAGCATCCAACACAAACTACTCTTGTAGACCAATGTGCACACGCGCACACTGAACACAAGAAGGACACATGACTCGCAATAGATCCTGCATCTTGCCGTGACGTCATAACACAACGACGTGTGATAACGCCAAATAACATGCATGGTAGTAGCGCAATATCACAGGGCTACAGTACCTCCAAATAATACCTTTTTCAAGGTGAAGCTCTCGATGGAGTCAACAAAATATGCTAAGAATAACCTACAAAGTTTGTGCCGGCCCGCCTGTGATCGAGGCTCAGTTTCTTACTCAGTACGAAGAAACGAAAAATGGCGTTAGAGAAACGGGCGCAACCGCTGGCACACGTGCTAGTATCTACTGTCCTGCCTCCTCTTGTGTATTACGGAGGAGGAGTAGTGGTAGCAGTCTCTGTTGCTGTACAACAAAAACATACAGAAGTTCGAGTATGCATAGCAGCAATGAGTGCTTTTTGGAAGCGCGTCAAACGCGCCACCAGCAGTACCTGCTACAACAACTGTTGTATTGTTATATTATAAAAAGAACGCAGGGAAGGCAGAATCGAACTGCTGCGACGCTAATCGCCTACGGGTTTGAAATCCGCACTCCGCACCAGCGAAGGTCATCCTTGCCACGTTGTGGAAATGCCTGCGTCAATTGTACCTTTCTAAACTCTTTTAGGAGACCAAATAGGAGTGGATTCAAGCCTCGCACCATCCCTTTTTCGACAACACGCAAACTCTCACATTTCTTTTTTTTCGCGTGCTAGGAGCTACACTTTGTCTACGCACACGCTTCCGGAAGGCGTGGAGTAAGCAACCTGCATTTATCAATGGCGCAATTCGTCTTGAGTCAGTCAGGCATGACGAAACACCCAGCAGTCTAGACGCTGTAGTCTTATTTTAGGTAAGTTCGCGGTTCTACGCATACCGTACAGCAGTAGCAGCAGCAGTAGTAGATTCATGGATCTACACCTCAACCTCTAACTTACCCGAACTGTTTGGCCTCTAAGAGCCCTAGATGTCCTTGAGCCGACAGGAGTGCGATGGGATACAGGCGGAGAGCGTGTGCAGCTTCCAGCTTCCAGAATCCAGGACGGAAAAAACGCGGCCCGACGCCGATCAATCTCCGTGATCTCCGGTGTGGTGTACGTATCTATCTCACCGCCTTCTCCTGTCGGCATCGGATCCCAGGATTCAGGGGTAAAAGGCACAAGCAGCTCTTCAGAAACCAGGTTCATAGCGGCAGCATAACTAGTGGACACTGCTTTCAGGATCTGAGTTTGATGGAGAAACGTTGGGTACAACTTCTGCTCACAGCTTGTTGTATACAGCTGTCGCTCTCGAAGATTTCTCTGGATACCTCAAGTGTACCAGTTCCAACGGGAAACGAACGAAGCACGGCGGTGTGTGTGCAAGATGTGGTGCTTATCAAATGGGAAGTAGGCGACGGGGGTGGAGGGGGGGAGCTGGTCTGGATTGAGGTGCACGATATGAGCAGTATCCCAAAGCCTATCGCGAGGTTCGATTTATTTCAGTACGGTCACAAAGGCGGCCAATTATCCCCCTCCCTTGAGATAGTACAAAAGGTGCCGGAGAGTCTCCAGATGATGCATAGTGTCATCCACTCCTGGGACCATGGCGCGTTCAAGATACCGGAAGTTCGCACGGTAAGCACCCTCATCAAGCGTCTAAGACTTTGACGAGTAGACACTGCCTGACTACTGACCTTTCGACTGCTGCCGCAGATTTGCCCCATCGGGTACTCGACGAGATGCTCTTGTCTATTTTACATCGCACCCACCCCGCGCACCCACTCGAATACAATCTACCACCAGTCAGCGCTGACTGGTGGTCTAGTGGTCATTGTGCTTTCCAACAGAACTTACGTGTTAACAAATGACAGGCAAAATGGAGCCGCGGTACAGACGGGGCATTTGTGGTCCTTCATTTCACCGAGCCAACAAACTGCCCTCCCCTCAATGGAGATGTCGACCTGAACAACGCCTTAGTGATCAATCGGGGTGAGATCACAGTGACGGCTGGCCGAGGCGAATGGAGCGCAAACGGAGAGGTCCTCTCCATCACTGACTTGGATCCTGGAAGCTGGAGAGCGATCACGGCTTCTATCTCAAGTGGGGATTTTCATGTAAAACCAAGAGAGAAGGTTTTGGTTGGTGCAGACAATGGAGGGGGCAAAACCGGGTCACCGGACGAACTAAGGGGCAGCCTGACCATGCGAATGTCTTTTCCTGGACGGTTCGTAGCACATCTCTTCGTCGGGGAGCAACTGGATTCCAGTGCTGAGATCATTGAAGTTGACTTTTGCCCGGAGCAGGTGGTTGTTGCTTTGAGCAACCCCGGGAGTGGCAGCGTTGAAGACCCGCAGCCGTTCTTCAGCGCAGATGGGGTCTTGTCGATGCCAGGAGACAAATGGCTAAAGGTAAGGAACACGTTGTGCGTGGATGCCAGGACTTCTCTTCAATCAACATTTATTGCGTGTCTCAAGAAACGAGACCGTGGTGCAACTTGGGCAAGCGTGATAAAAAGGAACGAGTCGTCTGTACTTTTTCTCGAGCAAACTCAAACGTGTAGTGTTCTCCGTTGCCTCCAACCTTCCAACCAGGTTCCTTCCAGCCTGTTCCACTATCAGCGGGAACCTGTTGGAGGTATTCAATCGGAACAGATGACACCTGGAAGGCGTAGCTCATGGAGTTTCTCCCTTTGGATTTACCTACTGGACGATGCTACTGGAAGGTGTGGCCATTTGTTCCATGGACACCAGACACAGCTCCACCCAACAGCTTGAAACGCTTCTTCAGGGTGCCTCCTAGTACCCACACCTTTACGACGATACTGTTCTCATGACAAACAGGACGATAACAAGCGTGAGTGACGACGAGACCTTGGGGTTTAGGCGTAGAAGAAGATGGTGTGGAATAAGAAGCGTGCCCCCCAACCCCAACCCCAACCCCCGAAGGCGGGTATTTTAGTGATGGTGTCTACGGGGAGCGTGATGTTTTCTTCGGCGTCCCCCTCCCCAAGCACGTCGTGGACGAAACCCCTGAACGAAATACCATCTTGAGGCAAGTGCACTACGATAGGTTAACTCCGCCAGTCTAGACGCGTTCACAAATGTCTTTTTAAACCCGCGACGACGCCGGGCGAACGCCTTTTGACCCTCGGGTTCGCAATACGGTCAGCGTAGGTGTTTCGATTAGGGTGAGAGTCAGGGATAGCTGGTCATGATGAAAGCTTATCTGGAAGTGTTATTTGAAACTCGGTACTGATCTTAGGGGCTCCCGTAACGAACCACATTGCTCAACAATCTTGATAAACCACGGAGGCACCGACACATGGCATGATTGGGGAAGTACGGCCGAAGCGACGCACGGTAAAAAGACTATAATAGGACAACAACTTGCAAATAATCAGCAAGATCTAGCACGACAGAAAAATAAGACACTCCGTGCCAAGACGACCAACAACGCAGGCTGGGTGTTTGGCCCAAGAAAGAGATTGAGCCGGCAGTTGACGGTCCTTGTCTCTCAGCCTTATCTGTCCTATTGCCGTCATGTGTCGTCTACTCTTCGACAGTTTTCGTGGCCTATTTTACAAGGGCGATGGGGGTGCAACAATGGGGCGTACACCATCAGCCTGGTTGTGTTCACATTCCAACCGCATCGCGCTGAGGGTCACAAGCGACACAAACCCCGACATTGGTGCGGATTCTGTAGCATCCCTCAACGCGGGGACCTGGAACCATGTGGTGTTTACCTTCGACAACACCACGAGCGGAGAGTTCTCGTCCACCATCTTCATCAATGGAACGCTCGACATCTCGGTGCAATTCGACGGAACAACCGTATTGGGGAACGACGGGCCTCTGCACATTGGGCGCGATACGAGCAATCTCGGTCCCAGGTGGGTCTGCTACGACAGGATGAAAATCGATGTCAGCACCCCAAAAGGCCATGAGTCGCGGTGCAGTCCGAACCGATTCGTCCTCGCGTTCGGCTGAACTACTTTGTCTTGTGCTGTTCCTCGTCTCCCGACGGCAGGTTCGAGAGTCGGTTCAACTTGCTTTGGACAAGGACATTTAGGGGGTCGAAGTCGGAACGGCCTCAACGTCTCGAGCAGGAGCTCACCCCCTCTTACAATACTAGGCGTCTCTTTCACCTGCCGCGTTTGTATGTCCTATGCCCAGGTCTCTAGTTTCCTTGGTGCGGCTGTGGAAGGGGGCGCTTTCTCCAGATCAGGTCGACGCCGTATTTCAGGCATCAAAGCCTCTATTTCTCCGTGAAGCGTCGACTGCTTTGGCATCTCGCTATTCTTCAATTCACGCCATTGTTTCCATGACATCGAGGATGCAGACAACTTCGACGTGAGTTTGAATAGATTCAACAATTGATACCTCCCAAGTTTATTGAAGTTCCGTTTACCGACGACGAAGAGGTTAACGGTTGAACGTCTGCGACTCGAGAAGCGCTTGCATATCATGTACCAACTGCCTTTTCTCTGCATCACCTAAACACTGAACGCCGAACACCGTCCCGCGTCACGCAATTTACGGTGTCGTAGTCAAGGTGGTCTTTGGGTTGAAGAGACAGAGACGATCTGGTCAGATCCATCCCACCTAGAGCTCGGACGCTCTGCTTATGAGGCAGCAGTGGCAGCAACGGATCTTTGCAAGGCGTTCGCCGAACGCCTTGACTTGTACCGAGTTGCCAGCGAAGCCGGGCACGTCGAATCACGAGTAAGGTGTGCACAAAACATGCTCAGGATGGTCCAGGTTTTGAATTGGCGAAATACCTGCCTCTTACGTGTCTGGATAATCTGCAAGTGTGACACCACAGTAGAAGTAGTCGAAGCCAAGGGGTGTTGCTCGTGTGACTTTGGAGGTTAGACGCGCACGTGGCGCCTATAGAAACCGCTCCAACAGTACGCCGGCCTGCCCAATAGTAGTGAGAGCCGAGGACAAAGGAGATAAACGTTCTTGCTCCTCGCCCAATGGTTGCTCGAAACTGCCCAAAAAACAGGTACGCTTCGCTTCTTCTGACTGGGCGAGAGCAGCTCGACGGGGAAAATGCTGCGAGATGCGGAAGAGAAACGGAGCTAGAGGCACGAGCGACCGCCGTGGCACAATGGAATGATGGTGGGGCAAGAGTCGTAGTTGATCAACTCGAGCTGGCAGTGCTAGGCGGATCTTTCCGGGCGGCATATATGCTCGCGACGACAATGCTAAGCGGGCTTGGTGGCACTGCCGCACACGATCGATCAATCGCAGGTGGGACAACTGTGACGGAAGAACAATACTTGAGGAACACGGTCTTGAATTTTCATCAGCGATTGTTCCTGGGTAGAAGATCATTGAGGGTCTAGAGGCAACCGTTGTAGTAGTAAGCTCATCGCCGAATCTACGCGCTTAGCGCAGCTACCATCCGGTTTCTGGCAGATTGCGCGAGGTGTCAATCGTACCGAGTTTCTCCAGCAACCCAGCATCTTGCCGGCGTCGGGGTCGGTGCCGCGGTACTTGACCAATGGACAAGCGCAGCAAACACCACTCGCGAAGAGGACAGCGACAGAGGGAGTCTGAAAAGGTGGAAAGTGCCGACCACTTCAAGGGCTATCGCCTTACTCCACTTCGCGGCGGTCGGTGGTTACTTCGAAGCACAGTTAGCCCTGGGTTTAAGGTAAGATACACCAGTCGGTAGAGGGCTAATTCCACCTTGGCTCGTGTGGTGGATCGAGAAAAACGGGTTGGGCGCAACCCAATGAGATCTTGCCAAACGTCCTCCCGTATCGCCTCCTAAAAGCGTGTGAAACCCTTGTGGTCTTGGCGTTTCTCGTGCACGCTGCGTGAGCAGGTATCTCCAAGGAAATGGGGTACAACTCGATCTGGAGACGGCAGCTTACTACCTTGCATGTGTATGCGACAAAGCGCACGCCGAATACCACCTTGTGGGTAAGCAGCCTATACTCGAGATGCAACGCCTGACAGCAGCGAACGAAGCCGTTGTGGAGGTCGGGCAAAAAGGAGAAGACGACGACGCCCTTCAGTACCAGGTGAACAGACTAGGTCCTTGTACGAAAAACAGAGGCCACAAAAGGGATTCGTTTCGACGACGGCCTACAGTTTCCTGTAAGCCACGGGAAATTATTACGCTGAAGAGAAAGAAGAACTTGCTCTTGTCTTCCAGTGGACTGGATACTTGTTTCCACTCATCATACTCTTGTGCTACTGTATCGATTCATAGTCCAAGCACAAGTAATCACAAACACAACCATCAAGAAACATAAAAGAAAGCACCGTCACACGTGAGCCAAGGTAGTGAAGCAACTGACAGCCATAATACAACCGGTTGCAGGAGAGGGCTGGAGCATGTAGTTGCACCGTCACAGGTTCAAACCCCGTTTGAACACCAAACCGGCTTGTCAATGTTCATGACACAACAGATTCATCGAGCGGAGCAGGGCGATGTTCCCAGCATTGAAGCTATGGGTGACCTTTACTACTGGGGGGCGCGGGGGGTCACTCGTGATCAGAGTCGAGCACTGCAATACTTTAACCGAGCTTCCGATGCTGGAAGCAACAACGCACGGTGCGCTGCAGCGGTGAGTGATCCTAGAGCGCGATTTTGTGAGCCGATGAACTGCACTTCCTTGTTCGTATGATTTCGTCAAAGGTATTTTAGGATGGCCCCCATCGCCTGCTAGATGTCGGTCAGGATTTGCTAACCTTTTACTCGCATGGCCTACAATTAGTCACGGCAATCGTTTGTTATTGTTCTCCTCGAAAACGCCGCCGTGCATACTCATGTGTCGAAGCTTCCAACGCTTTACGATTGGTGCTATATCGCTAAATTGACATGATTTTCGTCGACATGGTGCCGACCTTTGAAACTCATGACAGGGCATGTACTTAAAGGGCGAAGGGACCAAAGTAAACCACACGAAGGCGGTGGAACTATTCGAGCTCGCGGCCGCCGAAGGCTATGTACGAGCTCTGAACGGACTGGGATATGTGTACTTCAACGGGCACGTTCTTCCTCAAAATTTCGTGAGTAGTCAGTGAACGTGTGTATGAGTGTGTAGATCAGGTTCAATGGCGGAGTTAAAATAGAAGACGTTCGTCGGCATTTGCTACGGTCCACGAGAAGAACATGAAGCTATGTAGGTCCACCATAGGTCGGCTACGCCCGGGTTGTCATTTTTGTATACTGTAGATAAGTAGGTCGACTGCACCACTAACCCCACGGCTATGCATGGAAGTAGAAGTCTTTCCTCCCTGTGCTCGTTCGATACTGCTGGGCACAAGGTGAAATCTTCAACAGCGCAACGCGTGGATGGCTGTGTTCCGTTGAACTGTCTTATCCCAACAGACGAAGGCCTTCGGGTATTTCGAAAGAGCCTCGAACATGAAGCAGGAAGCTGATTCTCTCTTCAACACCGCCCACTGCCTCGCTCACGGGATCGGGACAGACCAAGACCTTGAACGGTGTGTTTCTGCTGCATAGATTGCTACAAGGTACCCCAACAACAAGCCGAGCGTGCCCTAAATTACTTGCTTTTTTTCGTTCGCAATATCAACGAGATGCGCACCGCTTTCCACGACAACCAAGGGTAACATGCTGGACAACACAATATCTAAGCCACGTCATACACCCTTTCTTGATTCGCAGTGCCGCGGAATTGTTTCGGCTTGGAGCTGGGTGGGGCCACGTCGATTGCGCGTATGAGCTAGGGTACATGTACGCTCAGGGGATAGGCGTGGAACGTGATCCTGCGCTTACAGCTAAGTACTTGGCTGTCGTGGCTCAGGTGAGAAACTGTCTAATGTTGGTTGAGTACATACCGTCGGCCGTAAATGGCCCTCTTGAGAATGATCTGTGTGCCATGTTTTGCTGAGGCGTCACGCATTCGCTTCCAACACGGCGTGATTCTTCTCGCTCATCACCTTCCTTCTAAGCGATAGCCAAACACAAGTTGAACCAAGAGAAGTTGACAACATCACCTTGCCTTACTCTTACTTCAGAAAACACTTGCTGGTAAACCTCGTGCGTCGGATACAGGCTGGCCCGTGGGGGCGGCGACTCCGACTGGCGTTCGACTGCTATCTCCAGGGTGATATGCTGTCGGCTCTCACTATGTACTCAGAGGTAACTCGGGTCGTGGAACCGTCAGTCAGTCGATTGTGCTTTACTCGGTATCGTTCAGGAAAAAGGCACGCAAGTATCAATATCGTGTGGTTGACGGCAGTCCCACTCCTCGACAATTTCTCCACAGGCGGCAGAGCTCGGGTATGAGGTGGCCGCCAGCAACGCGGCGTTTCTACTGGATGAGGGAAAGCTCCGCTTGGACGGTGAATTGTTTCAAGGTGAATTGTCGGACGTGCAGACCAGGAAGATAAGAGTTAAAGCATTTTTTTCTCCATGTGATACTCTCGTCCAAGTATGTGCACGTGATACTTTCGTCGACGTATGTGCATGCCAATTTTGGTCATCACACAGGTGGTCGTTCTGCTCCGGTGTGGTCAGAGACTATGGCTGTTCGGCTCCACATCATGGCCGCCACGAAAGGTTACGCACCATCGTTTTTGGCGATCGGAGACGCCTTTTTTTACGGAAGGGCCGGACTTCCGAGGTAGGTAGAAAAACCCTTCGCCAAAAGTATGATGAGAGGAAATACTTGGTATTCACAAACAATATGCCAGCTGACAAGATGGACTAGAACTCGGGGCGTTGTCTCCTTCAAGGCCTACCTGTGTATTCCATGCCAACAACTATCAGTAGCACCGAGGGATCCATGAAACTGGATTACAGCGAATAGTCAGATGGAAAGAGCGTACGCTCCGTGGGCTTAAGTCAAACCACGTAGCATTGGTTTTCTTCAAGGTGTTTTTGTCTTGGGCGACCCATGGAATATCGCTTTCCAATACTGCCCGAATGGTACGGAACGACTGCCCTGCAAACACAAGTTACAGTTGGTCACCCCTGCGCTTTGTCCTGCTACCGTATTGCACAGGGAGCTAACCCTAGCGTGCTGGTGGTATTTCAGGGCCAGTTCTTCAGGCTTGTTTCGCGGAACCTACAATCTTGGTGAGTTTTCGTTTACTCGTGTCGCCACGGGCAAACACCCGTACGTACGCAAAGTAGGACTCCCATCGTGCACACGCGAGGTGAGACTGGCTCCTTCTCGATCCCAAATACTGCGGTTCAAGGACTAGGTCTCAAGGACTCGCTAACAGCCCATTTAAATGTGTGCCCTCCGCCTGCTCAGGATACTTGTACGAACACGGCCTAGGCGTTCCCCTGGATTACGCCAAGGCTTTGACGTTCTACGACCAAGCTCGGAGTGTACCTGCTGCAATGGCTGACGTTGACCAGGGTCTAACCGGGATGCCGATTCAGCTATTGATTTCTCTAGCGAAGATCAGGTGAAAAAACTTCCGGGTACCGAGCTTTCACCATGTTAGCCCTCCCTCTACCGCTCTCCAACTTCTGGTAGGGCTCTGTAAATTAACCTTGATGAGGTGTTGATCAAAAGTGCTTCGCGTGCACTTGGTTCGGGCTGATGCCTTTGTCGCTCTGTGTCTCCTTCTTTCCACTGCGCGTTTCGGGAAGATTGTACTTGAACCGTGCTTCCGGAGGTCGGTTGGCAAGCCTCTGGCAGCGTCGGGAGAACGAGGAATGCCACAACAGCACGCAAGATTGGCTGCCGGAATGGTTCGTGCTTGCAAAGCTTTCGGACAAATTCGAGTCTTTCACTCGTTGGCGCACTATGTGGCAAGGTCCGAAAGTGTTCAACCACGTCGAGATCAACACACCGTATGCTGGCCGACCTCTTCGTATAAGCTCCATCGGGCTGGCAGCCGAAGACGTTCTGTTGCTCATCTCGTCCACCTTGCTGCTTGTTGTGTTGTTTTTACGTTGGCGTAGGCGGCGTGCGAGAAGGCTCTGATGATCACCCCCCAAGTACCCACATGAATTGCCTGATGGTGGTAAGACCGTACCACCTGTTCAGACCTCCTGGCGTGTACATGTAGCCTATGTTCGTTGATACCGGACGAACAGAGTTCGTGTTTTTTCAAGCCGAAGAGCGAAGCAAACGCAATCACGATGACAAGCGTGACAACATGTGCAACCATTTCATGGACCCATCCCGATCTGCACGGGCCATGTTGTGTCTGATGCAGCTGTTTGCCCCCCTCAACAAGATTCCCGTGAGCGGTGGAAAATTCAGAGAGATAGGTCACCGCATAGACTAAACCTTCTAGGCCGCAGTGTATTCTTAGCTAAATGAATGAGACTGCACAAATATTGGCACGATGGACCCTTGACCGACAAACGACAAGGCCTGGAAAACCAGCCCCAAGCTCGCGGATGCTCTCTCGCGAAAAGCAGTAGATATTGCGATTCCAAGGTTCCCAATACCCTCTGTGCAATGTTAATGTTTTGACGCGTCCGCCTTAAAACTAACCGGCTGCAATTCGGCGGCGGAACCCCCAAAGCGTCAAAAGTTTCTGTTATTCTTCCGTACGGTAGTTTTGATGAAGGTTGCGCAACTTTTAACTTACCCCTGCTTTCATCCGACGAGTTGTCAATTTTGCATTCACTCGTGAGATTGTCGTTTTTGGCGGTCCTGCCGACTCTACTCTACATCCCGTCAAATTATAACCTCATGCCTCTGAACGAAGGCCGGTTTCTTCCTTGTTTTGCCCACAACCTACAATAAAGATGAATCTTACAGCCCCTAATGTCTAGTCAAGTTTCTTGTACGCTTATATTCGATGCCAACGAGCGTACCCTGTTCGCAGTCAAAGGCACAGTAATCTGATGGTTGTTGGCGCCGCAGCAGATTTTCTCTTTCTCCTTCGTTCCACGCGTTATCGAACCTTGGTCAATTTCACCTCCTGCCAACCAAAGCAAACAATCAGCGGTTAGACAGGACTGGAAACCATGCGGATACGCCGAGCCATGACGGTGTGGGGATACGCCGAATCATGACGGTGAAGATGTATCTCACCCTGGCCCAGAACTACAATACATGCCAGGAAAACACTCGATTGTTTTTTTTACATGCGTTTTGGAAGACAGGTGACTGGTAGCACTCGAAGTATTCTTTACCTTCGACAAATACCACAAATCGATACAGGTGAACGTGCGTGTTTGTCACAACAAGCGGTCGAAGTTTGCAATGTCTTCAAAAACCGGAGTTGCAGCAATCTCGCAAAGCTGCCGCGGTGTACTCGCCGCAGCGCTTGTGGCCACTGTATCGGGAAGCGAATCCAACACTCTGCCCATAGTTTGGTCTACGGCTGGGTGTTTCTGTTCGTCATGTCTCGCCCAATGAACTACATGTATCCCATTCAGCACCAATCCTAGCGCCTCAAGAGCTTTTCCTCACCCCACGCATTGGTGTCTGCACTGTTGGAGCGAGGTGTTGCTGCTGGGTAAGCATGTGGTGTCTATCGTAGCGCTTCAAGCGCGATGCCGACGCCGGTGTCTTGTTGAAACACTGCAATACATAGACACGGGCGTGCTCTTCTTGGAGAAACATTGCCCATCAAGGTCTGGTGGTTAACTCAAGCATGAACCGCCGGTAACCTGGCAGCACTCACGAAGGTCAGGGGCTCCTTGTTGCGGGTGTTGATCTGCTGCTTCGGTCCCAGGCCCATCGGGATCGGCCCTGGATTTCCGTCCTTGCATCCTTCAACATAGCCCAGCTGCGCATTGCGGGTGAAAAAAAACAAAAGAGACCCAGCAGCACACACACGCACACCGGCAATTTTGCTCAGAATATGAAGCAATGAAGGAAGGTTGCCAGGCAACATACGCTGATGCCCTCATACTTGGTGGGGCGGTTTCTCTTCTGTCCTAGTTTCAACAAGCCTAGTTTGGGACGGTACGATGTTCGTTAGATACGTACTACTCTACTGCGAATGTATATGTACCATTGTTCACTCCAGGGCTTGCATGCTCCCTGTCTATCTGCTTGACAAGGTGGTCCGCACACTAAGCGTTCACGCGGTAGGGCTTTCGCAACAGAGGTCTTGTTGAAGGACGTATGCAAAGGAAGAATACATTTCTTCTTGCTCCCTCCCGAGGGCGGTCCTGCAAATTGCCTCACACACTACGATATGTTTACGAATGAGCATGAATATCTCCCAATTCAATGACCTCATTGCTGTACTTGGAGGTATTGTGCTTTCAGGGTCATCGAAGTAGGTAACGTTCCAATGTTCGTGGTGTGCCCGAGAGTAGGCAGTTCTCACCTCAGGTGGTACCACGATACGTCGAGTGCCACCGCTTTTCATTCCTCGTATCCCATCGTCCAAACCCTTGATGGCTCGCTTCGCGTCACCCACCTGGGAGGAAAAAAAGCAGCAACAGGGTAATTTCCTATCAGCCTTCTCTGTTCAACTTTCTCTGTTCAACTTTCTCTTCTCTCTCCTTGTGTCACCTCGGTTTGTGCCTGCTTCCAGCATTTACCGTGAGCGAACCACTCAAACAACTTTTGTAGCAGTTTTTTCTTAGATCCGTGCCGTGGTGCATGAGACCCTTGCCTGATTCCATTTAGTATCCAGCAGTTCCGCCACTCACCACACGAACAATGCAATTCCCACTCTTCCTTGGACAATTCTCAAACACTTGCATACACAAACAGTGGGATAAGGAACATCATCCTTCCCTACATAGGTTCACCGACTTTGTGTCCCGATCCCAACTTTCAACTTTCAACCGCAATTCTGAACCATACCAAGGAAACCATGGTGTATTGCTTGTCAATCTCGGCCTTTTCCCTAAAAGGCGTCTCGCTCACCCTGTAGATGAAAGGCTCGCCTCCTCCCTCCTCGGAAGAACTGACGTAGTAACCGTTCGAGCGGCGCATAACCCACTTCAGGGTGACACCCTTGCCGGTGTCGGCAACAGGTCCATCACCGGCAACAATGTCGGTAATCTGGACCCTGGGCAATCGACCGCGAGCGGCGTGGAACAAGGAGGGTTTGAAACAGTCCCTTTGTCCCAACTAAATTACGCTGACGCACAGAGCAAGCAAAAAGAGCCTTCAGTCATCACGAGCGCGTATTAGAGGTGAACTCCCAGTTTCAAGCACGAACGGGTGCGCGGCTATCGCAAGGAGGAAAAGACACGGAATTACATCCTGTTCGACTTCATGGGAAGCGCGGCGAACAACTCCGTGTGTCCGAAAACATTTGACGAACCTAAACGCTATTTAGATTACCCGGATGGAAGGACCGTGAAGGGTGGGATGCTTCCTTCGCCTCCGCTACGCAGTGCCGGCTTCGCACTGTCATCTGCTCCACAGAAGGCAACAAACCACGCGTAAAGGCAAGGGGTGAAGACTAGAGGGAGCCGCATAAGACTAAAAGCATTGGTGCATACTGCACCCTCACGCTGATCGTTTGAGTCAAATAGAAATACGCCAATGCCGATAGTTCGTCAAACCTGACACATTCTTGGACTTTCCGAACACGACGCTGGAAACTTAACGTGGCGGGCTTGGCTGCGTCTCACAACTGAATGTTGGTAGATGCCATTCTCAACATGATTGCAGAGCGCACCCAACAGCATACCCAGTTGATGCTTCCTCCCGTTCTCGTGAGACAAGTTTTCGTCAAGACAAATTATCAACAACGCCAAATCTTCTTGTTGGATGAATCAGATCGCAGAGTATGCCGTCAAATTTTACGAAAGTGTCGCAACATTTGATTTATATGACCTGACTTCGTTTCTCTCTGCCGTGGAGACAAAACATCGTGTTCAGCCAAAGGAAAACGCCCGTTCCTCACCGTCCGGAAGCTTCATGACAGGTGCAGGCGCCTTGGCTGATACCCCGACAGCCGTAGTACTCCAAGCCGTACTGCCGGTCACACAGGCTGCAGCGACGCTGCGTAATACTTCTCCTCGCGACATTCCCTGGCGCAAACATGCACCGTTGTTGTGCGAGGATGTCAATAGAAGACATCTTCGGTGAGTCGTGTGCAGTACGGAAAAACTCGATTCCATGCGCGATGCCAATTAATCTGCAACTAAACTCTGCAGACATCTTGAATCTGTGCACGACGGATCCGTTGTTGTGAGATGCTGCGCCTTCCTGGTGAAATTCGGATACGAAGAAGTCGTCCTGGACGCGGTGCACGCAACATGATGTATTGCTCGGCATGGATATCTGGAGACGGTTTAGCGGTCGCTCTTGAAGCACCTTGACCCCAGGACTACCTGGTGGTCGGGTTCTCGATGAACGTAATTTAAACCATCATAAACATGGTGATGGTGCCACGGCCTTTGTTCATGATCTATCTGCGTTTGTGACAATACTGTAGTTACCAACTTTAGGCTGCCGGTGAGCATCCCACAAACGTGCCAGTAAGGTAATTTGGTGTGCAGCGAGCGATGGTTTCCAACCCTCATCGGCAATTACGTGGTGGGCATCTCCGCCACACAAAGCCATTTTCTTCTGAAGAAGATTTGCGGCTCATGGTCACGAACAGGTGCCATTGAAGAGTTTGCCGGGTGCGTGCTGTTCAAAGTAACGGTTCCGCTGTTATCCTATTTCCTCCCAGCTCTTTTGGGAGAAAAAGCGATGATCGTATTGAGCGTCTCGCTGAGCTCATTCGGGCTCCGGAGGTTCCAGGTGCTTAGTGCTGCACGTTATTCACCTTTCATCCAGCAAAGCCCTCATTCTACAAGCTGAAAACAAATACAACTACAACCACACAACAGTTGTACAAACGCATCGTAGTCTATGTCCATACACACGTATCCAGACGACACAAGATAAAACACTCCCTGGACCGATTTTCGAAGCTCGATTTATCGAAAGTAGAAAGAGTCGCAGCGCCGAAAAAGCGGCGTTGAAGTCGTCTGGTCGAGAGCTCTCCGAAAATGCACCGTTTCGTTTATGCATCCTCTTCGTCGTGGAGTAATCGAGCTTTGAAAATCGGTCCAGGGGGTGTGGTATTTTACGTCGTATACGACAGTCGATATCCAACACAAACCCAGCAGTCCACCGACAGAAGGCAGGCATTAAGTTACATATTTTGGGGATTCCATAGTCTCGAACAGCACTCGGTCGCAGGAATGAGCATAGATAGGCACAGCGTATGGTATGTTACCAATCGACAACCATGCTGAAGCTACTGACTCCTGAAACGATGACATGATTTGCGTGCGCATGTTTGCTGCTGGATGCACTAACGTTGTACAGGTCGCAGAACATAAGCTACTGACTCCTGAAACGATGAAATGATTTGCGTGCGCATGTTTGCTGCTTGATGCACTAACGTTGTACAGGTCGCGGAATATAATGCCTTATTTACTTCCCTGGAGGCGCGGCAAAGACAGTGCAAAAACCTATAGATGGGCAAATAGAAACGAAAGTTGACCCGCATCGATGTGCGCTGCACAACTAAAGGTATAACTTGTACACACCTCGTCAGCAGGAGAGGAACACATGCGCAGTCCAGTTGCACGACGAACACCCAAATGCGGGAATGTAGCGGGGACAAAAGCATGTGTGACGAGCTGGGCAATGGCGAAAATGCTGAAACTCAATCGATCCATCATCTCTGCGGTCGGGATTCGTGTGCACGGAAGTGAGCAAGACGACCGAGGAGGAAGAGGGGGCAGTGGGCAGTGCAAGACAGACACCGAGTGTGGAGAAAATGCGGCGTAACCTCGGAGCTCGGAGCCCAGTGACGTCATGATGACGTGCGTTCCTTCTTTTTTTTTTCAAACCCATCATTCCTCCCTTCCTCACTACCGCAAAGCAGGCCGTGACACCCACAAAACAAAACGGAGAGCACCAACGGGGCTCGTGAAATACTGTCAGACAGAGAGATCAAGACGTGTTAGCTCACAGCCATTATGCAGCTGCTGCTACGCGCAACCGCCACCCAAGTACCTAGCTGCTGACCCATTATCGCCAGATGTAACGTTTGTTCCTCTTCGGTGTTGCGGCGGGCCGACCGCGTGTGTCACGCAGTTCGTGCCGCCTCCCGAAAGCACCGAAGAAAATACCCCCGATCGAGCGCACAATCAACGGGATGTGTTGAGGTCCTGGTAGTAGTAGTGAAGGCTCATGGACCCCTCTCCGAGACGGGACGTGGATGGGTTGTGCTGAGTTCCTCACACGCAAGAAGGCGTACACAAACACAGCTTAGGTTGACGGTACATGGACCCTAACTGGAATGATGCAGTGCCATCATGGCAGCAACCGAAGACCCCGCACAGTGCCTCTTCTTCAAAGATACCGTCTCCTGCAACAGCAAGTGCAGGGCAACTACGACAGTGGGCTAACGTCCCACGTGGCTGTAACAACAATAGGCCTCGTGCGGATGATACGTCAACTCCGATGACCGCGTCGTCGAGAATCGGCACATGTAGTTCGATGCGAAGCTCAGCCTCCACTCCGGGACTCTCGACGGTCGGCCTCGGGAAGTTCAACATTGCTGCGCTGCACCAGGTGATCCAGCAGCCGGACACCAACAACACAACAGAGCAATGTGACGACTTTTTCCCCGGGGGCCTCGGCGTACCGGACAGTTTCCAAGGTGAGTCTATGTAAGTGCGGTCATGAACCCGCCACTCACATTGGTGCAGATGTTCTTGTACGCCCTGTGTTCGCGCAAACAAGGGGAGGGAAGTAAGTGTACTCGAGCTTTCAGGCTTGAAGTGCGTGTCCTATGTTCATGTAGTCTCTATTACAAACACCACACCTATAGACCACTGTACACAGAATATGCATTAAGTATGCATAGGCGGGTCGTTTCATGGGATGCGCATTGCCTCCTTGGGATCATGGTTATGCGCTTATGTATAGTCTCCTTGGATCCCACCACACGGGGGGCGTGAAGTTCGCAGCTGTCCTTCTCCGTGACAAAGCAAGAGTTACTGTAGGTCAAGAATACGTCGTAGTCCTTCCCGCGGCGCATATGTCGTGCCGGGTGTTGTAGTACACCCTCATGTCCGAAGCTGTTGAAGATAACATGTGGTAAGCATTTTCACTTACAGGGACTTAAGTTACAGACAATTTTAATTTTGTAGGGGGGAAAATATTGCCAATGGATGACAGCGTCAGTGGCAAACGGCTGTGGGTATACTTTATTCAAACAGGCCTGGACCCAGAGGAAAATCGACCGCCGGCAGAGCTTTTCGTTTGGGGCCAAGAACGAGCCAGAAGGTGGGATCGGACCGAGCCAGTCCACTCCCCAACCTCTAACCCTACGTCGAAAGGTGGCGATCCCATCGCCTCGGGAGCAGACCCCACTGCAGGTCTGCCGGGGATACAACGATCGGCAACGGCAGCGGCAGGCCGCCCTTTCACGGTCACCACAGGCATGAAACGAAGGGGCTTGGCTACCGCAGGCGGCGAGCCTCCCTGCTTAGGAGGTCATCGAGCTGGTGGGGCCGGCGGGGCCGGCAGGCGGAGGTCGTCAACGGAGGGAGGAGTACCGATTGCCAACCGTAGAAACAACTATTCGGCGGTGAGAGCTAGCCAGGGAACCTGGCAGTTTATCGCTAGGGCGAAATCGGTGCGGGAGACACCTGTTTCTAGGGGCGACGCTTCTAGTCTCGTTCGAGAGTTCGAGGCCGCCATGGCGGTGATGGACAACCATGTCGGGGGTCGGGCGGAAGGTCACGACGGGGCTTTCATGAGTCCAATGCAAAATGATATACACGGCTTGCAGCAGGAGGTCAGCAGAACTTTTGACGCCCGCGAGGCTGTGGTAGAGGCGGTTGAAATCGTGGATCGATGTGTAGGTAGCGCAGGGAGGGCAGGGGGTGGCAGCGGAGGGGGGTCGCAGCAGGGACGTTGGCAAGACACGGGTGGAGGGAACCCGCTGTCGGAGCCGATCGTTGAAGATTCTGTGCAAGATTTGGGAGGGTCTCCGCTAGATTTGACAGGTCACTGGGTCAAGCGTGCGGTGGGTATCGGCCCCGACGACTGGGCTGCCGCCAAGCGTATTCTCGGGAGCTGTCTTTTCGAACAAAAGTGGCTAGACCTAACGTGCGGGGAGCTCGCCGACCAGGTCACCGTTATGTGCCTGCCACACGGGCAGCTGCTCCAGGAACTGCGCCGGCGAAACGCATCGGCGTTCAACCGCCTGCACGGACTGTACAGCGACTGCTTGTGGACGCTGGACAGGTGCGTGGCGAGTGTGCTAGAGGGGCGGAGGGAGAGAAAGCAGGCGGAGGAGGATTGGACCAAAAAGCTCGAGAAAACGTGCGCAGATTACGAGGCCAAAATCAAGGCCATCCACGACAGCCGAGGTTTCGAAGAACAGGAGCAGGCGCGGGCTAAGAGAGAGGCCAAGGCACACGTGGATAGGATGGGAGACACGCTTCGTACCCTGAATGGTATCTTCAAGACAATGCAGGCGGATGGTAAAGCAATGACCGAGGTAGACCTCAAGGACCGCTGCAGATCCCTTGAGCAGGAGTTGGCGTCCCGGAGAGAAGAAATGCAGGAACTCCGGAGATTGAAAGAGAAACACCTGGAAACGGAGGCAGAGATGGAGCAGGTGAAGCTAGAACTACAAAAGACGAAGTTAGAGGCGGTCAAGATCAAGGAGGAGATGGAACGGCGGCAATCGCTTGTAAAGGAACTCATGGACAACGAGGCCAAACGTCTCACCGAGATCGAAACCTTGAAGGCGGGAACCGACAGAGTAGGTGGAGGCGACGAAGATGATGGAGAAGGCGACGAACGAGAGGGGGACCATCCCAGAGACGAGAAAGCGTCTGTCAAGAACAGAAACAAACGTCGGCACAAAGAGACCAACGGCGGTTCGAGCGGAACTGGGGGCTCGAACGAAAAATCGAAGAAAAGCGGCGGCGAATCGGGAAAAGCAGCAAGCGATGACGATGACGATGACGAACAAGAAGTAGGCTCTTCCGTGTTGTGCATAAAGTGCCGCAAGGCTTTGGATGACCTCAGCAATATTGCCGATGCGCTGGAGAAAGAGCGGCAACTGAAGGGACAGACTCGGCTGCAGTGCCACGGGTACCGCTTGCTCCTGCCCAACCTCAAGGGATACAGACCACCGAGGACGGTGGCATGGGTACGGACGGTAATGCGAGCCATCCTGAGGGCAAAGATCTGGGACGACAGCGTGCTGCGGTACAAGCAGGACCTCCGCGTGCGCTTCCCCGAGTTCACCTACGCTTGGTTTGAGCCCCCAAGGGCCGTAATGGCAGCTGCGAACGCCAACGTTAGGTCCAAGCTTGTGGCACAGGCGGATGACGACCGGTGGGGACTATACTACGGAGTGAAGTCGCTGGCGCGTGAGAGCGCCGAGGCGACCCTCTTCTGGCACGCTCTGAACGAGAGCAACGGAGAGGACTATTTAACGTTCCTCGTGTACTGCCTGGCCATTGTGGAGGGCACCGCGGGGTCTATGCTTCGAGACCAATGGGGAGTCAGTGCTACGTGCACCGACCTGCACACGCTCCAGCGCCAGGTCCAAGAGGCTCAGGCTGTTAAGGAACGTTCAGCCAGCAAAGTGGGTAGCGCCATCGGGACCGGGGCTGGGAGTGTGACTCTGCGGGGTGCTGACAGAGGAGACGAGAAGGAGCAGCTTGAGCCGATGGCCAGCGGCACAGACGTGGTATGGTTGCGTTCGAGCGACGCCAGGGAAACGGTAGACCACATTCTTGTAAAGGCTCTGGAAGACCAAAAACGCAGGGTGCTGGACGCGACGAGGGCTATCTCGGTGTCTTGCGAGGGTCGCCTAACAGACCAAGACCCTTCGTCCACCTGTGTCGACTTGTTCCTGTTCCTGCGCATCCTGCTGCATTCCTTCAAGGAGGAGCAGGTCAACAGACGGGCGGCGGTACGGCTCATGTTCGAGACGGCGTCAACGGGCGTCCTCACGGACGGCACACCAATCTACGGGGACGGGAGGGTGGATCAGAGCGCCCTAGCGGCCGCAGAAACCGTGTACAACAGCCTCTTGAACGAAAGCAAGGCCGTGGTGGACCTGCCGCAGTTCATGGTGATCGCCCGAACGCTGTGGCCGGAGGTGACTACCTCAGATGCTGTTGCCGTGTTCCGGGACGCGCACGAGGACACGAACGGAGAGGTGGACTACCAAGCTTTCTTGAAGCTCGCGGACCGGTGGCAATTCTTCAGTAACGCCCTCCAGCTGCCGGTTCACATGCCGAGCCGGGCCGACCTCGGAGAAGAGATGGACGCCGCTACCAGGAGCAACCTAGGCGCCCTCGTGCACCGCCACTACAACCTTATGAAGCCTGCGATGGACACCGTGAAGCAGACGATGCCCGAGAGCGCCGTGAAGCAGCTAGTCAAGTGCCAGAGAGCCGTGGAGAGGGAGCTCAACGATGTCAGTCATAGCTACAATCCTTACTCGTATTCATGCCTTGTGCACATCGTGAAGGGTAAGGGTAGTGTTACGGTTGACCAATGTCACATATCCCCAACATCCTTGGAGCTCAATTCCCTCTCTTGACGTTGGCGGCGCGACGAAGGTTTGGATTAGGTGGCAACAGACCCGGGTTCCGACCCCGCCCACCCTGTTTCAAGAACGGTGGCGGAAACATAACAAAAGTTAAAGTTACTCGAACTCGTGGAAGTAGTGTCGTGGCGGACGTAGCACACCCATACAACCACGCACATTATGGATCGGCTCACCACCAGCCGATCGACTTTTCCGGTTACCCCTAGAAACCTTCTTCCTTGTCTACCAAACAACAATAAGGCTCAGATGTAGGCGTGCCTTTTGAAAGGGTCACCTCTCCCCACCATCCGTCGAGGATGATGCCCTCTTTTCACAGCACAGTGTACATTCGGAGAGTCCGCTATTTGCGGAGAGGCCTGTGCTTTGTGAAACCCGAGACCCGACCAACGCGCAAGCTCGCGAAGAGAGACCATTAAGCTGACCATACCCGTCCTCCGAACCCAAAACGAGGCGAATAACTTCTTCTCTTTCAGGCGTACACGGTCACGCAAGACTCTTCCACTGGATCACAATCATCCAAATCAAGAAAACGTGAGAGCGGCAGCAGCGGAGAGGATGGCGCGCTAGAGCCAACCCCGGCTCTGTCTACCACGTCCATGGACGGCACAAGACCCCTGGCGGCATATCGGAGGCTCTTAGCCATTCTTTACCACATCCGAAACGTCAGGCACGAGTCCGGGCCGGGGTACGAGACGGTGCCCGGGAAAGGTACAAACGTGGTGCAGAAAACAGAAGCCGAGTTCAGAGCTCTCGAGACCGTCTTCTTCGACCTGCACATCGATAGGCGCTTCCAGACGTACGACAGGATCCGCACGCGGCTCGCGGTGATGAAAGTGCAGCGCACGTGGAGGAAGATTCTCGCACGCGCGTGCGAGGTGCCTCTCGGTTTGCTTGACCTCATGCGGCCGGGGTATCTCAGAGGTGTGGGAGGGATCGTAACGAGGGCTGTCCACCACCCACCATTCTGGGTGCAGCAGCAGATCTCGGAAATGTACACAGCCAAGTTACGGTGAGACGTGTGCGGGCGTGTGTTTCGCGAATGAGTCGGTCAGGACTTTGTGACGTCAGCATGGGGTTGACCCCAGGTCTGACCCCCCAAACATCCTCCGTGCAGTGAGTGGCTACAATGTTGCCCGGGTGAAGAAACGTAGTCCCCAAGGGACTGATCACAGATTTTCCGCCGCCGCCCGACCCAACGATTGGCAATCGGTGATCAGTCCTGTGGGAACAATGCTCTATCCTCTCGAGGATGCGTGGTCAATGGTTTAACCGCTAAGGCATGCAAAACAAGAGAGTACGCCCCCCCCCCCCGACCCCCGACCCCCGACCGTCGTTTCCTCTTAAGGGCGGACTCGCAGGTCAAGCGTAATGGCCTTCCGATCCGCGGCACATCATCCGGCCCGGCGCATCGTCCTCTTTTTTGGGTGACGTTCGACCATCTCCTCAGGCAGTGGGGCACTCCCGAGCTCGCAGAGCGCGCGGCGCATGACCTGTATTTCAACGTTCGGTCCTTGGCACCATCGCTGTCGAGACTTCGGCTTTTTGAGTGTTTTTCGGGGTGCCTTGCCCGGGAGGAATCTGGTCACTCCTTCGAGGACGACGTGGAGCTGCAAAACGAGGAAGCCCTGGCGTTTTATCTCCGGGCAGTGGAGACGTTCCATCGAGTCAGGGACGAGTCGTTGGCGGCGGGTGGATTGCCGGTGGGCGGTGAGGGTGCTGCTCCTGTCGGCGAAGGTGGCGAAAATGCCGATGATCATGACGACGGGCTAAAGAAGTAAGCCCCCGAGGGGGGTCCATCTGCACCGGAGTATCCACCAATCTATTGTTCCCGGGAGCGGCGCAATGCGCACCACCCCTTACTGGCTGTGTGTCTGTGAAGAAGTTGCGTACTCTCTTCTTCTGCTTACAGCGTTCAGCACCAAATTGCAGAAATGTGTGCTGTGGTGAATGAATCGCTTCCTCCTCTTTATGTAGCAAAACTCGTTTATTGGAGGCTTGTGCCCCACCCCGTCACTGTTCAACTTGCCAGTGTCCTCAGTGAACCAGCGATTGCTCCGCCCCCAGAACCTTCACATCCAATCTATTGTACCGTTGTCGACCAGAATCCTGGCAAGCATGGGTACCACCGGAAGCGGGATTGCGGGGAGCGATGCCGGCGAAGGTTCTGCCCTAGGGGGGCTGGACGTGACCGCGATGATGGGGGACGGCCCCAAACCCATTAAGGAGCTCTTTCCCGTGACCCTGCAGGATCCCAGGACCGGTCGCCAGTACTGGCACGAGAGCCCGGCGGTAACCGAGGCTGTTGCGAAAGAGCTCTTTGATAAGTGCTCCCAACCACCGCCGGTTGAAAAGGGTCCAGGGGGCGGGGGCGGGAGTGGGGGCGGAGGCGGGGGTCCCGCTAGGGCTCGTGTGTCGGGAGTGCAGATGTCCTTGGGAAAGCTGATGGGGCACCCAGCAATAACTGGGGGACGAGAAAAGAGGGTGGATGTGGACGACGCTCTGTGGCTCTTCATGCGACACTGGCTGGTGGGTGATAACCAGAGTTGGCTGCACCATGCGATACAAACTCCGAAAGTTCAGAACAAGCTGGAGCAATTCGTTCAAGCGACTGCCGCGCTGTTCCTTCCCTCCGCCCGCCCGGGACGATGACCTCTTTCACTCCCAAAATTTGGCCATGTCGCAGGTTGTTCGGCAACACCGAATAAGCCTGGTTGACCGTGCCCTCGGTCAGGTCGCCCCTGCCCCTTCCTCTGCTGCCTCAGCAGCAGCTGGAAATGACGCTGCCCAAGCTGCCAGTCCTTCTCCCTTGGTGTCAGTGGACGGTTTCCGCGTAGTGACGACGCGGTTAGAAAATATGAGCAGATCGGCTCCTCCGAGGGGGGTTGCGGACCTGGTTTACGTCGACGCCTTCATGGTGGCCTCAAGTTTGTCTCGTCGGCCTGAGGTACGAAATGTTTTCTGGACGGGTGAATTTCTTTCCATTCCAGCCAAGAGGCCTTGGGGGTGGGGGTGGCTGCTCTTTCCGGATGAGAGCAGATAGGTAGGAACGTGCCTTTCATTCGGAGAGGTTTTGGACCATAGTCTAAATGGGTCCTTTCCGGAATGGACGCGGTTTTGCACTGAACAGACATGGCTTTTTCCGATAAGTGGGTTGTCGCATCTGGGATGGTACATTGTCACATGTAAGGTACCCCGTCAAGCAGGTGTTGCTAGGATATCAATGAGGGGTTCTGGCAAATCTGCTCGGTGTTGGATCGCGTCCATTGATGGAGAACAGAGTCGTGTTGTTGCTTGGGCCCGAGGCGTATGACAACGTAATAAGCAGACCATCGTTTGGCAAATAGGCTTGCTACCGCAAGACACCTCGTCATCGTGCGTACAGCGTCTCGGACGAGGAGCCTTTGCGCCCTTGTTGTAGGAGAGACACCCACCTTGCGTGCACTTTCGCGGAGACGAGGTTCTCCGAAGAAATAACAGCGTTGTCCGATTCCCTCTGTTCATGGTTGGAGTGAGCTCGTTCCTACATAACTGCTGCATGCATTTCAAGCCAACCCACAACGACACCCGGCTCTTGCCGGGGCATGCGCCTTCTCGCTCGATGCAGCTCGTGTCACTAGACCCTTCCTTCACATGGTGTACTTTCTAAACAAAAGTCCTTCCTCCCTCGCTTTCGTCCCTTACTCCTCTTTCTGTGACCACCGTCGTACAGAACAAGGCCATGTCTCACCGTGAGTCCACAAAGACGGCTCTGCTGTCAAGCCCTGTATTGCTTTGGGACGCCAGTGGGGCAAGGCGGGAGCAGCAGATGCCTCCTTTATTCAGTAATCGCGCCATGAGAAGCTGGCTCTTGTCATCATGGGCTCGATATTCGGACCCCATCAAGGCCGAGGTCCTGGTCATGTTGGAAGAGCTGCAACATGTCTCGGACACGACACCAGCCAATGGCATCACCCAAGAGCCAACCGGCGTTGAGAGCGCTGCGGCCGACCTGCCGGCCGGTGAAGCGCCAGCGCACACGCCAACAGGGGCACGAGGGTCTGGAGGTGACAAGAAACACTTGATGGAACGCTTGGCACGTTTGGGGCAAGACCTGTGAATGTAACCGATCACATCTTGCGTACTTGATGCCGTGGGAGCTGTGAAACTTCAGACCGCCAGCCAGAGCCAACATACCGTGACATGTTTGGCTAGAGCACAGATGCCCAAGAAGATCACGCTCGCTCCTCGTTCCCTCTATATTTCACTCGCAATACACCAAGCAGGAAGCGCTGCAAGGCCTGCAAATGTCGAGGCGGCAAAGCTCGTCAGAGCGCTGGAGAAGATTCGGAGCGAGGTCAATCGCTTAGATGGCTACATGAAGGCGAGCATCACATCCTGGGATGTGTGGACCAGCGATCTTGTCATGTTTCTCGCCCAACCGCATGTTTTCGAAAACCCACGCGCATCCCTCTTAAAGTGTCGGTGGGAATCTACTTGTTTGTATGGACACTCAGTTTGCTCTCTGCATGGCCACTTTCCAAGCCTGTATTGTATCAAATGGCACGTGTGCCGGACTTTGAGGACGTGCGCTCCCTCTCTCGTGGATGGGTATGAAACACCCGACAAAATAACAGCACTATATATAATAATAGGGGGCGGGGGGGTTAATGTAGCCAACTCATTGAGATCCAAGCTCCCCCCCCCACCGCCGCACGATTTATCGTGGAAACAACATGAACAACACGCAGGACCTAGACACGTTCCACAAGGAGGACAGCATGGCGCAGTCCACTGCTGTCGTAATCCCGAAGGAAGCATCCGCTGAGCAACAGGAGCAGCAAGAGCAAACTCTCTCTCCGGAGATAGTAAAAAAGCTGTCTAGACCCGGAGAGGTGGAGCGGGCTTCCAAAGAGATGAGGTGAGGTCGGCAAATATATTGTCAATCCATTCATCATCTGTATTGTTCAACCGTACGTGGAGGAGGCGTTTCGGAGGGGTATCCCATCCGATGTACCCCACAGCTGCTGCAACTACCGAGTCTAGACTATGTACGTAGTTTCTGTACAGTTTCGATACGAGCACGATCGATCCCGAATAGGAGCACCCCGGGCTGAAGCCTGACCAGGTTCTCCTTTGGGAAGGGATGAGAGGGGGGGGGGGGAGGTCGTACACCAATCAATCAAGCTACATTGGAAACGCGTAGTAGCTGAATGTCTGTCTGTGTTAATCAAGCGCCCGTTGATTCGAAAACAACCCATCCTCAGGTCTGTCATGATGATTCTGGCTGCGGTCTACCGGCGCATGAGGCCAAACGACCCCAGAGACTTCGTGCAAGACTCTTGGGCCTCGGGAAGACGTACCTCCCTTCGACGTACCAGCTTCAACTCGTACTAAATTAATTCGAAGAGGTGTCAAAGCTGGATCCGATCAGTGCATGATCACCGGACATTCACGCTTTGTTTGGTGCTTCACTAATAAATACGAAGGACCACCCTTCCTTCCACACAAACCCAGAGGGTTGTGCTGAAATGAAGTATTTTCCGTGGAAGGTCAGTGACGCCAGCCAGATAGAAAACACGTTCGTTCAGAGAAAGGAGAATAAGAACGAACATGCGCGTTGTTGGCGGTGTCTACGATGTGATCACGATGTGAAATGATTGTAGCGCCGAGAGGGATAGACTACAAGTAGACCCCCGATGCACCTCAGCTATTTGTTTTCAAGGAAGGAAAGCGTCGTTTGGCACGCAAGATTATCTTTTTCTCCAAATTTATTTGAGAAAAAAAATCAAACCTCGTATGACTGGTAGTCGACTGGTAGTCGACTGGGCCTCAAATTGAAGTGATTGGTGTTTGCCTCGATGGACCACGCAAGTCTCACTTTCTTCACCTGAAGGGTTTTGGCGCTGCTTGACTAACCGCGAACGTGGAGGGCGCGTCGTATTTGGAATAGTCTAGGGTGCGAGTGGGTCACAAGCACGACACACACATGATGGTAAAATTGCTAAACTAATGGCGGGTCAAAGCACACGATAAATAAAAATACAATTGATTGTGCCGCACACTAATGCCGCAGACAGAAAAACGAGGTCCATCCATCCATTTCACCCCATCATCGGGTGCATACAATGTCGGCGTGACCCTCATTAGCATGAGAGGGAGGCCCATTACTTCTCGTTGCACATCATGGGATGAGAGAAGCTGTATTTCTTGCTACACAAGCGCTACATGTTTCTGTCGAGCGCGCCCTCGTTCCTACTTCTTGCAGAAGCTGAGGCCCAAAATAATCTAAAAAGATGCGGCGTGTTCTCGCGTCGGCCCTGCGTGATAACTTCCTTCGTGTCCCAAGCTCGGCAATGCACTACTCGTTCCTGTGTTTGTATCGTAGTACCGGGCTCGAAGGAGAAGGTCTGCATGCGAAGCTACACTTGCTACCTTTGCCGTTGCACAGCAGAATGTGGTGAGTGGTACATGTGTTCGAGCCGCCCCACACCACGCGGCAGCGATACACGGATGTCACTAACGGCCACGAAGACGATGGCCCGAAAACCTGTTCATCTTGTTCATACTGAAATTTATTAATCCTGCTTGCTATAATAGACTGCCTAGTTCACAACACGAACATAACTTCACCCCACAAACGATAGGTCTCCTTCATTCTACCGAACCAGAGACGCTCTCCTGCACAGAAAGAACACAACAGCGTAGTATGGTACTCGATAATATACGATACAAGGAGGATATTCTCTCGCGGAGTCCGCCCTCTTCGTGCAGCAGCACATTGACACGACCCTACAGCAGCACATCTTTGAGCCCACGTCCAGCACGATGACGTCGAAAAAGTACCCCTCTCTACCCACCCATTCCGAGACGAAAGCGCCACACAACCAAACAAGCCAACTCTCGCAGTGTCCACACCAACAAGAACCACGACAAAAGAGAAAGGAACCTGGACCGATCGACCAGCCAACAACAACAAAATCGACCTCAAACAGCATGTACGAAGTACAAGAGTTCCCACTCTACGAATTGAAGCCCAAGCTGAGGCCGCCGGAATCGACGCGAACGGTCACACGAGCGCAATGCAAAACACGCACATCCCCCTGAAAGCCGGGCAACCACAACCATAGAAAATACAAGTAGGCAAACAAACCGGGAGCCTATCGTCTCTGAACCTGTGTGCGTATTCGCAACCCCCCGTGACGCAATTCCAAGCCGAAAACGTGAACGTCCGGAAGCGAAGTAACACCAAAATGGTACCATTCATGACCGGCAAAAAGACTTAAATAGACACAAATCCCCTGATCTTAAAACCTATCCGCCAACGCGGCTTAAGACCCGCGGGGCCTCGCTCATTCGTATGCGTACGTAGAACGACGGCTGACAGGTGGCTAAGCCCAGGGAGAGCACCGGGCGCACTGCCCTGCTGCCCAGCACACCAGGCACGACAAAAAACGAGACACCTTCGGCGAAACCTATCTCAGTTTGCTGCTCGTGGGCGATCGTACGATAACTCACCGACAGGACAGGGAAAAAACACGCCCAACAGTCAAAACCGCCGCGCGCAAAAATAAGAAATAAACTGCCTTACCTAATCCGTCAGAAAAGAATCTTGATCTGTAAGATACATCTTACCCTCCCAAAGAGACAGATAGCTCAAGACATAAAAAGAAACCCCCACCCCTCCATGTGAGGCGTCCCGTTTGGCCGCAGCTCCTCCACATCACTTGCCGCTCTTGTTCTCCTCCGCGGAGTAGTTCCCGCCGTAGGGGTTGGAAGATGTTGCCGAAGGGGGAGCCGGTGCCCCCATGTCTTTACCTGCTATCGATCATTAATACAACAAGACAAGAACGGGACCGGACGGGGTGAGTCAGGTTTGCGAGAAGCTACATGTAGTCTAGCACAGGAAAATGTCTATGAACGGAAACAACCAGGAGAGAGGTGTTCCGCCTGCTGTTGAGGCATCTGCAGTTGAAAAACATTTGTCGCAGCGTAATCCTGGTTCGGCCTGGTTCACGTGGGCACCCACCTATCCAATGGAAACAGATCTAATCAACCTCGTACTTGATCACCTCACGCGCGACAGTCGCTATTTTTCGAAAAAACAAGTAAACCGAGCGCTACTTGCAGTGACAAAAAACAATACGATGGAACACATCCCGTTGTTGTCTGGCAATATGTTTGTTTTCAAGTGATCTGGAACAGATCGGACCTAGTCAAACATCGGCAGTCATGAAAACAGGGATGCCCCCGCTCGCCCAATCAAGTCATCATGATTCGTCTCCAGCAAGTCGCAACTCGCGTCCCACCTCAGGAATGCCGATTGATCCATACAGAAATGAAGGTCATGGTACGAACAACCGAAACGGCTACACAGCTAGCCACACGCCGTCGCTGCTATAATGGAGCATGAATCAAACACTGGACGCCTTCGTGGTGCCCTCTTTGGCCACGACACACGCTTGTCTGCGCCAAACGATCCAATATCTTCAGACCTCGTCGTTGCAGAACAGCCTACAGCATCGACCGTAGGTACCAAGATCTCAAGAGCCTACGAAATTGCAGGGTGAATCATTTACCTGATCCACCGCCGTAGCTGTCCAGTTCGGCCTCCTTGTCCCGGCGCCATTTGAAGAAGAAGAAGAGCATTGGGCAGATGCAACACAGCACCACCGCAGCGTAGATCAACCACGCCCACCTGCAGGACATGGGAAGCAGTGCAGTACAAAGCGCCGAGTAATGAGGAACGACACAAGGCAGGTACGTTCCAAGACTATGCAAGAAGCGCCATGTACGGAGGAGGTGCCGCCGGCGCAATTTTACACAACGCAAAACTTCCTCACCATGGCCACCAGACGTCTGTGCCCCCAATGTTGACCACGTCCTTGCTCGTAGTCGTGCCCTGGTTGTCCACGACGTCCCCGTTCGAATCAAGCCAGATCACCAAGAACCCCAGGCTCAACAAATCCAAGTCGGTCCCCGTGAAGACAAGCTGCGGAGAGAAGCAACCAGCCAACAAGACACGACAAGACACAGTCAGCATGACAAGCGACAAGCTCTGGGGACAAGTTACGTTCGGATTTCCATCTTGAGGTGGGGCTACCAAGAACAACGCATCCCGCTCATCGTCAAAGATGGAGTATGTTGGAATGGAGGTGTATCGAAAAACCTGCGTCAGTGGCGACCGCCATTTAGGGAAGAAAATTAAGCCCCGACCCCTAAGCCCCGTCGCACAATACCAACGGAAGTCATCCATTCTAAAATAGTACTATAATAGCTGAGGCCACACAGCGTGATGTGCGTAGCGCACAAGCCAAAAGTGACAACCACACCACTCGATGAGACTCTATCTACCTCTGCATCCTGAGCATTGATGGACGTCGCAATGTCGTCCAAGAACGCTGTCGTCAACGCTCCGGGGTAGATTTGGTCCACCTGGATAATAAACAGCGCATAGCAACGTCATCAGGCAAGAAGCGCACATCTATTAAGCTCTGCAGACGTCGTGCGGGGAAGGCAACACGTGGGGGAGGTGCTGCGTATTGCCCATCAAGGCAGGCCAATCGACTTGTATGCATGCATACCACATCTCTATCGCTCAACCGCCTTCTGCTCTGGCGTGCTTGGAATACGTGCCATGGTCACTATGCTACTGAACCGGGAATGGACGCCTGAGTGCTCTGGGAGGGTGGCATAAATCTGCCTACCTGTGCCGAAGCAATGTCCGCTGCGGAGCCCGTCTCATCCGCCCTGTTGTAGATCGACACCCTCCGTTGCCAGTTGTCCACCGTGCATCTAGTCAACGAGTCGTCCACGACCACATCGTCAGCGCTCTCAATCCCGAATATCTCCATCACAGCTACCTTCAACTGGGAAGGAAGACAGGTCCATGCCAAGTGTCAAATGAGTTGAAAAGGGGGGGGCGGGGGGGGTTAGCGATTAACCCGTACACGCCCACTTTCACTTTGGAATTTTTCGCGCGCCGACGACCTGAGTACTCCGTACTGCTGTTCAACCATTTCTTCGGCGTTGGGCAGCAGGCAATCGCTAAAAAATCAGCACCATCAGTCGAACTATTGCGCTTTCCATGAGTGTCTTCTTTGATCATCACCATCAGCGCTCACAACATGTCTGCCCGGTAGGAACACCCAACTGCCCGGTAACGAGCCGAGTTGGGCACATACATGATTATGATGCCATTTTTTTATCCATCAAAACAAAGCTAGGCAGCCTTAACTGGCTGATAGAACAGCCAATGCTCTATTTAGGTGGATCGGCATGATTCCGTAGCCAAGTGGCAGAGCGGCCAGGTGAAGGCGGGGTATGATGCCCTCCGGAACCGAGCGAAAGGTTGTGTTGTTGCAATGCCTATGACCTCCGCTGGTATGAAATAAAGGCAGCAATTAGTCGCCCCCGGAACCAGTTGCTAAAATCACACGACATAGTGTTTCGAATCTCGGCGCACTCATACGCACAAAAGGGATTCCTGTACTATTTCTCAGATCACGTCCAAACAAATGCGGATAACAAGTTATGACCAGAGATTCCGCTTCATGGCCAACAAAGGAAAGGAAATCGGAAAGGAATCACGTCCAGGAAAGACCGCCCGAATCCTACTACTTCTATATTGGTACTCGCGATGAAACTTACCGCAAGCACCGCAGAAGGGAGATGTAGCAAAAAAAACTCCTGTGAGATTTGAGATTCTCCTCCTTTCTGAACCCGACTGGCGCGTCCAAACTCATGTGCTTTTTACCAAAAAATGCAATATCGTCGTCATAATGCTTTCTACCGAAAGGTGCAAAAATCGTCAATAATCAAGGTGGACGTCGAATCATAAACATCCAATGCCATGTCCAAGACACACCCTGTACGTGTAGTGCTTTCTTTTTCCGTACTCCGGTGTAGAAACATATGATACACTTCAGAGGTGCACGGCATAGCAGCGCCATACAGCTGTACCACGTAGGTGTGTTAGCCGTTGTGGGCAAAACATGATACAACAACTACCTAACAACAACCGGCAACATTCGCAGTACAGCAGTTTACCAGCAGCAATACTGCAATATACAGCAATCCTCCCCGGAAACAAGCGGGGGTCTGCGGTGTGATCACGGCTGGTATCATACGTGCACAGACAGATGCATCCTGCAGTTGTCAACGATTTTATCCGATGTCCAGATATTAGGGCATCTGCTCATGCGTTGAAAGCTCATGAAGGAAGAAGAGACACGAAAATATAAATCTCAGGTGCCCACAACGGGAACACATCTTCCTTCTCACATTTCTCTAGGTCTGTACAGCAGTAAGGGGGCCCGATATAAGGCCGCCGCCCGATATTAGGCCGGTGAAATCGCTTGGCACAGACATGGCCCGACATAAAAAGCCAGTGCAAGGCCGGTGGCGGCCTTATAGGTATCAGGCACCCCCTGTTCGGCCGGTTATGGCTCCCTGCCTGCCCCCAACAAGGCCGGTCTCAGTAGAAGTGACGCTGGTTTCGAAAGCGGCAATGCTGAGGCCGCTATCTTGCAGAGGGCTAAGATGCTAAGATGTCGATGATCGCAGCGCATGCCACACATCCCATGCGACATGCGGACTTGAATTTCCGTAGATGTGATGAGCTGATGGGCGGAGTCATGATAGCGTTTGCTATGTCGGTGGTGGTCTCGGTTTTTTCAGGAGGGTTTTGTCATTGGGCAGTCCGTGCCACTACAAAACATGCGTTGTTCCAGTCATTTCTCGGAAGTATGGCAAGACGGCATGGCGGTGCTGTGTGTGGTCGGTTGTTTGGGGTTACAATACAACATGGGATGTATGTACGACAACTTTTGACCGTCATTTGTCTGCCGGAATAGTAATTGCGTACCGGTTGACCGACCTGCACCTGGCAGACGAAAAAAGGTTGGATACAAGTAGGAAGCATGATATGAACGTGATACATCGATCCATATCGAAGCACCGACTCAACTTACGTACACAGCACATGTGGCGCTTCGTATGGCCTAGGCAAGCAAATCTTGAATAAGGCCGTACCGACAGGCCATACTGGGCCGATTCTACGTAAGGCCGGCCTAATCTTGTGGCACTAATAAAAGGCGGTCTAACCTTGTGGCACTACAATATGCCGCCTTATATCGGGCCTCCTACTGGTGTATGCTACTGCTGTATGCATATGCCTATATATGCATATGTACGATCACACAAGAGGCTGTGAGGCTTTGAACCAGCTCATCCTTTTCCAGGAACACTCCCACTTTTTTAAGGCGGCCAACGTATCACTACAGCAACATGTGATGCCCTCCGACCTCTCGTTCTCAGTAACATCCCCCATCACTGAGTCCTTCTCTAGCAGGTTGGATTGGGGGGGCGCGCGTATGCATACTACAAGTATTGTAGGGAAGACGGAATCTCGGCATATTTTCCTTTCAGAAAATAACGCAGGCCTAGAGTGCGAAGCGCGCGCATATTGGCCGGTCGTGGAAGGACGAGAGATGGCGTGCCATGTACAACATAATGTCGTGTTTTATCGCGTACCTGATCAGTGGTTGACGTAGCCGAGTCGGAGGTGTGTTCCTCCGTGAGGCAAATTGTCATCTCAAGCTGTGTGGCGAAGTCGTACGTGGCTGTCTGCAATCGGCGCCCCGCCCCATCAACGGCCTTAGAAGTTGCACCGTTCATCCCGTTCCCACTTGTCGACACGCCAATAAGCACCATCAAGGGGATGAGCGCTGCCAGGGCCTTTAGTACCAATTTGCCCGGCTTCTGAGCCATAGCCATGGCGCTGCGCGTTCCTCCTCCAAGCAAACGTCCCTGTGCCGGCAGCGTCTACCACTCTCTCAAGGTGAAAATTCCCTTTTCCACACCGCGGCTCCGACAAGCTCCGATCGTTTCTGTTCCTCGCTAACCCCGCTCCCCCGCTCTCTCTCTCGCTCTCTTGCTCTCGCTCTCCAGGGAGCTTACGCGCTTCCCTTCCACAGACTTTCCGTACGTCCCTCCCCTTTTCTTCTGGTGGCGTCTTTTCCCGATTTCCAGGGTCGTCGCTCTTCTCAAGGTGATGGACAACAGACCTGCATCCCGGGTCGAGGACTTCCGGGGTCCAGGGGGGGGGGGATCTTCGATGATATTTCCCGACATAAGAATGCGGCGGGTGTTCCAGCCATGGGACCCTGAAAAATCGTAAACACGCGGAGAGATTATTCAAAAAGTGCACACAGTCATTCAGGGTCTGGACGTCTAGATTCCGCACACCTCCTGCTGTGCGCAGATGACATATACACCCACACACTCTCCTCCCCCCTTCTCCCACCCGCGCCTGAGCCCACGCGCCCTTGCGTGCGATCGATAGGCAGGCCTCGACGTAGCACACGAACGTGCGACCCGACAGCAACACCCATCAACCAACCAACGATCAACAATCCCACCGGACTCTTGTCTACGTGCTCATCGTACTCAAACGTACCCGGTGCGTTCGACTCCATTTCAGCGAGCTCGCGCTACATAGCCACCACCGTCACCACGCAGGCAGGGAGAAGGAACGCGGAGGCAAGCATGGCTCGGGACGAGTTGCTGAAGAGGTCTCGCCGAGGCGCTGCTGTGTCGGCAAGACTCGTGAGGACAATGCCTGCGGCCAGGGCATCGTCATCTTCGTTGAACCCGTGGGTCGCGCGAAACTGGGGGTTGGTCATTGCGGCAGCAGCGACAGTGGCCACCGTCGCCTTCTCGCTGGGGACGACGGCAAGCACCTCGAGGTCCGGTGCGATGACTGGCTCTGCTCGCGTTGGACAGCAGTCTCTCTACGCGTCCCCGAAGAGCCGCGGTGGCATTTCCGTCGCCCAGGCGCAGCGACCCTCCTCGGTACGGCCGCATGGACGTGTGCTGCAAGAGGAGACCCCCACTGTCATCACCCCCATTGTCGAGTACGGGACCAAGTTGCAGATCTTCATGTGCAATCCTAGCCTGGAAGTGGAGGGAAACGACGCACACCTGGTAGATGAGGCGAGCTTGGCCGCAGCACTCAGCAATATCAGCGGAATCAAACAGGTGAGATTGATGCGGTGCCCAAAAATTTCCGGTACTGAAGTACCAGCAAGGAAACTCCGCTTTAATTATTCATGCAACTTCAGGGTCTCGCCGCCAACATTTCGTTCACAATTCACAACGGCCTTTCCTCCTTACATAGCAGCAGCATCAGCAGCATCCGATGCGTCGCAGACCTGTGGTGTGTAGATACTACTGTCGTAGGCAAGTGCGACGCTACTCGGTAGGATATAGCAGCAGCAGTAGAGGTACCAAAGCGACCCACAAATACATGCACGAGCCAGTCCTACCGAGCGTGCTGGCTGCCTCGCCAAATCCGCCTGGTTGCTGTCGCAAACAGCTAGCTACTACGCGGTTGTTTCAATGTGCACCCCGGTACAATTGCCTGATTCCCTTTCTACCACTGCTGTGCTGTGTACCGTACCAGGCCGATGAAGGTGACATCACGGTGACGATCAAGACGGAGCCGGTGGATGTGGACGACGTAAGCTACATGTGCGACACGGACGGCATGCTGCAGTGGCACGCCCAGGTCGAATACAGTGCGGCCTACGCCGGCTCGAGAGACACTACGCCGGCCGTACTGGCAGCGCAAGCCAACGACTACGTGGCGTACTCGTCTTCCCAGTTCAAGGCATTGCTGGCCGGATTCATCAATGCTGAGGTGAAAAAAAAAGCCCGGCACACGTCAAACTCGAGGTTGCCGCGCGAAGTGCAGGAGTTGTCGTTTATCCTTGTCGGGGTGGCCTTGCGACCATAGGAACTCTGGTAGGCTTTTTTCCCCTTGGGGATAAGAGATATAGGATGGGAACTACGCTTTTTGTATTGGGAATTGGAGATAATTGGTGGTGTGTATTTAGCACTGTTGTCAATCGGTGGAGATATCAATAATGACAAAATTCTGGTGGGTGGGTGGTCACCGCGGATTCCTCGATGAGCGTAGAGTAAAATAAAACATCGCTGGATGGCAGATAAAGAGTCAGATGAGGGCACGTGCCCGCTGGGCCAGCTGCAACAGTCTCGCGAAACAACGAGGAGAACACACGTACGCGGAGTCTGTTTGTGTTGTCGAACAACCTCGCGCTGCTACTTTGCTGCCGCGTTCGTAACAACAACAGTACGCGGGAGAAGTCGAGACGGTTGAGCTATCTGCTGACGATATCTTGATCCCCACCGTGGGTTGGATCGTCACCTTCCCGGCGGAGGAGTCGGTCACGCAGGAGACCCACACCGCTGGCAGTTCAGATGGACTTGCGATGGGGATTGGGAGCGACAGCAGTTTGTGGGCGTGGTGGGTGTGGCTGATCTACGCGCTGCTGGTGGCGTGCTGCTTGGTGCCGCTGTGTTGCTGCTTGCGCAGGAGGTAAGCGACTGGTGACGGGTTGTTGATGCTTTGCGTGTGTGTACAAGTAAACGACGAATCGGCAACATGGTGGTATACTATACGGATGTGTGTCCCCGTCCCTGGCGCGCCCTACCTACCTGGTCGGACGTTTGAGATGTGCAGTGTTTTTCCGGCCAACGGTTCTAATTTCCTTTCGGTGTACAGCTTGCCTCGTTCTGACTGTAGCTTGCCCCGGCTGCTCCTCCCCCTTTTGCATTTTGGTGCATCGTTTTTGTCACGTGCACCTTTTTCCGTTCGTTTGCCTGGTCCGCTTGCAGGCGAGCGGACGAAAAGGAGGCTGCCAGGGACCGCTTGATTGCTACTCGCAAGGGCCGGGGCGAAGAGGGCCTTGCCAAGATTCGCGGACCGGAGTGGGGCATCACCGAGCTAGACTTCGAAGGTGACTACGACGCCTACCAAAGCCAGGAGATGAAGCGCGAGTATGACGGCGCCGGAAGGGGCGTAGAACCGACGGCATACAGACCATCCCACAGGGCCGGCCAGCAGAGCGTCAGCGCTCAAGCGTGGATGCAGGAGGTGAGCGATTTTTGGCGGAAGTCAAGTCACGCCATGGGGTATCTTGGAGGCCGTTTCGTTCTTTTCCTCCTGCTTCGGTTAGGCCTGTGAAGCATGACTCACTCGCGACTTCTCTTATTAAACGCTTCCTCTATTCTTTCCTTGGCGTTGTGTTGCAACTGACTGCATTCCCCATGCCCGCCGCCGGATTCACTCTTGTTTATTTAGGCTGGCAAAAAATCTGCCTGGGCACAGCCTTCCGGCAATTCGTCACGGCAAGGCGGTGGACAAAGCCCGGTGGTCCGGCGTTTCGACATCGACGACGACGATGCTGACGATGGAGTTGGAAAGCTTCGCAGCAAGCACCCCCAGTACAGCTTCGACGTAGGACGGGGAGGATTCAATGATCGTGATGGCGAATCGAAGTCCTGATTTCTTGCGAAGCATTTTTATAGGTTCTATTAATCGTGATGGGGATTCGAAATCCTGAGTTCTTAGAAGTAATGGTGTGTGTTGTTGGTTGGGCGCAAGGGTGGAGTAGGGGTGGTAGTATCGAAGGGGTGGTAGTATCGAAGATGGACAAAGTTCAGGATTTGGAAGCGCGTGTTTCTCGAAGACGGTGCTGGCGACGGTAGTGTTGAACGTTGAGCATATTGCAGGATCTCGAATCGCATCTTGCGTGGATTGAATGGACATATCCCACTGTATACAGAGAGCAGCGTTTTCCCTGTAAACAGAGAACAATGTTTGCGTTCGGTGTTTTTTTTTCTTGCTGTTGTTGGTAGGTCGTTGCTGTTGTTGGTAGGTCGTTGGGTAGAGTTTATTTGGTGTATTTTCTATGTGGTTGACGTTTCCGGGCTGACCTTGCGTCTATTCTGTGAAACGATGGTGTGCGTGCAGTGTAGACTTCACCACATGCACAGCAGTGGTGGGGGCAAACGGATAACACATATCTGCGACAAGCAGTCCATACTCAACGAACGCGACTCTGGATCTTCCAGAAGGATGTTAACCTTGTTGGCCGTTTCTGAACAAGCACTTCAGCTTATCCGGAGAGGTAGTTTCTGCCTCGGGGGTAAACGGAACCGTCTCTTGTTCTCCCGTACTCGAATGCGCGCAATACGACAGCTCCAATGTTTCCACGATAGACGCTCTCTGGATAACTCCAGGCAAGGCAGTACCCGGGGGCGGCGGTTTTGGTTTCACGCAGGGGCATGTCGTTGGTCTTCACTTATCGCGCATGCGAACATTCCAACAGGGTACCAATATCCAGCCGTAACATGACCGCTACGTACTTGCGAGCACTTTGATCCCAACAGTTCTTGAAGCGAAACACCTTCCTCAAAAGCGGCAGCTGCTGAAAATGACACCAACCGTTCGTTCCTCTTCTTCACTTATCGCGCATGCGAACATTCCAACAGGGTACCAATATCCAGCCGTAACATGACCGCTACGTACTTGCGAGCACTTTGATCCCAACAGTTCTTGAAGCGAAACACCTTCCTCAAAAGCGGCAGCTGCTGAAAATGACACCAACCGTTCGTTCCTCTTCGCAACAAAAGCGTTGTTGTCACCCCGAAAATTGCGACTAAAGCGTTGCCATCCCGAAAAACTGTCGACTGTTCTGTAGGGTTGCCTGAGCAACTTCCTCAAACGGTAGCCCAAGACATTCCGCCAAAACCCGAACCACCGCTGGTAGCGCGGAAGGTACGTTCGGATTCTGCATGGACCCAAAGACGCGAACGGAAGGAGAGGGTGGGGGTTGTCAAAACATAAAAACGAGACTCCGAACGAACAAGGTGCTTTTGTTTTTCGTGGTATTGGTGGGGCTCGGCAAGCACGCACCAGTGAGGGGTTCCACATCGGCAGGCTCTTGTGGGTTTCGTGGATAAAAACCTTCTGTGGAATGCTCTCATGTCTCGCTAACTTGGCGGCGTCTACATAGCACACCAAATAGGTTAATTTGCCATTTACCACTCATTATGTTTGTAAACAGGGTTTTTGGCCGATCACACTCTAACCACCTGCATAGTTTAACTGACTCCACACGAGCTTGTTGTTACGACACGTTTGTCAGCGCAAGGCGGGATAGAGGGCTGGATGTATGCCACGCTCACACGTTGAGCAAATAATCGCATCACACACGAATCCATCTATGATCTTGAAGCGAACGCAACATCGATTATGTATTGTTGTAACACTTGGGAGTTGGGACCCAGAGACATGATCGCGTAAACCTCCACACAAGTGGGCATGGTCTTTGCTGTCACTATGCCATTTGTGCGACCCAAATCGTGGACAATATTGTTGCTCCCTCCTCGCCGTGTTCTAGATTAGATACGTCTCCGGACCTCTGCCAAAATCAGAGGTGTGGGTATGTGGTGCCTGCGTGGTTGCGTACACTGCAGTTGCAGTATGTCAGCCAAAACCGTCGTACCTGTTTCTTTGGTTTGTCGTGTCCCTTTCGGCACCCCGAGAAGCCCAGATAAGGCGCATCCGTTTCAACCATAAGCCTATCCAACGGAATTCGCTTCACCTGGGGTGTGGAAAAGATTGAGCTCGTCAACTATAATTAACCCATAGCAGAGGGTCTTAAAAAGAGCGAGATAACTGAGTACGATGGGTACGATGCGACCGATGACCAGCCAGAGAAGCAACAATAAACGAGCAACAATTGCTCTCTCCAAGGTCCGGGTTCAAATATCTAAAAATAACGGTCCGCTTTGATTTTTTCATGACACACGTCGTGAACCAGCGCGCCACTTCTTCACAACCCAGCACTACCGCTACAAGCAGAGTCGAAAGCCCTCAGCCAGTATCGACTACAAGACAGCATCCCGTGCCCGCGTGCCTACAAGAATCGGCTTCCGCGGCGCTCACCGCTGCTCGAAGTGCCGCCCCACTCTTCTCCCTGCAGATACCCCCAGCCACGCTCACGAAGAAGCCCATGTCAATGTACGCAGTCAACTCCTTAAGTGTGGCCACAGCACCCCGATGCAAAAAGGACGAAAACGTCGGGATGGGAAGAATATGTACAGGGTTAGGAAGCGCATCCATGTGCCAAGGCCCCCCAGGCGAAACAAACCGCTTGATTGAAACATTCGTAAGCAGCAGCCATCCTCTCGACAACGCCGTTGACTTGATGCAGTAGAAGTGGCATCGCCCACACATAAAAGAGATGTCTCCAGTCCAACGTACGGAATACAAGTGATCAGCCATCCTAGGGAGAAGAGCTGGCCTTGCACATTGACGACAAGCAAGCCTTACCTCCTCTGATCCAGTAAAACAATGCACCAAGCACGGAGGCAGACCATGCGAGGCATCGTATCGCCGTAGAACCTGCCATGCCGCCAGCGTAGAGTAGAATCGGGTGTGTTACTCAGCAGTCGGTGGGGCCGGTTTGGCAATCTATCTGACCTTAATCCATCTTTGCTTTGTGCCATGCTCAGTGCTGGAGGACCAAATTCAGCAGCTCAAAGAGTGAACTTCGGGACAACACAAAAGCACCACTATTCGGGGAGCGAAGTGGACATGCGCTGACTTCCTCACCTCCGAAAAATCGACGAATGCCGCACGCTCGTGAAGGAAAAGTGGCTTCTTCAGCTGCATGGAACGGTTCGTGACAAGGCCGGCAGGTTTTATTATGTTCGGCAATTTTTCTGCACCACGAAACAATTCGTAGTGCTTCCTTCCATGTCGCACGACAATGCCGACCCGAACAATCACCGTGCTTGGCTACCGCATCCCTGTCCAACGGCAAGTACGGCAGGTTCCGCATCTGCGCATGGGACAAGCAAGCCTGCTCTCGGAGCGGAATACCGCATGCCCATGCTTATCACCGCCGCTCACCTTGCACGCAAGCTCGACCTGTCTCTCAAACCACGGCAGCTGCAGTTCGGCCGCGGGAAAGCCTTCTGAGTAGTCCAAACCGCATTCTCCCACGCAACGAGCTTCGCACGCGAGTGGATCAGATGGAGGTGACAGGACCACGTTATGGTTGAAAAGGGTCAGTGCCGGCGTCACGATTTTGAATAACTAAGGTGCTCCGCCGTAGAGCGCAGGGCGCGCCATGTAGTGCATCGGCCCAAACGCGTGGTGAAGAAAACAAAGCGAGATAGAGCTAGTCTCCCCAGCGGGACGACTTCAGTTCGCAATCATCAATATTGTGCAGACCCAGCGGCTCACGCCCTGCAAATTCACTTTCAGCATGTGCGGTGTAGATGTACAAGTTTATCCCGTTTGGGCTCCGTTCGGGACAAGGGAACAGAGCTCACCAAGCCCTAGCTTCACCAATGATGTCTGCGTGTGTATGTGGACTACGAAGATCGACGAGAAGTTGCGAGGAACGCGCTTCTCCTACAGCAAACGTTCACCTTCCTCAGTTGCTGCGAGAGTGGCGATGCTCGCCATGGCATCCTCGAGCGAGCCGCACCCCTGGACGTGGTATGGATGGACACCAGCAGTCGAGAACACAACCTTGCGGCAAAACGTGAGAGGAGCTTGTGGGGAAGATGCAGTGATACGTATAGTCAGTTTGTCGTCTATTTTTTCTACACGGAGTCAAGCGCACAATAGAAAGTGGTGACTACACATGGCGGCCGCTATGTTAATGCGCAATTTGCAGCAACCAACGCAGGCGAGTTACAGACAGCGATCAATACACAGCTCAGATGCACGCGCAGTATGGGGTTTACAGAGCCCTACTCAGAATAGAGTTGGGCACTGGCGAATATAACCAACGGTGACACGTGACACATCTCGTTCCTCGCTCAAAACACACTACTTAATACGGATGGTGGAAACGTCTGATTCACGTATGGCCACGTCTTGGACGCGGGTATCGGCTTGGTCCAACAAGGCTATCCAAGGTGATAACTTCGCGGGAGTTGTGTAGGTGCGGGTCCTTTCGAGGAACTGCGGCCGTGGTCCCCACAAACTACAGATAGAGGAGTTGATATGTGAACATGTAGGATGTGCTGCTCACATTGGGTTTTCGTCGCGCCAGTTCCAAAGAGCCCCGGCTGTCTTCCACTGTGCTCCCAGGTACCACGAATTGCTTCACCCCAACCGAAGAGGCTATCTGGACCGCAAAGCAAAATCATGACCAGAACATCGCGATCATGCGATCGGTGTACATATGAGGACGCGGGTCAACCGCTGTCAATATCGCATATGCAGTGCGCGCTTGCCATCTACTCCCGCTTTGCATTCCCACGAACACATTATCTACTTGATACCTGTATGTGATGGTCGATGTCGTTGGAGAGGTCGGCATGCAACAGATTTGCATCGACATCAACGATATAACTGCTCGATTCGCCTGCGTCCGCTGCTGCGGTTGTGTGAAGTCCTCGTACCCCGCGCCCGATAGGAAGGCGGGTGTTGAGTGCTGCCGCCGGACGATTCAAGTGGACTGCAAGCGACAAAAAGAGACCAATAGCACTTCGGTGTTCCATGTTAATGTCTACTCCGCTGTGCCTGCCTTGCCCGTGCACCGCAGTGCAGTGTTGCAGCTGGCAGTGGCTCATCAGGCGGGGACACGTTCAAACCAGATCTACGCAATCTCCGAAAATGGAGTTCAACGAAAAACACGCCGAGAGATGAACAAGAGAGGAGAGCGAGGAGACAAATTTGGCGGCAGCAGCGAGAGAGCTACTCGAGACCCGAGACAGTACGCCCGCGAAAGTCACCTAAGCGAAAGAATGAAGAGCGCATTGGCCACCATGGCGGTTTCGGCCACAGCGGGTGAGATTTGGCTTCCCGGGAGGGTCCGACTGGTCCTTCTCTTGATCTATCTCTGAATCGTGAGCAGATTTGGTCCGCTCCCTCGTTCCCTCCCGTGTGTTCATGAAGCCCCCCGTCTGAAGGATTATTGTTGCCCCGGAGACAACGGTAGCGCCAGCATGGTACGCATTTCTTGGGCCTCGTGCTTCCAGCATGCGGAGGGGAAAACCAAGATTGCACGCATCCCCAACTCAATCTGTTTCTTTGGCATAACTCACACCCGATTCTGTCTGCATCGCACACCCGCTGACACGCCCAAACGTGCGTATCTCGAACTCAATTGTGTGTGTGCTGTGTCTCAGCCTCGTTTGCCTCAGCGTTCGTGGGGTCTCCTCTCCCTCTGCGAGCGCTGACGAGCAGACCCTCGTGCTCCACGAGCGCATACCGCGCACGGCCTACCCGCATGACGGCTGAAGACGACGAGGTGGAACCAAAGGTATGATATTTTGGCGGCGGAATCCCTCATGTTGAAGATGTTGCGTGGCAACATTCATCGTGACGAGTGAAGAACATCAGGCTGTTTAGCCAAACGGGTTCAACACACACAAACCTCGAGCACCCAACTCTTCCCAACCCCCTCCTTCTACCCCCTCCCAGTATATATGCAGCGCGATGAATAACATGGCTACCAAACTGTCTTGTTAGCCTGGAAATACCTTCAAGGGGTGATGTCGCCTTTTTGCTGCGCCTGGACAGGTGGTGGTCCGTCCTTCAACACTGCTGGTGACTTAATCGCTAATTTGTCCTTTGAGGCAGAGAATCTGAGAAAATGAGCTCAGCGGCAGGCGCCACACCGTGGCCTACATTATCTCCCAGCAATAGCATGTTCTCAATGGCGGCGACGCAACAAAAATCCGTCTGAACCTGAGTTGCAGCTTCTACGAGTGGGCCGATTGTAAATCACGCACAAGGAACTACTGTAGACCGGCGTCCTCTCCTTGAGACGCCCGACGATCTGGGTTCGCCGCACCCGCGACCTCGCGCTCGAGTTCGTTCTTCCTAGACTCTGGTTCTGGTAGATATTTACCCTGGCTTGGATTGTTCTCGGTGGTTAGCAGTCGATCCTTTCTCTGCAGTGTGTGGGGGCTACCCCCCCACACTGCTGTTGTTGCTAAGATACAAGCATTTCGCCTCGGTAGCATCCTCCTGCCTTCGATAAAGGACAGCTGGCGTTGCGCTGGCTCTCTGGCTCTCTACGTTAGTAGTTTGACAGGTGTGCATACAAGCACGAGTTTCCGTCAGGAGACCTGCATATGCATGCGTTGACACGCCCAAGAGGTGCGGCGTTCCTAGCGACAACATTCCCCGCCGAATTTCGACTGCAGGGCCTAAGAGATTGAGGCGAACGATGACTAGTCGATGCCTCATGTCCTCGAAACGCCGTGTCGGATCCCTTGTGTAACATGGTGTTGCGACGGGTCAATGTATCCCCCTTCCGGAAGGTGTACTACGCGTCTGAGGTGACGGACGGAAACAAGAAGACTACCTTCAACCGGGAGATGGGCGAGCAGCCCTTGCCGGAGAACACGGCCACAACAAGATCCGACAGGTGCGTATGTTGAAGATGCCGCATGAGAAAAAGGCGGGCACCTACGTTTGGTGGATGGGGGTCGGAAGCCACCCGTCCTGGGTTGAAATCACGGTCATGTGATGCTTGCGCTTGCTCAAAGAGCGGTTGAAAACTTGCATGAGCCACTTGGTGTCGGGTTTGAAGCCGCACGAGATCCTGGAGGCCGTTGTTTCGATCGAGTGCAGCACATGCCAACCAGTGTACACTCTTCGACGTAAATCTTTGTGGGAATATTGCTGCTTCTTCAGACTTCTGTAGGTTTGCCGTTACTGTGCTTTCTATTTTTTTTTGCGATAGTCTACTCGCCCGACGTTGTCCGATCTGTTTTTCATGCGTATCCCTCATGGCCTTTGTTGTCAATCGGATGGTTTAATCGGATCGTTCGCGACCAGGTACGGCCCCGCGGACTACGAGGGCTTCGTCGACAGCGAAGGATTTGACGGGGGTGACGGACAGGTTGGCGTCGTTGGAGACGGTGAGTTTGCTCGCTGCTGTGCTACTGTAGGTCGCCGCCGCCACCGCGAGATATTTGGTCTGCTCTGAGATATCGTGCACAAAGAGGCCTGCCTTTGTTGCATCACTCGAAAAGAACGAGCCCCTACCAGGAATTCGCTCACCTCGCTGTCTCTGACAGCATAGTCGACCGTGTGCTCCAATGACCGGGTGAGCGGACTAGGTATGGGTAGAAGTGCCCCCACCTCCCGATTACTAGTTTGTTTACTTCAGTGGCGAGTTCGCGCGAGAAAGATCAATCCCTTGCTACGTTGCCGAACCCGAGCAGTCGGCAGATGTCCGTACTCAGGTAATCGGCTCTTTTGCCCAGCGCTCCGGGCTCTTGTTTCGGGCCCCATTTGCTGTCCAGGAGGACTTGATTGATTTCGCCTCTTTTTTCTTTTCACTCCAGCATGTATGCTTGCCCCTTTCTTGACCCGTTGCTGTCTTCTTGTCCTCTTCCCACGTTTGACCCTTTCTACAGGAGGTAATGCCATGGAGCAGTTCGACCAGAGTGCCGTCGGCCGAGCTCAGGACATGAGGGCGAAGGTCAAGGCGTCTACGATGGTCCAGGAGTCTAAGGCTCGCCAAAGGAACGCGTGGGGCGGCGGCAGCAGTGTAAGTGAGCATTTTTTCTTTTTGAACATTTACATACCATGGAGCGAACATGCTCAACATGCTCGGTGGTGCCGATGTCTCGACAAAGGGAGCATGGTGCCTTGCGCTCTTGGTCGATCTTTCCACGTTGGGTTCACGGTGGTGGGGTGTGGCGTTATGCAAATACCTGTCCCTCTCGGGGGGCGCCTTCGTTGTGGCATTTCTCTGATCCGGCTAAATAAGCGGGAGCTGAGGTCCTAGGAGTCTTAAGGGCCAGAGCCCACCGGTGTGTTTGTTCTGTGGTAGTAGTAGTAGGTGTGACGTTGTTGTCGTCCGCATACCCTTCAACGAATCAACGGTTGATGTGCGGCATTCATGGCAGGGATACGCGGACGAGCTCAAGGAGCAGGGCATGGTGTCGTACAACGCAGCGGGCGAGGACATCAGCAAGGTCCGCCGCCAGCAGTACGAGGTGAGCGGTAGGATGCGGGAGCGAATCCAGCGGTGCCAGTGCAAGCACCAACACGAACCATTGGTCGGTATCCACCAAAAACGTGTCGGCGTTTATGGCGTTTCTTGCATGTCGCGCGAAACGAAGACGGAAACGTTGTTACTGCTTCGCCCCCAAGTTTGTGTGTGTATCGCTGTGTTGCCCCCTTGCGGTGCATTCGTTTTGACCTGGTCCCCCCCCTTTTTTTTCGTTTGCCGTGCCACGCAGAACTACCGCAATCAGCAAGAAATCACTAGGAGGCAACGCGCCGACAACAGCGTGATGGAAGCTATGACGGGAACGGGCACGGTAGAGGACAACACCAGCAAGTGGAAGGTGGGTGACGTGCCGTGGTTGTAGACATGACAGCTGTGGTTGGCTTCGTATTCTTCTTCACGTCCGAATCCGACATACTTGTTATCTAATGTAGAAGTGAAGCATGGTGGTATGCGGATCAATCACTGGTGTAGTTTCCACGTCTGGTTGGAGCACAATTTCTCCCATGTGCAACCCCCGATTCCATCAAAGAGCAAGAAACCCAGGCACGGTGTTTGTTCTGCATGGGTCCTGTTTGTTGGCGGCGACGTGTGGACTGTGAAGTGGGCGGCACGGTGCACAGTGGATTCTTCCACGATGATGCTTCTGATATTTGCTGCGTGTGCAACCGCTCGTTGCTGCCATGTCCTATACACTCCGTGCCTTCCCTATCTCTCCCCTTTGGAAATCCCTTGCCTGTAGAGGGGCGGCAGGTCCAGCTACTTCGACAACATTAACGCGGCCCCTGAAGAGGCGGTGGACCAGAGCTGGAATAAGTACAGCGCCCCGGTTGCTTCTGGGATGAAGGTGGGTTTAGTTTTGGGCCGACCGCGAGCGTGACGTTTGGTAGAACGGCGCGCATGACTGCAACTATTTAGTTCAAAGAGTTGTACTTGTATGTTCGCCATCAAGAGCAGTGTATGCATGTTGGAGAGTGTGACGTTTCGCCCACTCGAACACCAACAGGATGACAGAAGCTTAGGTATTGGGACTTGGTCTCAAACTTGACCGAGTGCAGAATCCCGAGCTTCTCGAGTGTTCGTAACCGATTGATACTTGGGTTTGAGTTGAGATAGTATTGGCAAGCGGCACCATCAAACTATGCGAATTTCTCTTTGATCTTCGCCGATGGTAGAAACACGAGCTGCGTTTGGTGCGTTGTTTGGAGTGCTGTACTCGCACAACCATGTCTGTCTAGGTACGGTCGTGCATATGCCACTGATTTGTTGTTTTCATCTTCGACAGGATGGCACTGAGTGGGGGGAGACCACCCTGACCGGCAACGAGAAGGTCGAGGATACGGTGCAGTGCATCTCCACCAGTGGGCGACCAGGACACGCTACTCTCAACGTGAGTCAGGGAGAGGAAGAGAGAGAGATACACACACCGAGACAGAAGGAGGAGCAATAGAGGGAGGGGGGCGGGGGCAGAGAGAGAAAGAAAGAGAGAGAGACAGAGAGAGAGAGAGAGAGAGAGAGAGAGAGAGTTGTATATTCCTGCGGTGATTTTGACGTGGACAATCGTATGCGCTCGTTCGTTCGTTCGTGGGAAACGTTTAGGTGAAGAGCACCGTCATGACCTTCGAGCCGTTCCACTGCACCTTCGTTGGGGACGCACGAGGGTTCAAAGTCACACCCGAGGAAGGGACGCTCAACCGCAGGGGCGGTGACCCCCAAGAGTTCGACGTGTCCTACATGGGCAACGTGAGGGAATTCCCGCTTTTGCTTGTTGATGCTTTTTGCGCCAGCAGCGTTGGTCCCAGGATGTTGCCCCCCCTCCCATCTTTCGCGCTTGGTGATGTGAGAACCTGGTTCGATGAGAACCCGGCGTGCTCAGTCCCAGCGTTGTAAGGGATGCGAGGTCAATGGTCTAACGACTACGGAATGCACGGGCTATGAGAACACCCCCCCCCCCCTACCCATCCTGAATGCTGAGCTAGTCAAACAACGGTGGCGATTCGCCAACAGTTACAGGCCCCAACGGTAGATACAGCGGTCTGGTAGAGGACGTGCTTCGGCAACAGTGGTGTCCATCGCTGACTGCAACACTCCGGGTCAATCGTGGCAACACCACTGCGGTGTCTAGCGTGTCGATTGTTGTAACTTAAGGTCGGGAACGCGTTGCAATTTGTTCCGTTGGCCAGCAGGACATACAGCGTCCCTTGATTAGACTGTGCTGTTATTTGGCCATTTGAACATTTCCCGTCTTGTTGGCCCTCTGTGCTCTCATGATGTAGGGCCCCGGCGATAACCGGATCGGAACCTTGGTTGTGGAGACCGAGGAGGACAAGTGGATCTACAAGGTGCGCGCGCGAGAGAGAGAGAGAGAGAGAGAGAGAGAGACACACACACATGAGAGACACACACACATACAGAGAGACACAGACAGAGAGACAGAGAGACAGAGACAAGAGAGACAGAGAGAGATAGACAGACAGAGAGAGATGCATTATGTCCAAGCCTGTGCTTGTAACTTCAACAACACCTCACGAACTATGCCTAGAGCGCGTTTCTCTGCGGTCTACAACACGTTGTTTTCACGATTTAGACTACCCGCTCGATGTTGTTGCTTGCTCTGTGCTGTGGAAGTCACGTTTTTGGTCATGCCACGCAGAATGCAATTGCAGTGTTTGCACCAGCTTGTGTGGGCCTTTGACCGCAGCAGCATAGCCATCACGAACCCGGCAAGACTATCACAGATTGTCTTATCTAGGCTAGACGCCCGTTGCCTCATTCCAACGCCCTCGCAACGCTCTTGCTTTGCATGTATCCTCCCGGTCCTTGTCCTCGTTCGTGCCATGACACAGATTGAGGGCGTGGTCGGTTAACTTCGAACTCCAAGAACACGGACTTCTGGGGACCTTGTAGCGCGTTGAAGCGCGTGGGGTATGCTGTGTCTGTCTTTTATCTGTTCATTTAATAGAGGTCAAGTTTGAGGGAGTTTTTATGTTTTCCTTGGCTGAATTTTTGGAGAGCACGGGATAGATTGAACGGGATCGTGCGAATATGAAGAAAGCCATTGAGCGCGAACGGCGCAGTACCAGCACCAAGGCGGGATAGAGATTGTTGGACATGGGTTGGTTGCTGGGTCATGAAGGCCCTCTTGCCGTGTTCAGTTGAAGCTTGCCCTCTGATCGAGAAGGGCTGGCTTCGTTTGTTCAACCTGGTGCGTCCGCACCGGGTGGGGTGTGGGCACCGCCCTGGGGTACCTTTCCGATCTTGACGCTTAGAAAGAACGTCGCCTGCTGGCGGTGCAGTAATATCATTCATTTTGTTTGATGTGGTTCGAAGATAGGATGGATTTGGCGTAGCAGCATGCTCCGTGCAGTGTCTCGATGGATGTGCTTCCGCTTCATGCTGGAATGAAACAAAATAGAGCTTTTGAAATGTCTTGGGTAACCCGATGACATTGTTGACGTCTTCTCGATGATGGAGATTGCCTTGAACCGAGTGTTTGAGTCAACGCTATTTGGCGGCCTACATGTAGATAAGACTTGGCGTCCCACTTGCATGTTCCGGACGTGGACGTTCGACCCTTCGTGGCGTACTTTCTCACATTCCGCAGCTGATGCGTCCCGGAGTCCATTAGCGAGTGTCGATGCAACACGGTGGGTGGGTGTTGCTGCCGGGTCTAGGAGATAAGAGATATGAGCGGGTGTAGATTGATCACCCTCACTGTTGGGGATATGTGAACAGGAACAACGTCGCTTTGAGACGATGACGATCCACGACTCTACAACCCCTTGTTTGTTTATTCGAAACCAAGGCGTACGTTGCATGCACGTTCATGCTTGTACCGCCCCCCCCTCTATCCCTCGTAATCTTGGACCATGGTGTGCTTGAACACAGCAGCAGCAGTGGAATTGGAGTCGCATGTCGCATATTCTCGTGCATCGCTTTTCTCCCCGCTTGGCATGAGAGCATTTTTCACAGCATGGCGCCGTGCCTCAACATATAATCTTTCTGTCTTGGTAAGTTTCCTAATATACTTTCGTGCCTGACCTCGGGAATATTGCTTTGAATCCACGCTGTCACACGAACTTACCCGTAAGGAATTTCAATTGTCCCAAGATGCCACAGTAAATACACAATCCAGCGCGGTCGTCAAGGTTCCAAAACATCGCAGCGTACACCAACTGAGGGTGGGGGGACCCGGAGAGAACAGCATACAGCAGTAATACGTAGTGGAGCACCTTATCTATGTCGTGGGACTCACGATACATACTCGACTTCACGGACGAGTAGGGAAAAAGGACGGTTGGAAACCTCCTCCCGATGAAAGGATAGACTATTCATACAGCAGATAGACTATATGTAACACCGACCAACACCGCCGACCGTACTATATTCCTGTACACTGCTGTACATACAAGCCAACACGATGCACGCCGCAGACTGTACTATGCATACTACTGCTGTACATAGTTGATCGCTATCCCGCAGGAAACGACGTGCCACCTGAAGCATTTTGCGGTGCCCCTTCGGCCACCTGCAAGATCTCCCAATCCAATCTCCCAAATGCCAATCCTCTGCCGTTGTCACCCCCTTGCAGCTTGTGACCAACACACACACGCCAGCCTTCCTTCTGCTTCTGTTGGGTGTTCTCGGCTCCACTACGGTACCGGTGATCGACAGCAGTGATTCGTGCCAACAGAGCCTCTCAGGTACGCGTGTGTACATTGTGCAATACGTCCACCCTGGCTCTCTGTTGAGAAGTCGGAGATCGAGCCGGTGACACCAAGAGGTTCAACAGACACCAGCAGCAACAGCAGCAGCAGCATCAAGACATAGGCAGTTTGCAGGGACACCTCCAGGCGAAAGGCGAGGGAGAGACAACCATGGCTATGAGCGAACCTTTCGCCAACCCAGATGCTTCTCCAGATGCTTCTCCTCGGTTCCTGTCGCTGGGGGAAGGCAGCGAGGTACTGCAGGTGGCGCTGTGTCCGGGCGATGCTATCCTAGCAAACGAGAAGGCTTTCGTCTACAGGGGGCTTGGACTCCAGCAAGAGTTGCAGCCTACGGGTCCAATGGGAAGGGCATTAGGATGGTAAGCAATGGTGGATACTGTAGTCGATACGTTGGGGTTGCCGCAGTTAAAGCCCAAACAGTCACCTTGTAAGTGTTGCACCTTCGTCGTTGACCAAAAATGCGGCATGTTCAAAACGTGGACCAATTGGATTGACCGCATTACCAAATGAACCCATGGGTGCAAATCAAGGAGAGATCTTAGTTAAACAAATTGCATCGTGATACGTACATAGTGCGGTTGAGGTCTTTGCCAAACAAGCCGTGTTGGCGCCTTTCACAGCAAGTTTTGGGTTGATGCGGGAAACACTTTTCCAAAAGCCTGTTGCACGTCGGTCGGCATTGAACCCACACACGCGCGCTTAATTTGCACCCTGCAATACTGGCTGTATTACTTTTTACAGGATTGGCGTGAAGAACGACAGGGTCGTCAAATTTACCAACGAGGGCAACAGTCCGACCTACCTCGGGTTAACCGCGTCATTGCCGGGCAAGGTGATCCCCGTTAGCCTGGCGAAATCTGGCACTTTGCTGGCCAAGCCGTCAGTATTCCTGTGCAGGTGCGAGTCGGGGTCGCATCGGTAAAGAGCCTGTCTAGTAAGTAAATGCCATGAGTTTTGCTGCGGATTCACGGGTCGTAACTACCCCTTCGAACCACGTGCCCGGTACGAGCACACCTCTAAGTGCGCCTTGTTCGGTAACCGCTCATGAGGTGCAAATATTCTGCGTCCGGGTGTTCGTAAAGCCTTTTCGTTGGTATCGAGTGAAGTGCTGCGTTGGCATCTTTTTGAACGGTTTCCTCTTGCTGGCGGTAAGCCTGAACATCTTCACCCCACGCCCCTTCGCGTGTTGCTGCCTACGCCGTGCGATTTCCAGCGTAGTGGAGAACGACATTTCAACGGCCAAGATAAAGCTCCAGTCGGAAGGCCAGTCCTCTCAGCAAAGCGTCGAGATGAGAAAAATAGCTGGAGCGGGAATGTGTTACATCCACGGAGGTAAAAGTGTAACCACCCTCGCCGTTCTTCGATAAGGTTAATTTCAACACGGTGCCAATGTATCTTCTTCCTATGCATAGTTCATAGTTCACGGTCTCTTTTTGCTCTGCTTCATTGCCTGGTCAATCAAAAGAGGGTGGCCATGCCAACATGCGGGCGGTACCATCGGTTGGCCGCTTCGCCTGGTGAATTTTTTCAAAACGGGCGCCCGCAATCATGTCCAGTCCACCAAAGTTTCTTGGCTTTTTTCTTTTCCAGGTGGGGCTGCGGTCCAGAAAGCGTTGGGGCGTGGCGAGTCGATGGTGGTGGAGTTTGGGTGTGTTGCTGCCGTGTCTGACGCTTGCAAGATCGTCCCAGAGGAAAGGAACGGACCGCTCATCAGAGAGCCGCCGTACTTCCAGGGATTCCAGGTCAAGATCACCGGTAAGCGTTTGTTCGAGGGTACAATGTATTGGTGCGACTTGACTATTCGAGCAGAAGAAGGTTTATTCGAGTAGAGCAGGGTTTTTGCCCCCGGTGATAAAAGGCGTACCCGTCCTCTCGCGGGTTGATCTCGCAGCCTGCCGTGTCCTTCGATGCGAACCCCCCGCACCGGGCCGCACATCACCTTTTCCCGAGCGTTCGTCCGATGACTGGCTTAACCATGCGGCGTGTTAACGACCCCGCGCCCTGTTGCCGGAACTGTTTTTCATGCTGCAACCAATATTACTTTCGTGGGACCGTGGGCCTGTAGGGGGCGTGTTGTTCCCCAAGATTTCTTCCTACCTCTTGTGTCTCTTGTGTGTTGCCCCTAGTCGGTGTGTCCTACAACAGCAGCAACTTGTTCACTTGCTCCAATCCATGTTTTTGCTTGAAATGAACTGATTCCGTCGCAGGTCCCGGGAGCGTATTTATTCAATCGACGCACACGGGACGCTTGTCGAGGGCGAGTAGAGCAGACAGGGTTGCCCAGGGGGGATCAGGAGGGGGCGACATGATGAAGGCAGCTGTTCTCACGCTCGTCATCATGATAGTCGTGTTCACGGTGTTGGACTGGGAGGAGTTTTGAATCGCCACTGCCCGTGTTACCGCAGAAAAAAAAGAATAGTGGACGACGCTACGAGAGAGCGAAAGATGGTGTGGTTCATGAGGTGCTCGTGTGGTATGGTATAGCTGAAAATCTTTAGAGGAGGATCTGTCGAGATATACGTCTGTGAAAGCACCACGGGAGTCAAAAACGTTGTTGTGTATGTCTAGTGTACTACTTGTCAACTTGACCCCGGTGCCTGCAGTTTTCTGACATGTCATGTTTCGTGGAAGGGAGATGAATTGCGACTGTGTGATATCGGCTTGTTCGCAAATAACTAGCATATTAGTGGGGACGTGGATCAAAACCAGAGTGATGCCCCTGTCGGCAACGAAGCAAAACAACACAGCAGTAACAAAACCGGACAAGATGAGCGACGGAGCGTCATTCCTTCTCGGCGCGCTCTGGCTGCAGCTGCACGTGGCGGGGATCACCACTACGTTGGTGGTTTTAAAACGATTGAGAACCCTCGCACCACCTCCGTCATGCTCAAGCCAACAGATACTTTTGGGATACCGTGTGCTTGGACAGCTCCGAGATGTTGAAAGGCAAACGAAGACAGAGCACTGCTAATGCAATTGTAATAAAATGCGACGTGGCACCTTGATCACCAAGTCCTAGTGGTGGGATGGAATATCGTAGTGTGCTAGAGAGCGCTAAAAATTATGCTAGGCAAAGCTAATAGACTTGCCAAATTACAAACGCACAACGAGAGTGGTTACAGCGAGCTCCCATGGGCCCATGCTTCCCTATTTCCTTTCTACAAAGCCGGATGTGTTGACTCTTTAGATAACGTCAACAACCCCAGGCGCTAACCTCTGACCCATACCCACACCCGCCCCGACCCCTCCATCCGCCGGGTCGCCTTCTATCATGTCCGACGGCATGAGGTACTCTCCGGTGAACATGCTGTTCTCGAAGCCGTCGTAAAACACTCCGGGCTTGAGCTCACTCACGCAGTCCTCCAGGTCTTGCAAGTCCTGCGAAGAACGGGGAGTTGATATAGGGGTTCAGGTTTGCGACTCTCTGTACAGTACGTGCAGAAAGTGAAATACGGTTGGATTCTTAGCAAAGAGCGACGAAGATCTTCAATTCTCTGCATCTATTTAGCTTGTCGGGTGACGGCTCAGCTACTCGTAGCCAAGCGCAGAGTGAAAGCATTGCAGCCCATGATCCAAAACCTATATACGAGTAGGTATGGTTCCGCTCCACAAGACGGACGTGAAGGCACTGAGGCCATGTTCCAGAGTAGAGGAACGTTTCAAGTGGGCGTCAGAAAACATAAAAACACCGCGAACAGTATTGTCGTTTCAAAAGAAAAAACAGCCAACGCACCTGAAACACGACGCCATCGGCTCCAATTGCCTCGGCAATCTCGTGGTCTTCTAAGCCATGGGCCAGCAATTCGGACTGCCGCGGGAGATCGATACCGTAGCAGTTCGGATGTCTCACCTATTTGGTAGAGTCGTCAACGGTGCGCGCGCGGTTAGTCCATTGGCGGTGCCAATTGCGAAATATGCTCGACACCGCCCGCTATCGTAGAAAAGCAGCGCAAGCTGCCCGAACCCACCAACAGCACGAGCTAGGGAACACCGCCAAGGGCCGAGTCGTAATTGCTAACGTGGTCGAGTTCGCAAAATGGAATGCATCAGAAATCAAATTCGCCGCCACATCAATCGCGGGGCATCAACCAAACTGCTGCGACGCGATTGCATCGATACCTGCTGGGTACAAGTATGGGTGTCTACTCTCTACGTCCCTTGCCCCATCTCTGCGGAGCGCGTTCAGCAGATGGATGCACCCACCACAACGAACTGGCGACGCACTCACCGGCGGCGAGGCCGAGCAGAAGAACACCTTGCGGGCACCGGCTTCCTTGACAATCCGGACAATCTCCCTCGAGGTTGTGCCCCGGACTATCGAGTCGTCCACGAGCAGCACCGACCGCCCCTCCAGGACACACGACACGGCCGAGAGCTTCTTTCTGACGTTTTGCCGACGGAAAGCCTGCCCGGGCATGATGAACGTGCGACCCACATATCTGTCTCCCCGGTGCGAAAGAGTTAAGAGATGTCAAGATGCAGGGTTGTGCAAGGGGGATGCGGTCAAGGGGTGGTGGTGTTTATGGGGAGTGCAGATTGGAAATTGGTTCGGGTTTCCCTTAGTACAGGCACGAAATAAACGGATGCGACCACTACCCTTGGACGGGGAGGGGGGTGTAGCGAGGGCAGAGCCACGCGGACAAGCGGCAGAGGAGATTTTCCGCATAATCTCGGAGCCACGAACACATGGACTCGTTTTCCATCCTAATGACGAAAGGAGGCCACTCCTATCCAACAAACACCGGGATTTGGGTCTAACAATGGTTATTTTGGTCTTTGTCGATACGTCTATTGGGACGAAATCGATACGAAGCCCAACGTTTTCGGCCGCCAACGCCTCTTCTTCCGCTGCTACTCTCTAGACTCCAATAGAACACTAAAGGCAACCAAAGCGGAACATTCCGTGATTGTCACGTGTGGTCCTTGCGTAGACCGCGGTATCCGTGTCCCGCCGCTCTTGAGTCATCACTGCCCGCCCTTCATACCTGTTTTTCGTGAGACCCTCCTCGAACGGTAGCCCTAAGCGCGCCGCACAGTGCATCGCAGCGACCCGACTGGTCTCGGGTACTGGTACGACCACGTCCACCTGCAAACAAGAACAAACGCGGTCACCCACGAAAAGCCACAACGCAACGTCATCAGCTGCCGTAGCAACAGAGTCCTAACCCTTGGTGATTATCAACTCCAGCCGAAAAAGACGAAAAATGAATTGTCAACCACAAAGGAGCTGGGAAACGCCACTCAGCCTTCCAGCTTCATTCAAGAGAAAAACGGACATAATTATTTGCCCCCCTGAGCCCATAGCACACGGCACATCACACGAGACAAGACACGAAAGAGTCACAAGAGCAAAAAAAGTACCGTAACCTTTTACCTCTCCTATGGGAACCTGGCGGGCGATTTTTTTGGCCAGTCGCAATCCCATTGCAACCCGTGCCGCGTAGACCTGAAGCAGCGAGACAAGAAAGCAAGAGACGATGCCATGGGCATGTTTTCCCGTCAGAAACGAAACCCTACAAGAGGATGCGGCACTGGTGACACCTTCCACACTTTTCTTCTTATGTCCTATTGTAGTCACACGCATGCATATGTCTGGTTGTTTGGAGGTACATCACAGGAATGTGTGTGAGGGTTTCATACAGCAGTAGGAGGAAATGTTGTCGATTTGGTGGTTGGCGCTGGGTTGGGGGCGGCTGTAGCGAGCAAAATCGCTCGGCCACTTTGAACATCGTTGTCGGAGTAAACTTTTCCTTAATAGCTTCACAAGACGCCCGGTGATGACGGGGCATACATGGATGTCAGAGGCAAGCAAGGACTGCTGTCATATGTCATGGTGGGACAATTGTCCGGGACATACTCTGTACAGAACGTCAACCTAGCACACATCACACAGGAACACCCAACAAGCAGCCTGTGGTGAAACGGTGCCGAGCTAAAAACACATGACGTGCCCAAAAAATTGAAACACATCCAATCCAATTATACGCCACAAGACTTGACCACGCTCTCACCGGAACACCATCGATGATACTGTCCGGACGCGCCATGTAAACGTACTCGAACAAGCACGGCTGAAACCTCGCAACCGCTCGCCGGGATTCCTTTCCCTCTCCCACCTCCTCCTCCCTCTTCTCGCCTCCTTCCTCCCTACTCCGCTGCTGCAGTTGCCGTGGGGAACAAAACTGACTAGACACCGATCCGGTACTAGCATCCAAAAACACGGCTTCCCCGGCGCCAACATCCCTCCTTAGTGAAAACCCCAGCCCCGTGAGCGCCGCCGACTCGGACGCAACCGCGAGGTCCATCTTTCCCGATCCCCTTCTCATCCCATCCGCACCGATCCCTCCATCACCGCCGATAGCCTCCCCTCCTATTGCCGCGGAGCCACCGCCGCTGCCGATCCCGCTCCCCGCCCCGCCCCCGCCCGGGCGCGCCCCGAGACACAAGGGTCGAACTCCGTGGGGGTCGCGGAAGGCCAAGATGCCGTACCCGTTGATGAGCACCGTTACCGCGTAGCCGCCTCGACACCGAGCCATTACCGCCTAGGGCAGGTGTACGACGTGATGATGCGACACATGCGACCAGAACACATCCATTTGGTTGGGTATCGGCAGGGCGGGGGGTAGTTGGGAAACAGTTGCCGGACGTGAGGTTGTCGGTACCCTTGTTGGTTGTCGACTACCGTTTCGTGCACACCTAAGAGACGAGAAAATATTCTGGCACTGTTTTGGAGAAAAGGGCTAACCTTATGAATGTTGCTGTTGAATACCAGTACGGACGTGAGTGGGGAGAGCGACGAGACCGTCACCTTGTTCGTTTAGTGGTGTGTGGACATCCCATACAAGAGCAACCTCCCGATTCAGGCTGGAGGAAAACTGCCCTCGTTGTAAATCCTGCCAGCAAATTCTAACCTCCAGGGTACAGATTCGCCAAAACCGTCATATTAAGGGTAAACACCTGAACAACTTGGAAGAGCAGCTCTCGGGTTACCGGCGGTCCGATCGCTGGCCTCCTAGCTGCCAGCTCCATGCCGAATATCTCCGACAAGAGTTCCGTGTCCGAGTCCGTGTTAAGGTGACGAGTGGCCGATAGCTGAAACGGATTGAATGCGAATAGCAGTAGTGCATGCGTCCAGCGCGGGGCGCGCAGAACGAGAACTGGGTTCAACGTTACGGGAAAAAAAAAGTAGGTCCATCAACACACCGAGGTGCGGCGTATGCACACACAAACACCGATCGAAAAGAGGACAGCCCAAACATGAGAGTATCGGAGCGCAGTTTACGCGAGAAAAGTGTACACCGACGCAGGGCTCGTACCCCAAATACTGAAGATATACCCAAGAACTCGTACTACCACGCACACAGCCCAATCGCCGAGTCAAAATGAAACGTGTGCTTGGAAAACTGAAACGGAAAATGGGCCAGGCAATTGATGCTGATCATGCATGCATAAGCCCCCCAAGAACCGCCGTTGGCGATACATGTAGAGTGCGAGCGTCATGGATGCAGACTAGGAGTTCTTGGAGTGGGTACCGCGAACGTGTTCAGCCCCTTACTCTCTTTTCTGGGCGACCCGTTCTGGTGCGTTCAGGTCTACAATAGCGATCATGCAAGCCCGCAAGCCTCCCCGCTGGAGAGCTACATGAAAGGTCATGTTGAACTTCCCTTCCGGCGCATTCAGAGCCAGATGACTATCACGCGCACACTTCAAAGGGTATATTGTTTTCGGATAGATACACCTCCACAAACGCATACAAGTCGGCGGGTGTTCGCGCGTGCGGATAACTTCAAGCGCACCTGATCTCTCAACAGCTGGCCGTTGCTTAGGTGGCCGTTGTGCGCAACGCAAAATCCCACCGGGACATTATTCCGGAAAGGCTGTTGGCGTTTACAGGACAACAAATAGAGGGGGCGGACGAGTCAGCACGAGCCAATGCTACTTTGCATGGGTTATTCGAAATCGTTTGTCTAGCCTACTACGAGACTCGGAACATTGATTACCTTGAGCTTATTTCGAGGAGTTGCTGCGGTGCAAAAAACGTCATATTCGGATGGTGTACTTGAGGCCTTGGCAGAAGTATTAGAGTTGCAGCCCATACTTGACGGCAGCATCGATGGACCTACCTCTCTCAAGCTACTGCTCCTGTGTGACTATATCCCTTTCTACAGCACTCGACACACATTTTTGCTGCGCGTTTAAGGCACACATGAGTCAGTTGTGTACTTCACTATGCGCATTGCATGGCGCATGAGTACTTCCGGCCACACAAAGGCTGTGGATACGCCAGAGAAGCGTTCATCAAGAAGTAAGACACAATCCTCTTCGCAACCGTCTGAACAACGAAAACAATCGTTTCCAAGGCGAGGATAAACGCTTCTCAACACAAGAGAATCAAGCACCAGCAGCAGCAGTGCTACGCGACACCCGGCGATGACCCCACGACAGGAACCTACAGCAATACAGGCGCAGTACGTACGGAATACGAAAAAAATATAGGCCTGCTCACCTGTGCTTCCTCGACGCTGTTGCAGCCGCTCGTGGGGTAGCGCACGTGTCCCACTCCGTAGGCTCCACGCAAGCCCGCCATGCTCTCCACGCCAAAAACGTCTCTAGCCTGCAGCACCGACACGTGTGCTATGGCGTCATGCATGACACTGCATGTGCAGCAGCAGCAGCAGCAGCAGACAGTACCATTATCATACCTGCCGTGCCGTGCCCACCAGCGGTACTACACACCCCGAAATATGTCGCATCGTGTACCATGTCATGGGCGATAGTACAGTGTTCCGTTCACCAGGAATCCAACAAATACCAAAGAACACAAATACAAACACATCCCGGCCTCGTTTTCATCACGAAAGGATTCCGGATAATCGTGCCGGTCGCCCCGGTGGTCTAGTTGGTATCCTCGAAACTTTCAAGAGGTCAGGTCAGGAGTTCGAATCCCGGCGCAAGCGAGCTTTCCTTGCAAAGTGAGTTTTTCTCTCGCTTCCGCTTCTGGCCTAAATTGTGGATAGCGCTGGCTCGTGTGTACACAGAGGGAAGAGAGTGCTGAACTCTTCTCGCATTAAAATTCGAAGGCAAAGTACCGCAGGAGGGGAGGGTAGAGAGGAGCTCTCCTGTGTGACCACGGGTTGGATGGAGTAAACGGCACTAGTGCTGTGAGCGCTGATTTGACGTGAAGACAAAAAGTAACAAAAAACGACACACTCAAGGAAGAGAGCGGCGTCTACCACCCCTGAAGCAGTGGGCGACATCGTCCATCCCGAAAGCTGGGTCATCAACACCGCAGGCAGCGACTACGCGCGCAAGGTCGCCAAGCCTGCCAGTTTGATAGGCTAGGTGACGTTGCGCTTGTAGTCACTATATGCGGTCTTGGTGACCCAGCTTCCGGGATGGACGATGTCGCCCACTGCTTCAGGGGTGGGAGACGCCGTTCTCTTCCTTGAGCGTGTTGATTATCGGGAATCCATTGGCGATGACAACGAGACCTGGGTGTGGTTTGGATTTTGTAATTTTCAGTTTTGGAGACGCCACACACCGCCGACAGACAAGGATATCGGGTCCTCACAAACCACAAGATAGTACACATACCGAGGCCCTCCATTGGAGGCCGCGAGGCGACCAGAGAAGCAGACAACGGGCATCATCGCCATCAAGCAGCTTGCCGTGTGGGGGGTTCGTACCGTCACCTGCTGTGCGCCATGTAACCGCTAGAAGAATATGGCTTATCATTACTGCCGTTAAAAATTCAAGATCACCAAGAACATCAGTGAGAGTGTCTACCACAGATACCCGTGTTTCAGTCTATGGTGCCTTCAAATAAATTTCGAAGGCGTACTCCTGAGGCGGAAAAACCCTTTACTTACGCCCTCCCGATTTTTCGTCCCCCTGCGCTCACCACTTTCATCGTCGTCGTGCTCCTCACAGAGGTGACGTTCAAGCACCTCACAAACACAGACAGTCCTATTTTTCATCCGAGAACGCTGTTGATGTTGTCGCTTTGCTTTTAGCAGGACAAATGCTGCGTGATGAGATAATCCGTTGAAAAACAGGCTCAGCACATCTGTCAGAGCACGAACTTGGCGCGTTTGGTGAGGGCCAAGGAAAGAACGCAGCCCTCCAGCGCTTGGCGACAGGCCGTGCTCATATACAGGTATGGAAGGTTTACCTGGGTCGCATAGTTTTGGATCGCCTCACGAGGGCCACAATCGACATGCACGCTCAACAGTAGCAAATTCAATAGCGACGGTAGCGGCGGAATAGGCGAGACCAGCTCATGCGCGTGAAAGTCCCTCCAATTTCGCCGGAAGGCTACAACACAGTACCTGAAGAGCCTCGAACTAAGAGGGGATACAGTAGGTGACCCGATATACACCCGTGTTGCAAGTCCCCACACAAAAAGTTTTTGTTTATTTTATTACGACAAGGCATCGACCACGCGGAGCCCCCAAAGCCGCCGAATTCCTATGGGACTGGCCGTTATACGTCAACAACTCGGGCTGTAGTGGCGATCCCAAATGTGGCCAACCTTCTAAAGCAACCTTAGGCATGTCTCTACACCGTGGTGCCGAAAAAAAATGGACGGGATCGTTTTCTTAGCGCGGATAGAGCGTTGAAGGTCAAATTGCAGGGGAACTTGCCGGAGATTTCCAACAACAGACGCGTTGGGCGTGTTTGGTCGACATATAGGCGATACAGCAGTGGTTCACTGGAACGACCCTCGTCGTGGCGATCCCAAATTTTGCCAGCCCCTCAACGCTACGTATGCCTATGTAATGCACTCTGGTGAAGTTTCGAGCGAAATCGTCAACTCCTTTGCCCGCGGGCAGCAGCGTGAAGTTTGGTGCTGAGAGCTGCGAACGGGCTTAAAGCAGCAGCTCTTTCACTTTTGATAGCACGGCATTTGCCAGGTTCAGAGCGAAACCAGGCCAAATCAAATGTCTGCGCGTGTAGAACACAACATGCTTGAGATATCCTGCAGGTTTCATGGCACGTAGCCATCTGTGTGAGGAGCACCAGCAGTGACAAAGGCGTGCACCAGATGGTGCGCTGGGCAACCGATGATGGGGGCTTACGCGGGGTACCATCGATTTTCGCGGAGCCCCTTTGTCATATATTTTTTGTTTTTTTGTGGGACTTGCAACACGGGTGTAAAATACCGGTCGAATAATGCCGGTTGCCGGCTAAAATGCCGGTGAAATCGGCTGGCACAACTTCAAGTTGGTATAAAGCCGGTTCTCAAGATTGCTTGCACACACAGCACACCACCACACACACAGTTCGAGGTCTTATACCCCTACCAGCTGTACCCCACCACATCATGAGGGGCTACTTTGACAAGATCTGATGCTAGTTTTTGAGTGGATTCAGCATCAGTAGTTCGGTTGTTTGTTGTGTGGAACCCGTTGGTAGGTGTGTTGGGTGTACGGTTGTCGTTTCTAGCTGAACGCTAGCAGCCTGACCACTTTTTGTTTGAATTTTCCCTGTTTTTTTTTGTCTTGTTCTGTGTGAGCGAGTATTCGTCGGATATGCGGCACGTAAATGGGTGTGTTCACATGCTTATTTTCGTAGTGTTTGTTGCCTTTCTTTCTTTCTTGATATTTGCGTACGATATAATTCATGTGTGTTTTTAGCGGGTGAGTGACGGGGAGGCACCAGAGGTTAATATTATACGTCAAGGAAGAGTTCGTGCACAGACACTGATTGCTCTGCGAACAAAAAATGGTCAAGGGGTAGAACCAAAGATGCATGGAGGGATGAGCTAACATACGGCCCTTCGATGCACGCGCCTCCTCTGAAATCTGCTCGATCGCGGAATGCTTACCAAACCTCCTGTCACAGCATCCGCTGTCATTTTTCCTTATCACCTGATGCTTGTGGTGTGTGCTACACGTTTTGTATTGAATAACTATGTAGACGGTTTCCTATATAGGGCCGGTACCGGCATTATAGCGGAATTCTCAGACCCTCAGTAATGCCGGAACCGGCATTATAGAGGCCGATTCTAAATATTGCCACTCTCCCGCTATAATGCCGGTGAAATCGGTTGTCAACCACCGGCATTATGCCGGGCCACCTACAGTACAGATATCCTTACCAGGCCTTTGTCCTTCCTCAAGAACATCTTCCGGCCGTTGGATGTTGCGATTCCCGCCGCATCTTGTCCGCGGTGTTGCAGAATAGTCAGGCCATCGTACAGCTCGGGGGATACCTGCGCCTCATGGTCCGCCAGCAAGATACCGATCACCCCGCACATCACCGGCCCGCCATTTCTTCCGTCGTGATACCGGTGCCTGCTGTGCGCTGACCGGCCGTGCTTGCGAGCGTCAAACCGGTGTGTCCAGTTTGAAGGTCCGCGACCGCTGCAAGTCGGTATTGCTGATATTGTTGTTGAGCATCTGTGGAATGGAAGCCGACGGAGACACGCAAATACACAGCCAAATGCAGAATGAAGAATGGGGAAAAGTGGGTATGTTGTGTGACAGCAGTTTAATATAGGGGAGGTAGCATAGCCGCAGGGTATTCTTCGCAGCAGCATTTTTCTGCTACACACGAGCTACACTTTCTTGTAGGCTTTCTGTTGCCAACCATTCCTGCCTAGCTGTCTTCCAAATATCCCAAGTGAAAGACATGGCCATTTATGAGTGGTGTCGAGGCGTATAGATGGGCTTGAAACTCGGGCACACCCGTAGTCTACCAGAAGTTAACTGAGGGTCCGGTGGCACTCAACCAAATCATCATCGGTGAACAGGGGGCAGACTTGGAATGAAACATGAGCGAAGCCACTTCCAAACATTCTAGCAGCACACACCAACGGCCCACCTCGCGAAAGCTGGGAAGCGCGATCGAACACCGTGAGCGCGTCCGTAATGAATGCTTCCAGCTGTGCGCAGGAGCACCGCGAGAACAGCCAGAAGCCATGAATGCGATGTGCGCCGCCTTGTCCTTGGTAGTTGACTCTCGAACTGCATGAGCAAGGGAAGTAACCTTGCAACCTGTGCAGAGCCAAGGCGCGGCGCTCCTCCTCTACCTGCACGACCCGAATCACAGGTATCTCCTCCTTTGAGAAACGTGGTACTCGCGTAGGGCGTTCAATCAACGCGAACGCAAGCGCAGTACGACAACACCAGCTACGCAGCAGTAGCAGCCAGCCAGCAGGAGGCGGCGGTGTGGCGGTGTGTTTTTAGTTGGAGGCATAGCGGCGGAATTCGCGCTCTCTCCGAAAAAGGCGGCGGAATTTGACAACCTTGTCAGGCGGTGGTCGCGAATTAGCGTTTTGCGCAAATTCGCATGTTTCTACAACATAGCACACCACGCAGCCAGTTGCAAAGAAGGGCAGGCGGCGCCCGCTCCCTCACAAAATTACCAGCAACATGGACACGCCACCTGCTACTCCACAGGCTGCATCCGCCAACCTGACCATCAATGCACCAAGCACGCCACGCGTCGAGCAGAGCGATCTTGCACCACCTTCTCCGACCAGTCTGTGCTCTTCCAGCCTAGCAGACCCAAGGACATCCATGTCTCCAGCTGCAGTCGCCCGCCCTGGTCTATCTCCAGCGTGGGAGACCAAGGAAGGCTACGAGCACCAGCAGCATAGACAGTTAGCCGGCTCTGGCGCTGCTGCTGCTGCCGGAACCACGCCTAGTGCCGCCGCACTGACTATCTCAGCCCCGACAACCTCCGTAGATCCTTCCACGCCCGTTGCCGCAGCTGCTGCAGGGCCTCGCCCATTTTCCTCTACGAATTTGCGACCCGATCTCGTGCCACCTAGACGTGAGACAGTGGCACCACCATCCTCTCAAGTGCCAGCACCAGCCCCAGGACCAGCAGCAGCAGCAGCAGCAGCACCAGCAGCACCATCTCCGTCGGGGATCGATGTTGGAAGCGCCTCTGCAACCGTCGAGAGGCCTGGATTCTTTGGATCGTCCACGGACACGGCAGCATCGCTGCCTCCGTCCGACGCTGGTGATACCGCCCACGTTGAACCTCCTCTACCTGAAGCCGCCGCGGAAACAACTTCGTCGTCAACGGTGAGGCCACCCAGCTCTCACTCTGGAATATCGGGGGTGTTTGAGCTCGACCTCGATTCTCCGCTTGCAACATCAACAACGCCGCCCGTTGACGACATGGGGACGCAAGATTTTGCCAGGAGGAACGTCGGAGATTCGGAGGACTCAGTGGCGGTCTCGAGAGACTCATCGGCGGAAGAAGTGACAGCCGAGGCCGCCCATAGTATCAGTGCTGCGCCTGCTCCTTCTCTGCCGTGGGGGAGGGTTGCACCCTCACCCGACAGCTCTCAGCCGCTGCCTGGTCCCTGGGGACGGCTGCAGGAGGTGGGTGTTTTTTTCTTGTTCAACTTGGTTAAACGTACAGCAGTAGCATGGTTGCGAAAAAAATAAACATAGTGTCTCGTGACGTATACCATGTACCACCTTTTTTCCTGTGGCTCTTTTACCGTTCAGGGAATTCGTGTTTGCTTTTTCCAGAGATGTTGCATTCGGTTGCCAGGTGTGTACTTTCTGAGTAGACTGAGGTCTATGCACTCGTCTCCGCGCTTATTGGAAAGCCAGACAGAAAAGGCAAATTTGTCGGAGAAATTGTGCCACGCTGTAAGAAAAATAGCTTGGGGGCAAAGCGGGTTCCCTTGCAAAACTCCTGTGTTTCTGTGCCGACTTGTACATAAAAGATACGTAGACCTCTCATTTATTTTGCTCTGCGATGCGGTGGGAAACAGAGTTTAGAATCACTTCGCGCAATATCATTTCTTCCGGGCTCTATCTATGTACTACAGAATCTCCTTTGAATATTTAGCCTGACACCCAAAGCTCAACAGCAGTCACACCCTTGGCGAGCGTACAACACCAAGTGACGTTTTTCCGTGTTGAGCGTCCCTGAATCGCCATTCCGAGTCGAGCCTAGACGAACCTTGTGCGTCTTCCCCTCATCGTTTTTTCTCCATCCGCGCGAGCAGGTCATGGACGAGATCAAGGTGATGAGCCCTGCTTCCCCAACTTCGCGGGTGCCGCACCCCTTCCTTTCCGGCGCCCGCCCATCCTCCACTGCGGCTGCCGAAGAGCGCAAAGGCTTCGCTCGCACGTCCTCGCCCCTCCCCATGCCCACCAGAGGCCGTATCGCGGGCTCTTCTTCCGCATCCGCATCCGCATCCTCCCGCATCGCCGATAGCCGCCAACAGACACGGCAGCAGGAAGAGAAGCAGCAGCAGCAGCAGCAGCAGCAGCAACAGGTTCCAAGATCCCTGTCTCCGTCGTCATCGCCTCGCCAAGTCACGTCGCCCCCGACACCGGCTGCTTTGGCCGCAAACACGCCGTGTGAGACGCCGCCGACCGCTGTTCAGCAACCGGTAGCACCGGCGTCGAGCTTGCCCTCATCGCAGCACCTCGCAGCCGTAGAGGAGCAATCGCAGCAATCGTCCTCATCCCCAAGATCGAGCGCTGCCGCGGCGGATGCGAATGAACCCGGCGTCCATACGAAGCAGGAGCGAGAAGAGGAAACGCCACCTGTACCTGTACCAGGGTTGGCACTGGGCTACTCTACTTCACCACCGTTTTCGTCTGCGGCGACGGGCACGAGGGGTGCGGGGGGTGAGGTGGCAGCGACGGCAGCGCCTACAGCGACGGCGGCGGCAGGCAGCGATTCGGGGGCAGCGCCCGTTGGAACGGCTAGCCATGGCTTTAGCGACCAAGCTGGGGAAGAACCCGAAGATCTAAGGGGTGATGATACGGCCGAGGACCTCGTGAACGTTCGTGCTGTACTGCCGGTGGAGGATGATGCTGCCACGGGTGGGCGCGGCTACGTGGGACAGAGATTCATTCAGGCCGCAGAGGTGAGAAAGTCTAAGTGTTGCAGTATTACGTACGATAGACGGAGTTGATTCTTGACTAACGACACGGCTTCGATCGACCATGGTAACTTTTAGCACCTCGCCCGTGCAGGAGGTATGTGTATCCAAGTCGGAGCGTTATTACACCAGGTGCAAATCAGAAGCGAACTGTGGTGGCCACCAAACCGCACACATCGAGGACCGAGCGGGCAGGTCTCTGCGAATGTTAGTAGCAACGGCGTTATTCGTGCTCTACTATTTCGTCAAACGTAATACCTACGTGTGAGACGCGCCTCAACATTATCTGATGGCTCCCGCTGTTTATATCCCTGCCATTCCGAACATGACGCAGGCCCTCAGCGAATCCCCTCAACTACGACGTGCGGCAGGAGCGGCGGCGACGGCCGTGTCGGCCGCTGCCGGTACGGCCAGGGTGCAGTTCACGTACACATCCAGAACCATCGGCAAGGTACGTTCAGATCTATGTATACATTCCAGGACACATGAATGGCGCGAAAGACAACGAGGATGCGGTATCTAGGGTGGCTCACCATTTTGCCGGAAGAAATATTGCCTTCTGTAGATAAAGCTTATCCTCGAAGTGGGTCAGGCACTGTAGTTCGAGCACCCTCAACGCGGTAGAACATGATGTATTTGAGAGAGTACAGGTTGCGCACACTAGTTGTATGGATGCCAAATGTCGGAGGGGACTGGGGACAGCGTTTTGGAGGGGCGGCCTGTCTCGGTGACTAAGGTACTTGTTTTGCGCCTTCACTAGAAGAGCTGACACAACACCCCAGCAACAACAGTGAAGGAGACTGTATTTTTGTGAGGAGCAACCGTAGTCTGTTTAAAAAGATGGGCTCCTCCTGTTGAGTTGGTCCAGAATACGATAAACCTTCTGAGTTGGTCCCGGTGCTAATATCATGTTGCAAGAAATATTCTCTCCGCGAGAGTTGCCCCCCGGGTTGCGTGTCTTGTTTTTCGCGTGGGTGTGTGTTGTCGCCAAGACTCACACGACACCTTAAAAGTCGTCCAAGTTTGCGAGGCGTTGAGTATGTCATTGATGGTTCTGCTAATGTTTGTGTGGTGTCTTCATCTGGGAAGTCTTCAAAGCTGACCATTCATGTAAATTCGGCACTGTAATGGGCCGTTTCAGGTGGTTTTCGCCCTCCCCCCCTCGGGTAGAAAGAACTCGAGGCGGCGCAGATGAAAGTAGCGAAAATCATCCTAGGATGCTCCAAGCGCACAAGCAATGCAGCCGTCAGGGCAGAATTGGGGATCTAATCCCTACGGTCGGGAAGAGACGCAAGGAAGCTGACATGGCAGTATCGCATGTGCGGGATGGGAGAGGAGAGGTTGCCGAGAATAGTATGGGAGGCGCGAAGTGGGCAAACAAAAGAGGGGTAGACAACCCACGGAACGGGTCAAAGTTGTAGAGGACGTGTGGAAGGGGTTCGAAATCGACGAAGATGAAACGCTGGAAACGGAGGGTCTACAGGGGTTCAAGTAGAAGATATCTGTTGCTTGTGCCGAGAGAGAAGAACATAATATAAGGAAAGCAACCGAGGATAAGGAGGGTCTAGAAGTGTACGGAATGTTGAAAGAAGGAATAGGGTTCAAGGATTACCTACATGGACCAATGGATGCAGGGACAAAGCTTAAGGTCAAATTCAGGACCGGGGACATAGGCCTTCGAGAACGTCGACGAAGGTATAGGACGGTAGACGACGAAGACGACAAGTTCAAATGTGATTGCGGCTTCGAATGCCAAGACCGTGTTCATGTAGTCGCGGAAGGTCAGTAGTACGAAAAGGAGACGGAAGTGTACATGACTGAGCTGGGAAAAATACAAGGGAGGTACAGGGAGATGTTTGAGGCATGGAATAGAGAGGAGAAGACGGTTGCTGTACTGGGGAATAGGAAGTGGTTTGAAAAGGCGGGCAGTGATATCGCTAGGATAGATAGACTAGGACGACATTTTTGAGCCACCTTTGGCAAAGTAGGAAGGAACGATTGGCCATCGGTGATCGGTCCTGTGGGAACAATGCTCCGTCCTCTCGAAGACGCGTGGTCAATGGTCTAACCGCTAAGGCATGCAAAACAAAAGAGTACGCCCCCCCCCCCCCCCCCCCCGTCGGGTAGTTTTCTCTCCTGGTGCCTCTCTCCTTGTTACCGACAGCTCACCCCTGTAAGAGTTGGGCACCAAGACGTTCGTCTTCATCACGTTTGACGCAAAGCAGAAGATAAAAACTGTACAGAAAAATTCGACTGTTGTGCACACTGTTCAGCATCGCTGGTAGTTTGTCGTTCCGCGTCCCTTTCGTTCCCTGCCGTCCCTTGTGCCCCCCGGTGGTCTGATGCCGTATGATGCCCCTTGCCGTGCTGCATAAAACTTCGCATGACGCCGTGCAGATCCTTGTGGCGAGCGCCAAGTCGTTCGAGGAGTTCGTGGACGAACAGCTGCAGGAGGACGGCTCGGGACAAGTCTTGAGGAGGGAGGGAGGCACGGGACTCCTCGTTCCGCGCGGCAAGCAGCTGTCTCAGGCCTTCATCGTCGCGCCGGGCTGCTGCCTGTGCTGGGAGTTCAGGGTAAAGGTGAGGAGCAAAGCAGCTACTACACCACGCTTTTCAAAGCCGTGTGCTTTTCTCCAGCTGCTGCAAGGTACCATGGTTTTCCTCTAGCATGTCGTGTGTTCTCCGGGTGGGACTGATACTCGTCACCTCCCTCTCTCGCAATTCTTGTCGTGGGAATGTCACGCCAGGACTACGACCTCGGCTTCGCGCTCCGGCGTCGCTTTCAAGGCATGGGTGGATCGACAGAGGAAGACATTTTCGAGCTCAAACGGTAAGGCTGCTAGGTCAAGTTGCTGGGGTGACGCAGGCTCGAATTAGTCTACTCCTACGATCGTAGTTCCAAGTTTTGGTCGCGAAGGAAAAAATATCGAGTCGAAAACGGTCCTACGTCTTTGCCGCACCAGGTTTTGCTAGGAAGGGTTCTACGTTTATGGCGGAGAGCGAGGAATATGATTGGGTATGTTTTGATTCGGTGCGTGTCAGGCATTCATGCCCAGAAACATGGCCGTCTGCGTATCCCATTGTGTGTTTCTCGTGAAGTGCACGGAATACAGAGCGTCGAACCCTGCTCATGCAACAACTATTATTGAGCATTTGCAGTCGGATTTAATCGCACTCTTGGCTCTTTCTCCAAGCGCGAAAGAAAACATTCATATTTCTAGCCCACCCATTATTAATCAGTTTTTCGCGAGGCCGCGCAGAGAGCGTCTTCCAGGAACTGTGCAATACTTGGTAGCGTTCCCCGTAGATGATCAGATGATGCATTTTTTCTTTCCGCACTGTCTTCTCTATAGGTACTCGTCTGCAGAGACTTTCCAAGGACGGTGGACTGCCAACAGTGACAGTGACGCTCCTGCCGTGGTCATCATGGTGTGGGACAACTCCTACAGCTGCCTCAGACCGAAGACGCTCGCTTACAAGGTTCGCCCGTGTTGTTTGTCCTCCCCTCCCTCGCACCCAACTTTTAGTGTACATTGCGCTACGGTAGGTAAATGAGTTTTACTGTTTTGAAGCTCGACATACTATCCCTATCACTGGGAAACCCCCCCTAAGCATACCGTAGTGAAACGGAGCGCAAGAGTTGCAGATGCGTTAAGTATGGCCGCAGTGCCGTATTCTTTGGAGTAGCACTCTCAATCTCAAGTTTCAAGTCGCTTCCTTCCAAACACAATGGGCGCTAAGGTACAAGGATTGTTGAGCCAAACATTGGAAACTTGGCGAGCGAACGGCGGCGAGCCATTTGGCCCAAGTGTGAAAATGCCATAGGTGGCGTAGTAGTGGGCGCGATAGAAAAATACGTCCGTTGCTGAACGAGTGGAAAGGTTTCAAGTTGAACCGTGTGCCAACTTCCGAGGGGATAGGGTTCTCTTCACGACGAGAGAAGCCGGGACTGTACCAAGATTTCGAGAGCATCGGCTCCTCCCCGCCTAGAAGCTTGCAATTGCGTGGGAGCGTTGACGAGCCAGGTTGCAGCAACTGCGGTGTATTCGGTTGTTGTCCTGCTGCACCGTGTGTCCCCCCTGGTGTCGAAAATAGAAAATTGGACCTTTGCTTCACGAGTGGTCGTGCAAAGGCGTTGGTTTTACCGGATGAAAGAGGAAATGAGTAGAGTAACCCCTCCTTCCCCCCCGGTAGCCTGACAACATCCAATCAATCCTGAGTCGCCTTTCTCCCCCTCTCTATCAAATGTCAAATCACCATGCCAACCAGGCTCAGGTAAATCGACCAGGGATTGACCCGGCGGCGCCCCCCCCGCCGCCTCCCCCGACCCCGGCCGCCACGTCTGCCGCGCAACCTCCCGTGGCGTTCGGCGGCAGCGTCGGCAGCGTGGGGGGAGCGGAGGACACAGAAGCCTTCGCGATCGACGAGTCTGAGGGCGAAGAGACTTCCGCCTACTCCGCGGGCGTTGGCACTGACCGCGCTCGTGTTGCTGTTGGCAGTGGCGGTGGTGGTGGCGAGGAAGAGGGGGGGGGGGAGGGAGACAAGGGCGGAGTTGATGCGTCGGCAACGACAACTTCTAGGCGGCAGGGTGCCGACCCGACGATTCGCGGGAAGGGGGGGGGGGAGGGAGAGGGATGGAGAGAGATGGAGGGAGAGGGGGTCCCGAAAACGGTCAACATCGAAGACTTCTTGGCGATGCCCGAGACTGGAAGCGGCGATGGTGGGGGTGGCGATCGTGATGGTGCTGCTGCTGATGATGATAGTGCGTCAAAGTGACGTCGGAGTTATTTCTTCTCCGTGTCAATTGATGAAGGTGTTTTTGAGTGCTCCGTCAGTATCAAGATGTGTCGTTTTGTTGTTTGTTGAGGTTTTCATAAACCTGTGGTGACGGTGTTTTCGTGAAAGCAGCGGGGGGTATAGGATCTGAAGTCCATATCATCGCCCATGCTGTGCAAGCTAGAAGAACCCCATCATCACGGGAAATCACATCAGCGCGGTTATTTTGGTGGCGTAGGTTGAGAGTGGAGTGCAGTCCAGTACACATTTGGAATCCGTAGTGCTGGTCGACCTCCTCAGAGCTCCACACGCCGTATTCTACGTCAAAAGAGTGAAGATGTATTTTGTGGGACGGTAGGATTCGGTCGAAAAGTGGGTGCATGCTGTGCAATAGATTCACAAACCAAAAGCCTACACGGTCATACGGTCGGTTGTTCTGTAGTGTGCGCAGAAAAACGCACCAAAGTCGGGGGGGGGGGGGGGGGGTGCCTCTCAAATCTTGATGATGCAAGGAGCTGTTTGTCAGTGGAGGACAATTATTTTTAGTATTTTGTACTTCGAATATTTATTTTCAGTATTTGTCGTGTTGTCGTGTTTTCGTGTCGAGTATTTTGGGCAGGGTCCGTTGCCACATCAAGCTGCTGAAGGTTAATTAAGTGACGGGGGGCGTGCGCTGGCCGGAGCAAACAGTCCGACAGGGCGGGGCTCATAGTTTGGGAGGGCAAGGGGAGGAGGAAGAAGCAGAGAATGGAGTGCTGTTTGACTCAACTCATTCTGACACGATTGTGTTCTGTAAATTTCAAGGTCATGCGAGCGAGTGCTTGTAAAGAATCGCGCGGTAAACCAACCGCTCTTATTTTTTAGTGTTTGCATTCTTCGTATGTACGAAACACAGCAGAATGCTGGGGAGAGCTGGTAGTATTGGAAGGGTAAACACGGCCGTTAGAAAGGGAGGGAGGGGAGACATTGAAGTATGTACAGTGGACCGGCTGCTTCATAGGTCGGTCGTGTTTTCGTATTTAATTTTGAGTTTTGTTCATAGCGATATCAACTTGTTTCATTTTTGACTGCCCGAAACCAGCAAGCAAAGGAGGAAGGACAGAAGAGAGAGTAACGGGAGCCGGGCGTGTGTTTGAGGTACAGAATAAAAAAATGCCAGAGCGGCGCTGCAGGTGTGGACAAGGGCTGGCCGGGAGGGAGGAGGGTTGGATGTTCGATGCTGACATGAGTTGTTCCAGATCAGGGTGAAATACGTTATGGTACAAATTAAATATAGCCGTCGTCACGGACGGTACAATGTATTGCCCTACTCGCACCCTGGCCGTATACCATACTCGTGGTCGACCAGGAATGGTGCGGCCTTCCGACACCCAGGTTTCATTGAGCGCGCATGGGAAGTAAATCGGTTGTATTGCTATAATGGGGAAACATCGCTTCATTGGCATTGATTAATGATTTTGTTGACGGACGGACGTGGTAGGGGTCCAGACGGAATGCCGTGATAATATGGTTCAGTCGGAAAAGGACAACTACAAAGGACTGGTGTATCAATACGGGGCGCTGTCAGTATTGGCAAGATGTTGCGTTGGGTGAAATGCCGTTGGTTACAATGAAGAACCAGAGAAACGGCTATATTACGCGTACCACCTCAATGGTACGATTTTGTTTCGCTTGGTGATATTCCAACACAAGCACACAAGGAGTTGAAGCTTGATGGGGTTGCCAAGGGACCACCATTCCCACCCCTTGTGTGTGTTGGACCTAACGTATTCGTGAATGCATATTGGTAACGGGGGTGGACGACTTGTGAGCAATGACATTCGGCCCTGAATCCCCTTGTTGTCGAAGCGGTACGTATGCATGTGGTCGAGGCATCCTGGGTTTGGGGGATATTTCGAAGTTCGGAGGATATTGACTGCTTGTCATATGCTAGACTTGGTGGATGGTATGGGCAATAGCATGGTACAAGAGGTAGGCCGCCTTTCTTTGCGTATTTACGCCTTGCTTTGCTTGTTCACGCGAAGAGGTCCCGCGATATTAACGGGTTAGCCATGCTTGGTGGACGTTTTTGCCTGAGTTTGATCTTGGGGGGCAGGTGGAATCAAAGGGACCAATGAACCGAAGTGAAGCGGAGAAATCTTAGAGATATGTTGAAGCTCAAAACACTCATCAGTTCTGGCGAGTTCGCCGACGCATCCTAAAACGGAAGAACGGTCGTTCCCGGCGAGAAAGTGCTCGGAACCTTGACATATCACCACACACTAGTGCATGTGGGGGACATGTGCCCCCGCAACGCCGTCAATCTTTTAACCAAGCACGGGGACTCGAGGAGTTGGGGGACACCACGCTTGTTGCCAGCTCCCACTTCCGTCCCCTCAAAGGTGCTCCATTCCGGTGTGCGTATCCCAAGTGCACTTCAAGACACGCCCAGCCCAGAGACCCTGAACAGTTTCAACAGTCTAAGAACGTCCCGCCGTTCGTTGCTGTCTTCGTTCGCCCTCTCGTGGCCTACATCTCCTACAAGAAATGGCTGCTAGCTAAGAGCTTCTGCATCTCTCTCGTGGGAGGCTTGGCGCGCACGGCCTTGGAGCGCTTAGCGCCCCCCTCCCCCGCCCACTGGATGACCCGCGACACGAACGCCTTGGGATCTGCCAGCCACTCGGGCGCCGCTTCTACGGCTTCTGCTGCCGCTGTCGTGTCTGTGGACCCCTCCCCCGCGTCAAGACTAGCGGAGTCCTGGTTTTTACTTTCACCGTTCTGGACTGGATGTGCCGCTGTTTTCGCACCCGGCGTCGGTGATCCTTGGGTCGAGACTCCCGAGGCAGCGACAGCAGCAGCACCACCACCACCACCGCCACCAGCACTATCGACCTTTCTTCCGGCATCGGAATGACTCGCGGGGGCTTGTTCCCCGTCTCCTTCTCGTGTTCCCCCTCCCCCGGCAGGGTGGTCCGAATGTAACGGTTCCTCGGGAGGGACTTCGGGCTGGTACTCAACGCCTTCATTGTCGGCAGCGCTATGAGATTGGCTGTTCTTGTCCCTCGCCAGCTCGAATAGTCCGGCGATCACCACCTTGAACTCATCCGGCATCAACTATCATGCGTAACGAGCCAAGACGACATGGTCGGAAGGAAGGGACCAACGCCAACGTCGAGGGGTGTCGTTATGTGCGGTGTGGATGGTAAGTACTTCATGCATGACACGGCTGGGTAGGTACCGTAGCTATTGGCACGTGATGCGATCTGAGCGGGCCGAGGGAGAGCGCATAGAGGTACAGAGGGAAGGAGAGAGGGGGGAGGGGGGGGGGAAGGGCATAGACAGGGACTGGAGCGGAAAAAAATTGCACAAGTTCGGAGAAATTCCTCGTGGTCTTGTCCGACATGTACCGCGCGCTTGGTCCCGTAGCACCCCGCCCCGTTCGTTTCTGAGGCATTGTTCTACAACAAGGTTATCGATTTCGACATGCATCGTACCAACCTGAAGGTGGGACGCTGTGTATCCAGCCTATGTGATCGGAAACTACGCACGTGACCTGTGCCGTGAGAGGTTTTCGAACGTCTCTTTAGTTCCTGGGTCTTATTTCGTTCGACAGTCGCTCGTCGTCAGACAGGTCTAGTTTCTCTTTCACGTCTATCAAGTGTTAACCTACATAGCCATACGGCGAGGTTAAAGTGTGGCGGAAATCTTCCTCTAGACTATTAACAGCTCTTAAAAGAAACCTGTCACCTGCACCTGGAGCGTGACCAGTTCGCTGAAGGCGCCACGACTCGAAAAAGAGCGCGAGATTGAGATCCGTAACCCCTCGATGCAGGCAAAGGTGCGAACAACTCATGCTCACCTCCTGGTCGAGCAAGTCGAGGTCCACCGTGCAGGGTGCGGCGCCCACGAGACACACCGTAGCCGAATCCACCGTCGGCAGAGGGAACCCTACGCCTCCGCCCCCCACGGCGGTGGACGACGATAGTCCCAGCGCTTCTACAGGATTGCTTTCTTTCCTGTCGGGATCGGCGACCTTGGTGGCAGCACCGCATGGCGGTGTCGAACCGGCGATGTCGGGAGTCGCGGGACCATCTCGGCTCTGCAGGAAAGCGTTCGCCTGCTTGAACATCTGCTACGTTTGGACACAGGCAGTGAGGCAGGCGGCAGCGGCGAGTACTCAGGCATCGTGTTTTGCGCAGGGTGAGGGCGCTCGTTCGTTTTTTTTTTGGACTCCTGGCTGAGCCGGAGGGTGCATTGCGGGCAAGCGACAGCTGTTTGGGTATGATAGGCAGGTGGTGGACAACATGTTCTCACCGGTCACCGACAGCAAGCACTGTCCTTCAAGAAAGATTGCCTGCCGTGGCAAATCCTTTGAGTACGTACGGTAAAATGTTCTGTTCAATAAGGCTGATGAGCGGGGCAGGGGCCACAATACTCACAACCACTTTGTTTCAAGCCTCCCCAATTCTCCCGGCGGATAAGCTCCTTTATTCGCGAGATTTCCGATTGGATTATCTACGCTACTCCACTCTTGCAGACAAGACGAAATCCTTCGTACAAGATTATGATGTTTCTTGGTTGTGCCGCACCTTTTTGACATCCTCTGACGTCAGGCCGACCCGTTCCTGTAGACCAGCATCTCGGGCCATCCTCAACAGACCCCTTAGCGTCATCGGCTCGAGCGAAGGCCCCGAGAAGTCACGGTACAGAGAGCTAACCTGCGGCGTGGTAGAAGTAAGATAAAGCACATCATTCATACCGAAACGGGCTACAAGCACTGTCGAGGTTCTGTCGATGATCGTTGAACGAGCTCATCCGTACGGGGAGACACGTATTACGATCATAAGGTTTCGAGTAATTTCGAACCATATGCATGCCGTTTTTGTTATCGTTTGTGCACGATGGTTGCAGCTACCGGCAAAGGGAGAGAGCTCGCGGACAGTGCGTGCATACGGAAGAAAACCACGAGCTGTAGATTCCACGGCAGCAATTTCTAGCTGAAGCAACTTGTGCTCGTGAATTCTGGTCGATACACGGGCTGCAGTGTCCACACAATGATCTGACTGAAGGCAAGATGGCGTTTTACACGCGAATGATGTACTGCATCGTGAACACCCTTCATTCCTGAGAGATCCGCCCCCTCTCGTACCAAAACCAAACATCATCTCCCGAAACAGCGCAAAATGGGGGGGCTTTGAGTTTCGCTTGACACCAACACTCGTTCTTACAATAAATGTGCCATAAAAAACCTTCGTCGAGCAAGCAGCGGGTGGATTTTTCTTTATTGTTCTCAAGCCCCCCTGACCATTGTTTGCCCACACTGGAGAGGAGCTGAGCAACGTGCTTCTATAGTAAAAAAAATATGCACAGAGTGACGAACGGAAGACGTAAGACTAACACAACGAACTCATTCAGTCGGCTCTTGACATCTCGGTGTTGTGCCACCAGCATCTCTTCTGGGTGGCTGTGCCGTAGGTGAATTATTACTGTGACTTCAACAAATTTAATTTCTCGCATTCAACGATAGACGACCGGCCAGCCTTTCTCTCGGATGGCGTAGTTGCAAAACTGTACATACATGTGTCTTTCTGTCGTTTTTTCGCCACGACGCGAACGCAGAACATCACGTTACTGGCGCATACTCAATGCCGGGTTTGGGACAACAAACACCAGACGCAGTACACGCCCCGTCTAGAACTGACTGAAGGCCAGATGAGCCCTTCCGGGGAAGGTCAACCATGAGACAAAAACGATTCCCCGAAACCGGCCGATTTTCTCGGCATTAATATCCACAAGGCCCTTGCCTGTTCCTCTGCCTCGCCAAGCTCTTTAACACAAGGTGACTCCACTGGGCCAACCCTCTTGTCCCCGAGTTTGCTGCCGACCGTGCCCCCGGCCCCCATTCTCGCCACAGCCGCACCGCCCCCTCGCCCGCCCTTACCACCGCCAGTCCCGCCCCTGCCTTCACCCCTGCCGCCGCCGCCGCCGCCGCCCCGCCGGTCCCCCCCTCGTACTCCGCCACCGAAGGCAGCGTTAGCGGAGAGTGTCGTCAGGAGCTCGGAAAGATGGCTTCCTACAAACCGCTTGAAGTCAGCGTTCACGTTTAGCACGGCTCGTCCCTCCGTGGAGCTCTGGGATGCTCCACCCCGATCAACAGCGCCTGCTGCTGACCCTGCGGCTGCGGCATCGCGGGTCGCAGTGACGTCGTTGCTGCTGACGGTGTTCTCCCCGACAGCCGAGAGTGAGAGCGACCCCCCGCCTTCGATGGGCGCTGTTCCAATCCGAGCTAAGGCGGACGCTCTTGGAGAGGTGGCGCGGCTTGCGGAGGTGCTCATGTTTCGGGGCATCCCGCCCCCGTTAGCAGCAATGTTGGCGGCGGCGGTAGCGGCAAAGTTGTTGGAGCCGTCACCGGTTCCAGCGTGGAGACTCACCATTCTGGCAAGCCGCACGATACCCTCTATGTACTCTCGGAATGTGATGGCCCTCCGCGAGTCGTAGATCTGATACGAGGACGGGCAGCAGGAGGCAGGGCGGTGGGAATATTGGTTGATGACTGGCCTGGGTGGTCGCATGTGAGGGGTCTAGATTTGGCGAAATGACATTTACTTGTTTTGGAATGTGAGATCAACGGGTGGGAGAACAAAGTCGGCGTGCATGAGAAGATCGATCGCGCAATCTGGATGCCGAAACATCAATGCCCGATCGCACTTCGGGTAGCAACACGGCCGTGTGCGGTGGATTTCGTAACCGTTGGCGTGAAAGCCAAGTAGCAGACACGCCCACCACTTGTCAAGTTCCCTGCAACTAAATAGAACGTCACCTTGTGGAATGGAAAAAAGAAAGACCTACGTGAAAGATTATGTTCATTTATTGACCGACTTTCCAAGAGCCCAATGGATCCGCTCTCGTCAGAAAACAAAACGGAATGCGCACACCCGTCCAAAATGCCGACCAAAACGCCTCTCCTAGAAATAAATCGTATCGAAAAGCCTTCGTCTGTCTCTCACCCCGCCTTCGGTCTCGAGATCGGAACGCGCCACGCACAGCTCCTTCCGCTCCTGCGGATGGCGCTCACCGCTATTGCTTTCGGAGCAGTAGGCACTCCTGTGCACATCCCCACCCCCCTTCTCCTCTCCCCCCTCCCCCTCGTTGTGTTCGCTCGAAGGTCGGTGGCGGCCGGTGGAAGATCCACTTGCCATCGCCCTCTCGAGACTCTGGTTGAGCTCGAACGCGTGCTGCCGCCGCATTCGAAAGAACATTCGGTACACCTATTCGAGGACGAGCCGATGGCATGGCATGCCGGTGTCGGGTGTCGGGTAGCGTGGCGGAGCTAAAGTGTGTTACCCGGGAGTAAACAGCCTGGTTCTCGTTCCACCACACATAAGTTCTTGCTTAAGCGGACGTGGTGTTTTATGCTTTTTTATTCGTCAATGGTTTGCAAAAATGTTTCTCAAGTCTTTTCCACTGAGAGGGGGAAGCAACGAGGTCTGCTTTCGTTTCTTTCAGAGGGGTTACCGGACCTTTCGTTGTTTGATGTTCGAGCTAGGCTCAGATATTTTGTTCTCCACAAGCAACAGGACGACTGAAGGTAATGTGTGTGGTTTTGAATGTACATCATATTGTACGTAAGCTTGTGACCACGGAAATTGGTGTCTGTGTCTTTGTCTTGAAGGAGAAACAAATCATCGACAAATGTATCTATTGCCTCGCGGGTGACATCTGCGCCTAGTACGACCTTTACCCTTTTCTGCGAAGGAACTATTATATGAAGCAGGCTCACATGGAATAATACTGATTCATTTCGTCTCTTGGCTGCTGCTATTGTGCGCGGGTTTTCCTCATTGGTGTTTCCCAACTCCTCACCTCCCCGACCGTCACCGGCGTGCATGGTGCGAGGGCTCGGCAGTCCCTAGCGAACACCACAAACTGCTCCATCGACATGGTGAACATGGTGCTGTTTTTCCGTGCGATCCGGGAGGAGGGTGTAGAGGTTGTTGTTGAAAAGAGCAAAACTTGAAGTAGGTGTAGATGGCCCGGTAGCTGATGTGCTAACACCTATTTACCGTTGAAGAACATTCGAAAAATTTGTTGTGGCTAGGACGACGACGTGCATGTGCATATTTCGAAGTGGAGAACTGAATGAGCTTCTTTTGGCGGACTGAAGAAGCTCCGGCACCACTTGTAGCCTACAAAACTTTCGTGTGAGCGACTTGCACAGGGCTACGGCATATAATAGGCAAGGCCGAGTAGATTTTTCTTTGACGCAGCGCAATTCTACCTCTCCTAGAAATTGTTCTTCATTCGGACGAGAGGAAATGTCCACTGGTACATCACAGCCTTCCAATATCCAACGAAAAAGCACAGGATGTTTGACCGAAAGAGCTCTAAAACTCTCAACCTGTGTGTAGCTGTCCAACCCTAAATTAGCTGCCAAATCTCCGACGCGAGAGACGAAACGAACCTGTCTCTGGGAGCGGTCATCTCCGGCTTGGCGTAGTGCTTGTACAGCAGTTTGAGGTCGCTGTTGATCTATCGATGTTCCGTGCGTGAAAGGGCGCAAGGGTCGGTGTGAATAAGGTTCATGTCGAAGTGTTGATCCATTGAAAGTCATGCCTTCAATCAGTCTTTTCAATGAGAGCGTGGTGGAAACTTCTGAATAGAGTTGATGATTTGGGTCCTTGTTGGTTTTATACACGCTCTCACTCCCGATTGTTGGCCAACGGATTGTGTTAATTTTTCCTGCTTGACACAAGGAGTTCATGAACGCTCGAAAAGTGAATATTGACATCGATGAAGGCTTGAGCTTTGACCTCGACTTCGTCTTGCCGCTGGAGACACGTCTACCGCCGGATTGAAGCAGCACCGCGGCAGTTAGTCTGGTAAACCCTACATGCCGGGGTGCAGCAATACGCTGCGATTTGGCATTGCATGTCTTTCCGCAATATTGAACTTGGCGAATACGTTATCGACCTATCTCGTATGGTCCATCAGTACCTGCAAGACGGACCTCTCCACATCCCTGACGGCGGCCGCCCTTGCTACATCGGTTCCTGAACTAAGGATGTCGGCAATCTTGAGCTTCACCGCGGCCGACAACTCAGGATGCTCATCATCCTGGACAACGTGTCAATCGTGTCGGTTCACTGTAGTCAATCATTTACCTACCCTATGTAGGTGAGTTTCCGTGGGGGGGGGAGTTCGGGTTTCGAGGTTCACTACGTTTCTCGTGTCTAAAAAAGTTCACTGCTAAAACCCGTACAATCTCCACCTCTGTCGTGAATGGGGGTAGGGAAGGTCAACCGTATACGACGCTTTCTCACCTATCAGATGTCTGTTTTCTTACCCCTTTTGGCGTTTTGCTTGGGTTTCATTTACTGTTACGATCATCTACCATGCACTTGTTCGTTTCTTGTCAGACATTTACTGATTACATCGCATTCCGACATAGCAGAAAGACCCGAAAATATTGTTTTGGCAACATCTCGTCCTCCAGGGTATTGTTTGAAGCACATGCCTATCAATCACCTGTCCCACTTTGCCGAGCATGGCGTCGTCATCGAAGAGTCCTTCGAAAGTCCTCCCATTGTCTGACATGAAAACGGCGGGGCCGTGTTTCTTGTTTTTATGCCACTGCCCCGTGTGCCGAGACCCGTCCGCGTACATGAACGTGCCCTAGATTTATTTCCACATGACAAGGTCGGAGAACAAGACAGACCGTACTTTCGAGGCATCTGTTGGGGTGCGGAGGCATGTATGGGTGTTGCGATGTTCTTGGTTGGTGAGGGACCTTGGTGTGTGCGCATCAGCTCGACAGGGACCTTATAGCATGTCTGCGTCTGCGTGGTTTCACTGGCTACTGCATGGCTTCAGATTGAACCTAGCGCGTGAAAACAGACTAAAGAGCTAAACCATTTCTTCCTAGGTACGCGTTCTGCTCTAATGGGTGGAACGCACAGCACTTAGAGATTGATCGAGCGGAACGCATTTGCCGACACACATCAAAGGAGAAAAATTCTTGCGTTGTCCATGAATTGTTAATAGCATATTTTCCCCGCTTCCTCCTTCTTGAGATATTTCTCATCGTTCTCATACCTGTCCGTGCCTCATGCCGTCGAGCCACTCTCCCCTGTAGACGTTGCACATCTGCTTTTGGGTATCCATCGATACTGCAGATACAGGCCTGAGGACGGGCGGTGCACACACAGAGCAGTGCCAGAGAACGTTCGGGGACTCAGAAGGTGAAGGAGAATCCGGAGAGAAACACCAACAAACAAGAAGCGCTTCACCCTCGAGATGATCGAACACGCTTTATTTGTTCACCTCCAACCTACCATTTGCGACAAAAGACTTCATATCCCCCGGTGATGACATTTGGTCTGAAACTTTCTACGTTCTCGTGGAGGTTTTGAGTATAAGCACGAACGTCCACTTGTTGTGGCTTCCTGCAGGAAGTACAGTGGTTGTGGGGGGGTGGCATCTTCTGTCGTAGTCGGTACCGTGTATTGTAGACTTGGGTCTTGCCGCAAGTGTATGCGTCTACGGGCGGCCCTGGTGCGGGGGCCGTCGGTGGTAAACAAAATAGCTCGATGCTGGTAGTAGTTAGACACACCACTCCTGCGACGCCGGAAGAGAAATGCTCGAGGAAGTACTTGTGATATGAACACTCCCTCGAAAGTAACTCGCGGCCGATGCGTCTGCTCGCTGCTACTGCAATAGGGTATGGTTCAGCAATGGCTTTTAGCACAGGCGGGTAAGGCGAAGATTCTCGACGACCACAGTCAGTCACACCGCTACAATGATATGCATATGGAGAAACAGTCCCTATCGTTGTGTTGAGAGCAGCCTCCGCAACTTTCCCACGAGGATCTTCAGAAGTCTGTTGTGGCTGCACTACACACCCGTCCTCCCTCGCAGCACCTTTCCTCAATCCACACGTGCTCGCCGTATCCACACTGCAGGTCTTGCTTCCAGTTTCCGGTGTAGCGCTCGCGTCGCTCCACCCAGTTCATGACGCCCATTCCCTCCTTGTGATCCTGTAAGCCAGGCCAAGCATGGCCAACCTTGCATCATTATTGTTGCCGCTCACAGACTAACTGGGGACGTTGTGCCTCGGAAAACAACACCTGAAGTCGTGCTTTGGTGGTCGGCGAGATCAAACCTAGCGGGCAAATACTCCATCGGTGGGACTCCTTCCACTGTCTATCAACGCGTTTTCATCTGGGGCGCCTAAGAATGGTGTTGCCGCTCACCTCAACCCACTCCCCCTCGTAGACGTTTCCTGACGCATACGTCATCGTTCCGTGCCCATGGCGGCAGTTCGCCTCCCACTCGCCGGCGTACGACGACACCTCTTTCGTGCTGACGCCGTACCGCTGCTCTCCGCGCCCGTGGCGTTTGCTCTTCCGCCAGTTTCCTTCGTAAACCTTGTTTGTTTGTTGGGCGGTTTTTCAATTCGGTCTCAGACAGCTGTCGGCGGCATGATGAGCCTTTACGTGTTGTATGGTGTTTGATTTTTTCTGCGTTGTTGCTCTGAAGGAGCACAATATAATCTGTAGCACAACAAACAGCTTATATAATAATCGAATGCGGAGCGCCGAGGCCTCCACGTTTTGCCTCCGGATTCCGAGAGTATTGGGGTCCGAAGGTCGGCCCCTACGCTGTAAAACCTGGCCAAGACATGACACACACGACATAGACAGAGAGCGAACGGAGTGTCTGCGAATCCGTGGAGAGACCGCTGCAAGGGAGTACTCTCCGCGGCTTTCGGGAAAGGTTCTCTTTCGTGTTCTCCCCAAACGTACAGGGTACAGGTGCAGTCAGAGCGGCGAGTAAAAATAGCTGCCCAATCGAAGGGGTGCTAGGGTTTCTGTGTTTCTCTGCACTCAATGCACTACACAACCTAGTCGTGTCCTTTCACCTACAGGGGAAACGTTGGCTGGCTCACCAGCGTACCATCAGCACTGGTGAAAACGCCATAGCCGTCGCGCAAACCGAGGGCCACCCCCCCCTCGTAAGCGCTCCCATCACTCCAGGAGTATCGACCGGTTCCGGTGAGTTCGTTGTTTCTGATAATACGTGAGAACATCACGAACCAACGGTTTCCACGTCGGTAGGTGGCTGCGGGGAGCACATTCTATAGACAGACCGCCTATTTCAACGCATTGCTGTGCCAACTAAGCAGCACTTGGTTAGAAAGTTACTGAGAGTTCTTCCCGGCCAGCTGGGCGTCACAACTCTGTGCATTCGAACCCACCATAGCTCTCGCTTAACATATACCATAGTGGTCTCACCACGACAAACAGGCGGTACTCATGTTTGGTTTGCTGCCTCATGCGGCCGTGATTAAGCACCTTTCTTTGCTACATGGCTGCTTTGAAATAGTTTTATTCCCTGAATCTGACTGCGTTTGAACCGTTGGCCGCAAAGGATAATTCAATGCCTTAGTTAGAGAGATCAGCCGACAATCGCATTAGGTAAATAGTGACTCTCAATGAATGGCGAACCAATACTAACTACAGTTGCACATCATATTCCGACTATTGCTTCGCCCACCTGAAGTCTCCTTCGTACACGGTTCCATCGGAGATCCAGGTGTAACACCCGCGACCATCCATCACGCCTCGACGGAACTCCCCGCTGTACTTGTTCCCGCTCCGGAAGAGGGCCTCGCCCTGCCCGCTGTAACTGCTCGATAGCAAGAGAAATGCCAGCGAAGATATTATCCGCATTTCAGCTTCTTATAGCACATCGTTGTGACTTTTTCTGTTTGCGTAAAACGTCAAGCATCCTCCTGGGTGTAGTGAACCCAAGATTCAGCTAGATATACCCTTCGCTTGCCTGGACAGCTTTTGTTAACGAGTACGGCTATCGTGTAAAATATCATGCTGATTGAGAAAATAGAAAATAGCCCCTGTCCAATAAACGAACGTGTTGCAGTATTTTCAATAAAGAGGGACACCTGTTGGAAACTGGACATATTCATGATTCAGTCCTTACATAAGCAAACAGTGATGCCAGCCAGAACAAAAACACCCATAGATTAGAGGTACAACAAGTCATACGTTTTACAGCATATCCCCTCCAAGGCTCTGCTGGGTACAACGGCAAAAAGTCCAAGATAAATCCCCCTGGTTCAAATCATTGTGAACGGGGGCACAGAAGAAGGGGTTCAACACTCACGTGCTGTTACTCGCAGTAGTACCAAACTGTAGTTGCACAGCGTAGCAGTGTAGAAATTCCATTGTTGCATTGTTTTCACGCTATCTTCGTCGTGTGCCTAACATGCTACATATGTGTTAGAGATGGCCATTACTTGCAAGTTGGTTTGTTGCACGATTCCACCCTACAGCAACAGGATCCTTGGCTTGGCAGCTGAGGACCGCCTACCTATCCCTAACCCTCACCCTAACCCCCAAGCACGGATTGAAAACTCTATCCCATATGTTTGCTTGTCAATTTTGCTGCGTAGACTACTGGCAGCTTATGTCATATGCGTCGTCAGCGAATGGTGGGCTCGCTGCCAAACGACGTTAAGCATAAAGAAGCATATTACACACAGCGCCCAAAGAGCACTCTAAGATCCTCACCACCCGTGCTCATCGAACCCTCCCTCATAGTGGTCAACGATAATCGCCCCCAGCTCTGGTCCTAGCATGTACTCCGAGCTCGTCGCGCTTTCGACGGCAGTCATGGCTGAGGCTGAGCGTTCAGAAGAACCTGGGAACGTGGACGACCCGACCTCGCGGCTTTGGTGTCACGACTCAAATCATCATCTCATGTTCCTGCGCTCTAGCGGCCAGAGGAACAAGCCATCATGTCTGAGTCCCCCGTTGCCTTCATGCGTGGGCAACGCCCAAAATGACGTGACGGTTTCAACCGCTTCCCGAACCTTGTGGAAACCCTGTGGCGAGCCCCCCCCGTTTCCTTTAACACTGCACTCTGCGTTTGCCCTCCACGAGAGCTGGACGAGAGAGAGAACAGAGAGCAAACACAAATGCAAATAGCCACCAGCATGACGACGGGCGGAAGGAGCATACCATGGGTAGCCGTACTGGCAAGCCTCTCTGTTTTGTCTAGCGTGACCGGATTCCAGACTGCCGTACGGCCCACCGCCCGAAATGCTGGTGGGAGAAGTAACCGGGCCAATCCAACATCATCACCTGACGGCAGTAGCAGCACCGGACTTGCCGCGGCCTCAACAGACTTTGGGGGGATGTTGGGGGACAAGGTGGCCTCTGCAATCGTCGGTTCGCCTATTTATCCACTTCTCGTGCGGCAAGCGAAGGGCACCATGAAGAAAAGCGCAGAGGTGTGTGCGTGCACGTGATGCAGCTCATGATCAGCGGATCTTCGTGCATGTTTTAGGAAAATAAGTTGTTGAACCTGGTCTAACGTCAGCACACAAACCAATGTCCGCTCATCCGCCCACACCTTCGCCAGAGCAACGTTTCTGGCTGTGGACTCTCACGAGTATCATCACTTCGAGCATGATTTACTGGCGAAATTCAGCACTGTAAGCCTGTAAGCTCTCTCTCTCTCTCTCTCTCTCTCTCTCTCTCTCTCTCTCTCGCTCGCTCGCTCTCTCTCTCTCTCGCTCGCTCGCTCTCGGTCGTGTCCTCTTTGCTAGACCGTTTGTTGCCGATCTCCCCGAGGTCTCCATATGTCCTCTCTGCCATCCTCTGCTTGCTGCTTTGCTTGCTCCGATTTAGCGGACACGAATCGGATGTTTTCTGCTTGTGTTCTTGCTCGAATTCCCCTATCAAGTCCCCAACAAATATACCTCACTCTAACTTTCCAGATGCCCGTTACCTTCGATCGTGATTCAAATTCCAATGGTGTTTCTTGATACCTGCGTTCAAGTGTTTAAAAGCACCAAGCGTGTCCCCTCCAACACCTTCCAACTACGTCTGCCCACGTTCTCCAACCCCATCACTGTGGGTAACATATCCGCTGCCCGCCTCACTCTCGCCACTCCTCTCCGTCGTCGTGCTTGCCTCCGCAAAAGGACATCGGCGTGGATTGGGACGCAGAGGTGGCGAGGTTGCGAGACGCCCAAGACTGGGACGCGGCTCTGGCAGGTGCACCAGGGGCTTGGAGCCATACCGAACATAGAAAGCTTGAGAAATACTCCTACCTCAATCGAAATTTGGGAGTGCAATGATTCGGCATGGCTGTTATAGCACTCTTACGAGATACGCATGCATAAAACGTTCAAGTTTTCGGAGCACTGACCCCCCGCTCAATGTGGACAGCTCATGTTTATCTCAGAATTGACAATTTACACAACGAGAGAAGTGGGGGCAATGGCGTATTCCGAAACCACTCACACGTAGCCTATTAGGTGGTCATGTTGTTGAAAAAGATTGGCTAACTCGCACCGCTGTTTTTCCTGTGAAATCTACGCGATTGCCTCCTCATCCACGCCATATAATTGGCCACCGACGACACATCTGAGTTGCGTGTGGCACCCTGCACCCCTCCTCGCAACAGGGCTCTTGGAAACGTCTTCCGTGGAGGTCCCTGACTACTACAAGAAGCCGTTTCACGCCTATGCGGACGGAAACCTGTGCTGGGAGGCAGCCTGGGAGCAACACCTTGCTTCCAAGGCGGTCGGGTGAGGGTTGCGCCACCCACTCTTTTTCGCTTATCCCTGGGACCCAATACCAAGCTTTTCGGCGTGCATGTAACCCGCGTCTTTGGGGAAGATGACGGCGCCGTTGGTTCCTCATTGCTTTACGGTCTAGTTTCATTTGTCTGTCCATGGCATAGTCTCGATACTCGAGGGTGGTCTTACGATTTCTCACATGTTTCCCCCGAGTGGTCAGTTGGCGAGGTTTGCTGAATTTGCCTGCTGTGTTTGCGGGCTGGCGTAGCAGGGGACCAACACCAAGCCCGCGTAAACGAATACCCACCCATGAACCACGCCCCGACAGCTGTCGTCTCAGATGCACACGTCGTGAGCGAGAGTGAATGAATGGCGTGTGGAACAGCGGAGTGAACCCATGCTTCCGACCCCTTCCTGTGCGTCGCACACAAAGCTACGGTATCATCTCCACAATATTTAGTATTCTACTCACTTATGCTTCTTCGCTAAAAGACGCAACGGGGTCCCGGCAGTTTGAGCCGACGCCATGACGCTCGAACCGCGCCCCCCGCCCCCCCAAAATATCCGAAATAAAAGATTCCGGAACTTTCCCGAGGACGCGGAAAGAGGCGAGTACCTCTTGCGTAAGGGGTACGAGGCGCAGATGGAGCGGCTAGGCGTGCTGGTGGAAGACGGCGGCCTCGTGGTGGACCTCGGGTGTGGGTCGGGCACCAGCACCAGGCACGTCTTGACGACTGATCCTGTGGGCTTTGGATTCTAGCCAGCGGGTAGCCTTTTGGTAGCGGAGGGGAGAACGCGGTCTGTGTCCCAGTAGGGATGGGCCACCCCGACGGTAATTGGGGTGCTTGCAGTCCGCGATGCGTTTCTTGCCGCTCGTTGTTGCTGAAAAAGGAGAGCGTGAGCGGTCTCCTCGTCCCGCTTTTGCCCATGCCATCATCCTCTTCTCTTCCCTCGGCGACGTGAAAGTGTCTAGCTCCGCTCGATGTGCTGTCCGAATGACTTGAGCACACTACCTTGTCTTCGGCGTGGACTCTTACAGTGTTTCAACCGGTCGTGTTTGGCACTGTAGCGGTCATATGATGGCGTCGTTTGAAGGTTGTCCCTGATCGTGTAACCTGTTTTTTATCTTTCCGACAACGCGTCTGCGCTGCGCTGTCGAGCAGGTACCTGGCAGAGCAGTTTCCCTCCGCTGGTAAGGTGGTGGGAGTCGACCTCTCTCCGTACATGCTGCTGACCGGGCGATTCATGCAGCAGGAGGACGAGGTCCGTTTTTTTTGTTTCTTGGCTTATTTCGTTCGTGAAAGTGTTGCGGAATGCCCGCGTTGTCGATTTCGTGCGGTAGTTTGCAGTGCGAGTGGTGGTGCTCACGTCTTGTCCTTGGCACGAGGATGGCGACGTTTCGGCTGGCTTGTCGAATGGCGTACCCAGGTGTGCGTGCATCGGTGCCGTCTCGGTGCGCTATTCGCAATAGCCCCACCGAGGTCGCACAAGCTTGTTCCCATTTTTGCCTCGTGCCTTGCTTCGAACAACCAACCTTGGGTGGGTGTGGGCGCAGAACGCTGACCCTCGCGTGGAGCTGGAATACGGAGACGCGGCTAGGACTGGGTTGGAGGACAACAGCGCTTCTCTCGTTTCCTTGTCTCTTGTGGTACACGAGCTGTCCACCGAGGGAAGGAGATCGGTGAGCAGTCTTGGATCACGTGGCGGAGTAGTGGTGCAATTTTGACATTTTGGTATGATCACCTTCAGGTCGTTGGCAAAGCTATAGAATACTACTGCATGTTGACAACGGTGTGAATCTAAGTGGCGTACTTGGTATGAATTGCCACTCAAGTTGACGCGACTGCCGTCATATGCTGCACGTTGTCCACCGAACCAATAGCCTTGGGAATACCTGCATCCTGTCATTGTTCCAACAGAGTGGAGCAGCTGCAGTGCCGCAAACGTAACCCCGTCGGGACACAGAGGCACTTGACATTGCCGTTGGCCGAACACCGACCTCCACCATGGCTACAACTTGTCTATTACGCCTCTGCCCGAATGGAGGTTTGGTGCATCCTCGATGCGGCGGTGGTCCGCCCAAGCTGTAAGCGGATTTGGTGTTGTAGTGACTAGCACGGCGTTTCGTACGTACGTCCCCAAGCAACACGACGATGCTTGCCTCACCCCCCCCTGCACGTCTCGCCAGATTCTGGCGGAGGCTTTCAGAATACTCCGTCCGGGCGGGAGCGTTTCCATCATGGAGATGGATCCCTCGGCCCCGGGCTACATTAAGCTCAGGAACAACCCGGTAAATGACGCGGCATTCATCCACTCTGCGGCAGAAAATATTTGGGGTCTGTTGTTCTCGTATTTAGCAAGGTTGAGTCTGCCCCAGCGAGTGGCTCGCGAAGAGAGGAAGGCTGCTTCAGACGATAGCTCGTTCGCCTTCTCACAACAACATTTGTCGATATCTGAAGCTTGTCCGCCTCGAAAGCCCATCGGTCTCAGGCGAACAGCCCCCCCTAGCCGGTAGGACTCTTGGAGGCCGCAAGGTTGTTTTCACTGTGAATCTACGGAAGTGGTTAGTGGGTATGGTTTTTGCTGTTTTTTCAAACAAGAGGTTTCCCATGTTCTGAGGGAAGTGGCAAGGATTTTCCCGTGGGAATATTTCGTACCGGTTGGGGTGGTTACTTCGCTGAACTAGTGTTCATACACTCTCATTCCGATGTTCACTTGTTGTGGACGCGTCGCCTGCTGTATTATCCGGGATGTTTTTTTTGTCAAGATGTTTTTACGGGCGGTTTACGTTGTGTCGAGGTCGAAGTCCAAAATCCTCCGTTCATTCGGCTCTGCGCTGTCCCCATCCGTGCTTCTCAGATGCTTTTTTCCATATTGAGGAGCACGGAGCCCTACCTGGACGTTTATTTCTCAGAGGCGGGCAACATAGACGCCGAACTGCAAGAAGCGGGCTTCACCACGGTAAGTCAGTCAGTAAGTCAGTAAGTCAGTCAGTCGCTCTGAAGATCAATGTGCCGTTGGGCGTCTTTGGCGTCGCCACTCACTGTGTTACCAGCCCAGTCGATGCAGTCGATGCCGTCGTAAGGATCGACTTGCTTCGAACGAAGGGGTTGTCGAAGTGTGTAGAACATTGGGGGGAGGGCATGGGTGGCGCTGGCGCTGAGACACGGCGTCCCCATATCAGCCACCCTCGCCCCCCGAGGCTGGCGTGGAACGCGCGTTCATGATGCTGTTGTCAGCAGGGGCAAGACGAACCACCGTGATGCCGATGGTTCAGTAGCTTGGCGAAAATATGTCACGGTACAGCAGTACGCTTGCCGCCGTCCGGCGATGTTGCCACCCCTCGTCCGTGCAATGAATGTACTGACGTTGTCACGGCTGCTGTTGAGCATCACGATGATGACTTGCCGATCCGAGAACGCTTTCTTGACCTCATGCGGCGGTTGCGCGCGCGTGCTCCAGGTTCGAAAATCCGGGGTGACTGGGCGGCATATGGCGGTAGTCGGCGTCAAGGGAGGGACGTTTGACTTGCGGGCCGACTTCAAGCAAAGGGAGAAGGACGACACCCACCTACAGACGCACAGGGCCGACGTTTGGGTGAAGACCCGTTGAAGTATACTGTAGCCAGGGCTCCTGTGTGGCAATCAAGTATAGTTCGGAAAGCTTGTTGGATACATAGGCTGGCGATTGGTTTACCTTGAAGTTTTTAGTAGCAGGCACTTCCACGAGACGGGGGTGGGTTGTTTGCCCGGGCGTGTGGGTAGGGATTTATTGTGGGGACGTTGTGCAGTCGTCGTCGGAAGTCGAATTGCGGGGCGGATCCGCGATCGTCTCGCTTGGTGGCCTTCACTGCCTTTTTCGCTCTGTAGCATGACGCGTTTTTATTGGAGGAGGCCGCCTTCCTAGTTTGTATTTTGTACGGTTCAGAGATACTGTACCAATGAGAAGGGAAGTTCTGGTAGATGTATACTCTCTACATGTTGTCGTCCGGTTGATTACCTTAGATATTACAGACAGTCAATGGGCGTGAGGTCTACCTACAGTTTTAGTGTATTTGGTCGCGACCGGCAGGGAAGACACTCGGAAACTGGCTTTGTCCGTGTAGTTATGATATCACAAGCCATGCGAACACCATGTGTGCAAACTGCCTTTTGCGCAGGAGGGCATATACTTTTGATGCTTTCCTCGATGGGTAGAGACCACAGCCTTTCGGTGTGAACCGCTTAGGGATGATGGGCGGACCGAGTTGCACCTTGTGCGGGCAATAAAGCGACATGGTCGAGAGATGTGCATATGTAGCTTACAAACCACATTACGCGCCACAACAAGAAACTGTAAGGCTCCGCTGTAGTATGCCTTGGGCTCGTTCTCTAACCCAACAGCGACAACGACGCGGTTATCGCCATGCCCCGGGCTCCGTCAATACTCGGCCTTTGGCGTTCGAACCAACTATTGATGCGTTAGGTGTGTGATCGCGATCGACGCAAGCTCGACGAAACTCCCCACGCATTAAAAGCGTGTTTTGGGAGTGGTTCATGCCTACTCGTGTCTCTGTGTACACCATGCGATGCCTCAAACACAACAGTCATACAGACCACCTTCATGTGCCGCGTGCTGGCTGCCTTGGCTTCGTCCTGGTTGTCCGTCATGCCATTTCTTCAGTTTCCTTTGCGTAAGCTGTCTTCGGCACGTGAATGCACGCGTTCTGTAATTTGGAGCGAAAGCTGCGTCGAAACACGAGGGTAGCTCCATTCAATTCTACGAGCAGATCGAAGTCCTCACGGACTGCCTACACGACGTATGTTGGGTTCATCTCGGAAACGTGTCACCACGGAGGTGCCTCAAAAGTTGTCTGACACCACCACCCCCTTACACACCGAGGTATATAGATCGTAGAGGAAGATACCGAAACATGTACCCTGAGTTCTCACGCCCATTGCTCCACAACGAAGAAAGGCACAAACAACGCCAACAGATAAATAAGCAATACAATGGGCTACCCTCGAGTCCACACACTTTGGTGGCTGTTTACATCATCACTGCCGATATTTTACTGCAGCACTTGCATAAGACAATTGACATACATGTATGATTGGTCACCAGAAATAGATGCCGGATGCGGCCCCCTGCCCCCTCTTCCACCAGAGAAGCTGGAACTCAACAATCGATCTCTTCGGCAAAATTGAAGGAGTACAAAGCTTGACTACATTTTGTATCAATGGTGTTCCAATTGGCTGGATAGCGCCCCGCCTCTATACTGCAGCCTCGGCGGCATATTATCATATCAAAGCCAACACCACCATCAAAGGAGCGGTTTCTCACCTTTACACACGTGAAGTCAGTACACTGGACACAGAAAAACAATCGAGCGGAGGGGGCACCGTAGCTACACCGCGAACCACATCTACGCCACGGGTCATCCCACGGGCCCCTCCCCTGTACCCCACCCCGTGCGATTCTCTTGCCGAAGAAAATGTCCACTTCACACCCAACCCCATTCCCTTCTGCACGTAAACCCTGGCGATGCTTCAGCGGAACAAGGAAACGAGAATTACCCTGGGTGGTCTGGGTGATAAAAAAACGGCGTCACCTGCGATGAGTGCGCCGGAAGAGACTCAATCACCTTCACTCTGCTTTTGGCTATCATCGTGACAATAATAGTCTGACGCACAACACGAGTTTTCGCCGTATGGCCAAGGCGTTTCGCTTGCCCTGCAAACAACATATACAATATCCCAAACCTCTCCCGGCAAACCTTTACGAAAACACGCATACCGCAGATACACGAATGTACATAGGTTGCCACCTTTACAGCTCAAAACACACATTTTATACTACAGAAAACTCATCTATCGACATGTCGAACATTCCTCACACGAAAAAAATAGACTCCCACTTTGACGTCCCTGGATGGGCTCGTGATACCCACGTATGCATCGCATGGACTACAGTTGTTCCCAGTGCACATGCGACACTGGCTGCATTCCCTGCAGGAAGCGCAGAATCACTCCCCCGCCCTTGTCACGTGCTTCTTGGCCCTGCTGCCCAGGCGCGTCTTGGACTACCAGTGTTCTCTCCTCCACTCCGAGGTATTCCTCTACGTCGCTCATGCCGTTGCTTCCAGTACCCTCGCTGCCGCCGCTGCCGCCGCTGCCTCCGACGCTGCTGCCGCTGCCGCTGTCGCTGCTGCTGCTGCTGCTGCTAATGCTGCTGCTGCTGCTATCGACCTCCGTGTGCCAGTCCCTGTCGCTGCTGGTGGCGGCGTCTCTGCTGCTCAAGGCCGAAGCCTCGTTCTCCCTCTCCATCCTGCCCGCACGGATGCGTTCTGCTCTCTCCGTCATGCCGCGAGCGATCTCTGCGTCCCTTTCTCTAGCAGCAGCCTCGGCGCTCATGCGAAGGCGCCAGTTTTCGGAGCTCAGCTCGGAGAGCCGACCCTAGAGGGTGAAAACGACGAAACAGCACAAGTACACAATAATGTGGATTATTCCCAGGCATGAAATAACGTACGAACAAATGTTGGTCGAACAAGAATCGCGACAGGATAGTACCGATGGGGCGTGTCGTGCTAAAACAGTACCACACAAAACGCTCGCATTTGCCGTCGCCGGCCTCGACGCCAACCAAACACAACAGTCATCGGAAACCCAAGCATACGGGGAATCCATTATAGGGCTGGGAAACATACTTTATCTCCCGTACATCACCGGCAACTCAAGTTGGGAAGGGGTGCCGCCATGATGCAAGTTCACAGGTAGGTACGCATGAACGCTGGTGATGTCATCCACGGCGGTCATGCCCTTCAGTGAAAAAAAAACAAATTGACCGTGTACAATGCCGCAAAATACGTCCCCGCATCGCATTTCTCTTATCCACTGAACGACGATTGATTTGCGATTGATGACAACTGGTCATGGCGTGGATACTTGCCGGTGAAATCCATTCGGAGAGATACCTGGGTGATGGTCATTCTAGGTAGGATATACGTCAAAAGTATCATGTGCCACTCGTTCTAGACAGAGTCGACTAATGGTGGAGGCAACGACCGTTAGGCATAATACAACGAACAAGAGCCGGGTCATGAAGTTGGTCGCACGTGCACGTCGGCCGTACACCCGTTCGTTCACGTTCACATCTCCAAAGCAGGGCTTCAGGCCTGCAGCAAGGCCACGATGCTGCTGCTACGTTACTATCTAGCAGCCCCCGCTTTCCCAGGAACTAATTCAAAACGACACGACTGTGCAAACGACACTGCTCTGATGCGGGGACTCATACCACAATCCTCCTTCCTTAAATAGGCATTTCGAGATTTAGAGCCCACCGTCGACGTCACAAGGATACAACCACCTACCTGGCAAGAGTACTAGGTGGTACACTACATCTCAGCGAGTGTCCCGTCCCAAGCCTACTGCTGCTGTCTGTTCCTACCTTCATTTGGTCGAGCTCCGCCTGTAGCACCGCCGCCAACGCCTCGGCAGCGACTGCGCGAGCCGCACCTCCATCTCCCATCTCCTCGTTGGTGCTATGACCCTCCTCCGCTGCTGCCGCACGAGCTCTACCCTCACCAGCGTCACCAGGCACCCCTCTGCTGTCGTCTTCATTGCCCTCCCGGCTCCCTGTGGTTGCTGCACGATCTCCAATATCACCAACCGCAACACCCTCTCCAGCACCACCGTCGTCACCATCATCAACTGCTCCGCCTTCGGCGACGGCTGCTGCTGCGCCATGCTCGACATGACCACCGTCAACGACCGCCACAATCTCTTCAGCAGCACCTCGGCGACCTCCAGCGTGATCGTCGTCATCATCACCATCTCCACCACTAGCCGCTGCTGCTGCTGCTGCTGCATCTTCGACATGACCACCATCATCGACCGCCACACCCTCTTCAGCACCTGAACCACCTTCAGCGTAATCGTCACCATCGCCACCACCGCCACCACCACCACCACCACCCGCCGCTGCTGCTGTACCATGTCCGGCATCACCAGCATCACCAACCTCCACAACCTCTTCGGCACCACCGTCGCTACCATCAACTGGTCCGCCTACGGCGACGGTAGCTGCTGCAGCATCTTCGACATGACCACCATCATCGACCGCCACACCCTCTTCAGCACCTGGACGATCTCCAGCGTAATCGTCACCATCACCATCACCACCACCACCACCACCACCACCCGCCGCTGCTGCTCCACCATCTTCGACGTGACCAGCCTCACCAGCCTCCGCAACCTCTTTAGCACCTGAACGACTTCCGGCGTAATCGTCACCACCACCAGCCTTCCCTCTTTCTCCGCCCGCTTTGCTCCCCTCGCCTTTTGCTCGATCTCCGACAAGACCGGTCTCACCAACCGCCACGAGCTCTTCGGCAGCCGCCGCACAACCCTCTGATGTATCATGGACACCATCGCCTGCTTCATCATCCAAAACGGCTGCTGCTGCTGCTGCTGCTGCTGCAGGAACTCCGCTCTCATCACCACCAACCGGCCCTTTTTGGTACTCCGCGCTGTGGACTGCTGTTGCTCCATCTCCGACACCATCATCAACCGTCACACTCTCTTCGACAGCAGTACTAGCACGAATTCCAACACCGCCGTAACCATCAGTTGCTCCGCCCTGCGCAACGGATCCATCAACTCCAACGCCACGATCGTCGACAGCCCCGACAACGTCCTCCGTTGTGCCCTCTCGATCCTCCTCAGACGCTTC